TGGTGCACTCGGTGGGGGGAACAACCGACGAGTGCTGACGGAGTGCACGGTTAGTACGCGCCAATATTCCATTCGTCTGGGGAGCCCGGATGTGAAAGTCATTAGCTGTGCAGAGGAGAGTTGAGCAGTTACAACGATCAAAATTTGTCTGCTGAAGTTACTATACTGTATCATCAGTAGAAACTTGAAAGTCTCCCATAAACCTCCCGGATGGCGCAGGACTTGTTTACTTCCTTTTGTGTTGGCTGGCTTCAAGTTCCCGAGGCTGATGACAGAGTCGCTCCACAAACGACGTTTGCCCGCCCCCAACGGTGGTCTACCCTGCCCAATATCGACAGTCAAACCAGCAGCTTTGATAGCTTTTTCCGCTCTTCAAGTTGTTGATAGCCAGCGGTGGTGGCCGGGAGAAGATACCAGCTGATGCCCACGGCTGTCGTGTCCTTGGGGTGCCCTCGGACGACTGACAGTGCATCAAACCCGGTTGACAGTCCTCATACCAATAGCTTAAAAAGCTTAGGGAGAAGCGCGTGGTACAGTAGCCATGGTGCTTCCCAACTCCAGGAATTCAAGGCGATCTTTACACCACTGGTCCTATCGAGTTGATACTGTGCCTAAGCAGCTGTGCTCGCCATGTCCACAGCCAGAATCTGGCCTGCTGCCACGGCCTGACGTTGAGGTGCCTGCGGTCAGTCTGAAGTAGAATGCACTAGGACTTCTGCAATGGAAGAGCTCAAGCTCATGAACCCCTGCAGCTTTCCCTTTCCATAGGTAACACAACCGTTGAAATCTCAACATTCTGGACCTCGTTTCGAAGAGTGACACCAGGGACAAGCGTGCCGTCAACAAGAAAATCGATTGCTCTGTCCAGTTGCGCCAGAAACATTGGCCGCTTACCGTGCTCGAAGCTCTTGATTTTTTACTAGACACGTGCATGAAGACTTGGTCTTTTCGAGAGGATGGTTTTTTTTTTCCTCTGGTGCCGTTTCTCTTGCAAAAGGGATAACGGGAGAACTGGGTGCACTCTAGCGTTGACTTGACCACGGGGTAGGACAAAGAATTCCGCAGCAGCATATCAATCCAGCCCGGCTGCCACCCGTAGTACTAGCATGCCGACAACAGAGCGGTGGAAGCGCCCCGGTTGGTTCGTCGGGTAAGAGGACTCACCGTGTGGTTCTCGCTCATCCGCTTAGATGCATGAACTTTGTGACAGTAGCCACCACGCGAATATCTGCCAGCGGTGTTTCCTATCGTCTACTGCCCCACGATGCAGTCTAGTGAGCTTTTGTTGTAGTTGGGCGTTTCAAGATAGCAAGAACCGTATACTATTAGACCGGAACGTATGGGGGCATACAGCGGCATAGGTACCTATAGGTTACTTGCCGGCGTTAAGATAGTAGTAGTGGATAGCCTGAGTGACGGCAAGTCATTGAAACGGCTGTTGTTGGCTAAAGATTCGCACCAGCAAGAAGATCGCCGGCGGGAATGCCAGGCGCTGTCATCGTCTATTAATATTACTGTTTCGAGGATGCGCGGATAGGCCGTTTACCAGGTCTTATTCAAATGGCACTGCACATTGCCAGTGGCACGGCCCTGAGGGGGCCCCTTTGAATGCAATGCAGTCTCAAGTCTCACACGGACTAACTTTAGGCGGCACCGGTTTGAGGTGAGAATGCTGTCAATCTGTCTCCTTGCTTGACAGCCTTCAGAAGATAATAAATACACAGACGGACCGACTGTTAGGCAGAATTCTGACAGTCACGGCAAGCCGTCATCCCGCCATTCAGCAATGTCCACGTCTCGTCGCCCTTCTTGATGTGTGTTGTTATGTTTATTAGACCCCGGTTTCCTCGAGTCCTTCTCATGCTCCTCAGTTTCTGCCCCAGAACTCTTTTTCCAGGCGCAATTACTGTATCCTTGAACATTGGTCACAATTAATCTGCTGTTAAATATATTCATTCAAAGGTATTTCCCTCCAAGAGACTAGAGCTGAGCCACCCCGAAGGGCTAATCACCGTTAGACTCCCAGCCGGCAACCCTACCGAAATCGCCCCTCGGCCATTAGCGTTTCCTCTGCCTCACCCATACACTGCACTGCCAGTGCACCCCCACGAGACAAACCCGCGAGAGAGATACGATATGCTGGTGACCTGGCCAAAGGCAAAAGTGCTTTGAGTTCATTTATTTCAGAATGGCAAAGTCACGTCAGCGTTCTCTGACAAACGAGGTGGCGTTCGAGTCTCTACCACCTGCCCTGCGGCGAAAAGTGAGTGCAGTGTGTTGCGGTTATGTCCTACTTTCGCTTGTCTGCACATCCCCCGGGAAGAGGAGTTGGAACCTACACAGGACCCCTGGGCACTCGGCAAGCCACCATCTCTGAAACAGACAGGAAAGGAGAAAGAGCAAATGCGCGCATCATCACACTGGACGGCCTATTATCTTCTTTGACGTCTCCCCGAAGCCGCCGGTCAATGGGCTACGCAGTGGTGTCCACGTCACTTGCACAGAGGCCTCCTCGCCTCAAGCACCCGGTCAGGGACTGATTGCACGCCGGTTACCTCTCTTGGGCTGCTTGGGGTCTAGGGCTGCTGTTCACTGCCCAAACAGTCACCCCGGGCATGCCTAGCAGCTGTTTGTGCCCCTGCTCGCGGCACGGTCCTCTTCAGGCCAGGGGCGCCACATCCACGGACCAACCCCAGTCTTTGGCTTATTCCACCAGTCACGTCTGTGCACGGCCCAACTTTGTTTCGCGCGACCGTTGACATCTTTGTCGATCGCTTATCCTGCAGGTCTACAGGCTAACATGTGTGTTGCACCAGTATTTTAGCAGCTTAGAACGTCTCAGACTAGCACAAGATGTCAACAGCCTCCAACAGTCTTACAGTCGTCCCCATCCTGAGCCTAAGCCGTCGATTCTTCAGCATCCAAATAATAGCACTTGGGCCGCCACTGCGCCCTCGAACAGACCCTTCCTTCTCGCAGCCAGCCTGCTACAGCCCGGGTTACTGCTAAACGGGAACAAACTCCGCAAGAGGCGGGCCTCCACGACGAACAGCAGAGCCACCCCATCAACGGTCGCCTGGTTTGCATCTCTGCCTCCCGCTCTTCAGAAGAAGCTATTCTCCAAGGAGGAGTGCTTGTTTTATACTCAGGACAGCAGCACTGTCATCCTGGACTCCGCGGACGAAATTCTGCGCAGACGTAGCTCCAACACCAAGCGACAGGCCGCTCTCGAGGCTGGCAGTTCTGACGACGAGACTGCAGTGGATTGGGAAGAGCCCAAGCACCAAGAACGGGTGGACTCGGCCGTCGATATGGGTGATTATAATGCGGATGGGTTTCGATGGTTGGACGATGAGGCAGACCTGGACCTGAAGTTGGACGACTATCATGAAGCCATTGCAGAAACCGCGCGAAGGACGGCATCTTTTTCAGAACCGGTGAGACGTCCGTTTAAACGGAATACGTCGCTTTCGAGCATACCTATCCGACGTCCACGCAAGTCGACATCATCCTCACGCGGCCAAGTCGAACCTGCCAGTCCGCCGGCCTTGCCGTCTGAGCCTCTTCACTTCCCATCACCATCGCCCTCCTTCACCCTGAAACACGCACGATCCCAGGCATCCTTAAATTCTATCGACCCGCGAGCCACCCATTATCAGGACCCTGCCGCGCGAATGAAGCTTAGGCTTTATCTGGCCTCCCCACAGAAGTTCGACGAGGCCATCGAGTTTGGGTTTCCCTCAATCGGGATGAAGACCAAGCACAAGGATCGTACGAGACCAATGACCAGCCCTCAACCAAGACCTGATGTCAATCGCACGTTCTTTCACGACGACGACACCCCATCATTATCAGGGGACGATGGAGATGACGCGGACGACCCTGATACACTCTTCAATCCCAGTACCCCTGAAGATACCGTCTTCCAGATGCACCGGCCTACGAAAAAGCCCAGTGTGGATGGGAATGTCGGCTTAAAACCAGTGTCCACGAGACGACAGCCCGAGATGTATGCTCGCGGCGGCATAGGCTTCGACCGGGAGATGACGCTGCATATGACATTGACACGACCAGACCTACGCTCGCCTGGGGAAACACTACCGAGTTGTCAGAAGAATGTCAACGATCTACCTCTGGAACGGCCCGAACTGCTCTCGGATGGCCACATGGTCTCAATTTGGGATACCTTGCCTCCTGAGGAATCGAGGGTGAAGAGATTCCTGCGGAAGTTGAGGCTGAAATAAAGCCTGACTGTGTGTGTGCTTTTTTAGTTGGCATCGCTGTTTTGATCTTCAGAGAGCGGGAAATACCATGTGCAACCATAGTGTTTAGCGTAGGAGTTCTGGACTGGAGTTCTGAACGCAGGGAAAGGGAATAATACCCTGGCGGCAGGTGTAATCAATTTATTCGTTTTCTGTCCACCGATATGGTGGGATCTAATACTATGTGCTGGAGTAGTCTTAAAGGACTGTATCTGCCGGTGACAGTGCCACACTGTGAACGATACCTAGCCGTTTGCTCGCTCTCCTTGCATCAATAAAAGTCCTCTTAATAATGGGAGTAACTTGTTGATACCTAGGTATTAAAGCTGTCCTGCACCGAAGTGGACAAACTGGCCCGTGTCGAAAACCACGTCAGCCTCCGGGAGCTGCCAGTGCCACCTGTGCCACAGCTCCCAGCGCCATTCATTCGCACGCCGCTGACACACGCTAAGCACCAGTTGCCGCATCACTCCAGGCAGTCCAGGCACTGCTCTATGCTGCTATCAGTACTACGACGTCGCAGCCTCGAGAATTAATTGTTCGCCGCGGGCAACTTTTGGGTGCTACAATCCATCAATCTGTCCATTTCATCCTGTTCATCTTTCTTTCACTCTTGTCTCTTCTTGGTCGCTCCCTGATTCTCCCCTCTGGTCCAATGCGGTGATCGAACATGGTAATCCGTTCTCTCTGTCGTCGCGCGCTCGCCTCGTCATTTGTTATCCTCCTGTTGCTGGTTGTCCTCTCGCCGCAGCCTGGCCACGCAAAGAAAGATGGCCCGACCATCGCCTCCACCAAGTTCGAGCATCCCCTCGAGGGCGTTTTCTACTTTGACGATTCGGATATCATCATCGGACATGACAGAGAATTGAACACGGTGTGGCGCAGTGCCGACGCCGGCGAGACGTGGCAAGAAGTCAATGACGAGGGCCAGTCGGGAAACGCTTGGGACCTGTATCCTCATCCTTACGACAACAAGCGTGCATACATCCTCGGAATCTCGTCTGAGCATTGGATCACGACGGACCGAGGCGAGACGTGGAGAAAATTCAGTAGTGCTGGTACCAGTCTTGCCTTGTTCCGCAACAGTCCATTGAGCTTCCATGGACGCGATCCTTCAAAGGTCATCTGGAACGGCGAGCGTTGTGCAGCGTTGTACTGCACCGAGATCTCCCTGTACACAGACGATGACTTCAAGACCATCAACGAGATGGGTCGTGAGACCAGAGGCTGTCAGTGGGCTGTGGGAACACCGGACTTCGCCCTGGATGTTGCTGCCGAAGTTGAGGATCGAGTGTTCTGCATTGTACAGGGACTGTATTCTCCCTGGCCTAAAGACAACCGGATGCTGGTTTCTGACGATTTCTTCGACGAGGAGGAGGTTGAGCCTGCGCTAGACGAAGGACGAGCGGTGACTGGCATCATTAGCATGGCTTCTGTCAAGGGAAACTTGGTTGCAGCAGCAAAGTCCGAGGGCACGGATGAGCTGGCTCTCTACGTGACGAAGGACGGATCACAGTGGCATCGAGCCGAGTTCGGCCAACATCGGATTAATGAAGATGCTTACACCATCCTCGAAAGCACCAACTACAGCATGCAAGTGGATGTTCTGGGGTCCAGACCGTCCAACCCCATGGGCTACCTATTTACCTCGAACTCGAACGGGACCTATTTCACGCGCAACATCGATCACACCAACCGAAATATCTACGGCCGTGTTGATTTTGAGAAAGTCCAGAACATTCAAGGCATCGTCTTGGTCAACACGGTGGACAACTGGAAAGAGGTCGAAGCCTCAACCATTGTTGACAAGAACATCGTGTCGCAGATCAGTTTTGATGACGGTCGGACGTTTCAAGATCTGAAGGTCGGTGACAAGAAGCTCCACCTTCATTCGGTGACCGATGCCCGGCAGGGAGGTAGGATATTCTCCAGCCCGGCCCCTGGTATAGTCATGGGAGTCGGCAACACTGGGAAATACCTCAAACCTTACGAGGAGGGTGACCTCTTCGTCTCTGATGACGCTGGCGTCACGTGGTACAAGGGGCTTGACGGGGCTCATCTGTACGAGTTTGGTAACCAGGGTGCAGTTATCGTTGCGATTGACGACGAGGAAGCCACCAGTCACATCCAGTATTCAATTGATCATGGCAAGACCTGGACCAAGGCCGACCTGGGCGAGAAGATCCGCGCCAAGTTCTTGACGACGGTTCCTGATTCCACTACATTGAGGTTTCTTCTCATGGGGTACCATGGCACGGGGTCCAAGTCAGAATGGAAGATGTTCAAGATCGACTTTGAGGGCCTTCATGAACGAGCCTGTAAGAAGGGTGATTTTGAACGGTGGCCGGCCCGTGTTGATGCGGATGGCAAACCCAGCTGCATCATGGGGAGGAAGCAGTTTTTCCGCCGACGCAAGGCTGACGCGGAGTGTTTCATTGACGCCGATTTCAAGGACCCCGAGCCTGAATTCGAGCCTTGCGTCTGTACGATTGCAGACTTTGAATGTGACTACAACTTTGTTCGGGATCCTGAAGACCGAACAAAGTGCATTCCAGCTGCACCGATCCCCATACCAAAAGGGGAATGCAAAGACATTAAAGACACGTTCAAAGGACCTTCTGGATGGCGATTGATTCCGGGCGACGAATGCACTCGCAAGGGAGGGGAGGAACTCGACAAGGAAATCGACAGACCTTGTTCGGATTCGGCCAAGAAGCCTGCGTCCGGTGAGATCGCTGTTGAGAAGACCAATTTCGACGCCGACCGCTTTTCTGAGTGGTATTACTTGGAAAGAAGCGACACATCGCAGGGGACTGATGAAACCATTGTCATGCGTACCAGCGAGCAGGATATCTACCTCTCTCGGGATCATGGCAAGACCTGGAACCCGATCCTTGAAGGGGAGCCTATCACCTCTATCGTCCCAAATCCTCACTACTATGATGCAGTGTATTTTCTTACTGGGTCGAAGACAGTGCATTATACCATTGACCGTGGAGATCGGTTTGATCGGTTTTCGGCACCGGAAAGGCCCAGCAACTTGAGGCTGCCGACCTTGAGATTCCATCCAGATTACAAGAACTGGCTGCTCTGGTCCGGTTCGGTTGGAAAGGATGACCACACCAATATCTTTTACTCCAAAGATCGAGGTGACAACTGGCAGACTCTGGTTCGCTACGCAAGAAAGTGCGAATTTATCGCCCGCGAAGGTCGGGCCAACGCCGATCAACTCATCTACTGTGAGCAGTATGAAGACGAAAACCCCGAAAAGAACCTCATGCTGTTGTCGAGCGAGAATTTCTTTGCTGACTCGACGGTCCACTTCCCTGACATCTTGGACTTTGCAACCATGTCCGAGTTTATCATTGTCGCGGCAAAGACGGAAGATAGGCAAGGGCTGAAGGTGGACGCAAGCGTGGATGGTCGGACTTTTGCACCCGCGGAGTTTCCCAAAAACTTCCAGGTTGCTCACCAACAAGCCTACACTGTGCTAGACAGCTCGACCCATGCCGTCTTTCTCCACGTCACTGTCAACGCGGCTCCAGATCGTGAATACGGAGCCATTATCAAATCCAATAGCAACGGAACTTCGTATGTTTTTACTTTGGATGCCGTGAACCGAGACCATGAGGGATTCGTCGACTTTGAGAAAATGCAAGGACTCGAAGGTGTTGCAATGGTCAATGTCGTTTCTAACATCAAAGAGGTAAACGACGGGGAGAAGAAGAAGCTCAAGTCAATGATTACCCACAATGACGGTGCCGAGTGGGCACTGCTGCCTCCGCCCAAGAACGACGCGCTGGGCCACGACTACAAATGTGTCAAGGAAGCTAACAAGGCGACGGAGAAGTGCTCCCTCCATATTCACAGCTACACTGAGCGCGCGGACAAGTCGGCTACGTTCTCCAGCCCCAGCGCGGTGGGCCTCATGCTTGCAGTCGGCAATGTGGGCGAATATCTTGCTCGTAAGGACGACGAGAGCACCGACACGTTTATCACCCGTGACGCTGGCATTACATGGTCGTCGGTCAAGAAGGGCAGCTATATGTGGGAATATGGCGACCAGGGCAGTATTATTGTCATTGTCAAGGAGTCGCAACCGACAAAGAGTCTGTTCTATACTCTCGACGAGGGCCAGAGCTGGATCGAGTATGAATTCTCGCCCAAAATCGAGATGCAAATCGACGCAATCACCACGCTCCCATCCGACAACTCTCTCAACTTTTTACTCTGGGGTCGTGAAATCGGGTCCGGTGCGCGACGAGGAATCTTTACAGTCAACGTTGATTTCAGTGGCCTCCTACAACGGCAGCGCCAGTGTGACTTGGACGAGAAGAATCCCGTCAACGACGATTACTTCCTGTGGGAACCCAAACATCCCATGCAAGATGACAATTGTCTCTTCGGACATGTGGCACAATACCATCGCAAACGGCCTGAAGCCGATTGCTACAATGGCAAGCAAATCGACCATCTGCACAACATTGCGCGCAACTGCAGCTGCACGCGGCAAGACTTTGAATGCGATTACAATTACCAAATGCAAGCGGATGGATCGTGTGAGCTCGTTCCGGGACTCCAGCCTGCCGACCACGAACAGAATTGTCGCGACAATCCTGATCAAGTGGAATTCTGGTATCCGACGGGGTACAGGCGGATTCCATTGACGACATGTCAGGGTGGACTGGAACTCGACAAGATCGAAAGTAAGCCGTGTACGGGGAAAGAGAAAGAGTACCGCAAGAAACATGGCGTCAGTGGCGCTGCCCTCTTTTTCGCTATTGTCATTCCCCTCTGTGCCGCTGGAGGTGTGGGCTATTGGGTCTACACCAAATACAAGGCTGGGTTCGGAAGTTTCGGTCAGATCAGGCTCGGCGAGAGTATGGGATCGAGTAGCCCCTCTGGCGAATCCCCCTGGATCGCCGTCCCTGTGGCTATTGTCGCTGGGATCGTCGCCGTCGCAAAGGCTACTCCTTTGTTGGTTATGAGTCTCTGGAGAAGTGCAAAGGGGTATATGCCCCTGCGATCGGGCGGAGGCAGCGGCACTACAGGAGGCTTAGGTCGGTTCGGTCTTGGAAGGGGTCCCAACGCCGCCGGGTACGGTGCCCCGTACCGCTCGAGAGATGCCTTTGCCAGACGCGGTCAGGATTATTCCCAGGTCGTCGAGGATGACGAGTTACTTGGGGACGGGCTCGATGTGGATGAAGAAGAAGAGGTCTGAATCTCAACAAAGACGACATAGGACAGAGGGTGCCATTACTAGTATCTGGAACTAGAACTTCCAAAGTTGTACAATGCCTTGGCTTTGAGCACAGGGATGCCCTGCCATATACAGACAGCCAGCAGCACTGCAGTGCCATGATGGACCAGCAGGACCAAGGAGCGAGCGATTGATTGGATTGTACCCACAGACACTTACTCCTCTTTGGCACCGCACCGCAATAGATATTTACTTGAACTGACCATTGGCAGTTGGTGGGCACCACCTTTTCTTGCCCCAGCAAGTGCTGTACGACAACTGATTGTTGTACATGCACGCACCAAACATAGAGACATCTTGCGCCTTTAAGACTACCTAGGTACCTACCTAGTGGATATGTTTGACTCGCCATACGTTGTCCAGCGTTCCACGGATACTAGTAGTGGCAGTGATCGCGGAAAATGGTGGTGGTAGTCTCACAATTAAGGTACAGCACGAGAGTGGGAGGCAAGTCCCCCTTTATCATCAAAGATACTGTAATGCGCCTCACCTGCACTTACGTACATAAGTGCAGTGACTTGAACTTGCACGCGGCGGGGTTCAAGTTTCTCGGGCATCGAGTTGTGAACATGCAAGTGGCAGTGAGCCGGAAGAAACAGAGAACTTGAAGGAGCAGAGGGAAAGCGGACAAAAAATAAAAAGGAGCTAGTCATTGATGCAGACACCGGGTAGGAGGATAGGAGATACAAGGGCATAAATCCAAAATGAACAGTCTGGCTTGTTTGCCTTGTGACGTTGGTCATGAGCCACTGGGAACGACAATGCGGACAAGATTTGGAATGGTGGTTAGGACGAAAATGAAGGCAGCAACACCAGGCACGACAGTTATGTTGTATGCTTGTGTGGAAGTGTGTGATTTCTTCAGTTCACTCTATCCAGAGGAAAAGATAGTGGTGTATCATTCTTTTTTTGTATTTCTGGCTTTTAATGTGTGTTTCCAACTCCTCTCGCAATGACTTGTCCTGATCATGATCCCGATTAGAAGTGTTGACATCTGTCCATGCCGGGAGGATTGCATGCTCCCACAAAGGTTCGCCTTGTCTGTTTTATCTTTATCTCATGTTGGCTGCTTCACCCCACGGTTGTGTTACTGCATCGACATCGACATTGAGTTTGTGGTCCATGAGTCCGTCGGCAGAGGGAGATTTGGCTGCGGGAGGATTATCGTGCCAGGCCCGGGAGGATTAGTTCGGGTTGGATTGGAGAGGGTCGGAGATATTTGTTTTGGGTTTGATGAGTTTATTTGGCAAAAGCCTCCTCGACCCGCTTGACGGCCTCCTCCTTGGAGATGCCGTAGGCGGCGGCGACCTTGTCGGCCAGGGCGTCACGATTACCGGCGACAGAGGCAAAGTCCTCCGGGGTGAGCTTGTCAAAGGTCGCTCGGATCTTGGCTTTGGTAGCTTCGTCGGCCATTGTGACGGATTGGTTTTATGTGAAGAAGGTTTGGAAAGGTATGTGTAGTGGTAGTTGGGAGGAAAGAACAGGTACTGATGTCCGAGGGAATTGGGGGATGAATGATTTGCTTATATACCTTGGTATACAGTAGTACAACACGTCAAGGTAAGGTGGGTAGGTAGGGGGGTAAAGTGGGTATGTGGGTAAGTTGTATCTCACACCGCCACTGCTGTTGCTAAACCTGGGATTCATCCCTCTTCTGCCCCTCCATTCATGCATGTTATCCCTTGTTGTGTCCCTCTTTTGAGGGTAAGAGTAAGGCTTCGGCCTTGGAGGGGCCCATTGCAGTGAAGTGCCTAGGAATTACCCCACCAGGAGCACCTCTACAATGTCCTGTGAGGTTCTGTTGTGATATGGTGCAATCTTCGTTTTAACCACGGTGTCCAAATTGAAGTCATGTCTCGTGTTGAACCGTGGGTGACGGGAGAGTGGACGGGCCGATGGACCAAGCAAGGCGCCGGAAGTTAGTTTTTTGCCAGCGAACAGCAAACAGAGAACAGTAAAACTACTGAAGTAGTACGGCCTCGGCGAGCGGGACTCGCGTGAAACTCGACTCGAGCGACTCCGACCCCACGACCTGCGATGGACTTCTGGCGGTGTGTACGCTGCGAGAGAAAGAGTAGTAATGCCGAGCAGTAGTAGTAAAACAAAGGAGTGTCTAACTGTGTCACTTACGTTGTGGTTGTTGCCCTCAAACATGGTGGACTTCACGCTGAAAGAGTACATTAGAAGTGCTTTGTGTTGTTCACATTGCCGTCATTGTTTTGTTGTCGGTTTGTGGTGTGCTGGCTGTCAGCTGTCACCCATAACTGTACCCCTGTCTGGTGCCCCTCGATCCATTCTTTCTCGGACACAGCTGGGGAGTCTGAAGCCAAACTGCGCAAGGGTCCCGTGGAACAAATAAAACGCCATCCATTTTAACGAGCTTTGAGCTGTAATTAGCGCCTTGCTGCAGATAAAGACCCTCCGAGCGGCCCCTCTAAGGCTGTTTTCCTTCTGTGGATCCCTAGTACTGTGTCCCTTGACAAGAGGAGACCGGTCCCTCGTGCAAACGGAATGTCAAGAGCATGGAGGCCAAGGTAAGGAGTAGAACCGGTATCTTGCTGTTCATCGAAAGTGGCGGAAGGGCTGACTGTGGTTTGATTCTGACACTGCTCGTCGGTAGGAGGAAGATTTTCGGCTACTTCTTGGGCTCGTGGGCTCGCTTCGACAAGTTTGCTAAGGCCACCGTGGGATATTGGGCGCTCCTTGGCATTACGTCCGGTCGACAGCTAGCAGTAACACGGCAGTAATCGGGGCAGCTTATCTTGAGCACAGCATTGAAACTCGTACACCGCCGGATCATCGAGTGGGAATATCGACAGCGGATGGCCGCTTCTGGAAGAATCTGAACTCCTTGTATGCCTCGAATGCTAGCTGAACACTTGTCTCTTGCCTCTGGGCACGGTGTGGGTCAGCCCTGCGGCCTACTTTGCACGTCGCAATGAAGAACGTGAGAAGTCGACTGATCACTTGATCGGAGTCCAGCAGTTGTTGTTTCCCTTCTGCAAGCATCGTTCCATTGCGGCAGCAGACATCTGGAACTGCGGGTTGATTTTGCATTGATTCATGGCGCCACAAGTCCACGTTCAGTCTCTTCATGGCAGCAGAGAGGAGCACACTCCAGCCTGTTATTCACCCGCACAGGCCAAAGTCCATTTCTTTGCGAGGGAAGAGAAAGAAGCGCTATATTGCGAATATATTGAGGAGTAACTAAACCGAAGAGAGGGAAGAAACGCGGACTGATGAGAAGCCGCCAGTTTCAACAGCGAAGATTGAGGGCAGGGACGTCTTTGTCCCGGCGAAAAGTCCTGCCGAACCGATTGCCTCAGTAGGTAAGCAGGACGGAACAACACCAACGGCATCCTTCTGGTCTTTGTATCAACAGTCATGTTCACTGCAGAGCGACGATGAGTGCCGCAGAAATGTAAGTTCCAAAGCGGGGGCTGTTGCTCTGATGCAGAAGCAAAGCCAGCAAAAGGTCGTGTTCCTCCGGCCATGATCTCAAAACAGGTAAGAGGTAATGTGGGTTGATAGGGCTTTGCTGAAGAAAGCCCAACAAGGTCATGCTAAAGAGGAAGTGTCTCCTGTCGAAAGCCATGAACCAGCAAAAAAGGGGATATACAGAGGTTCAGCCTTGCCAGCCTTGCGACTCGCCAAGGCTTCAAGACAGTTTGAACACAGGCAGTGAGGTAGGGTTAACCGCGACTACTCTCACTTGAACCTCACCAGCATCTCTTTTGGACCGCGACTTTGTTGAATCTTCCTCTGACTACTTTAACACCTCTTCGACTAACTGCGACTTCTTTTACTCTTCCTCTACCCACTTCAACACCTCTTCCACTGATTACCACGAAGCCTAGATACATTTAGGCCTGCCTACTGTACTTTCTCTCTTCCGCGAGTCTATTGCACATAGCTACACCTCTCGTGCATTGTCTCATCATCTAGACCAGAGGTCCGCGCTGTGTGCGAAGCTGATTCAGCCAACCTAAGCAGTTAGAGGTTTGTTCCTACTTCCAAAGTCTATGTGCCCACTAGCTGATTCTCTTGAAGTTGCGACAGTCCTAAAGATGTCTTCAAATCCCCCTACCTGGCGTAATGCCACCGCGACCATGGACGAAGACCCGAACCAGACGCAAAACCAAAATGTTGACACTGCACCTCAGAACATGCCACTTAACAACCAAGATAACCGACGCACCGATCAAACCATCACACTCCGCAGAGCAGGTGTGCCGGGTATTCTGAACTCTAACATGCTAGGAACGCCCTGGTTTGATTTCTGGACTGGAGCTGTGGATACAATCACGCTTTCTGGTGTCGAAATTGTCTCGATCGAGAACACTGCAACAGAAACTACGGATCACGCTACCAATACAGCGCCAGAACAAAACCAAGACGAGATCATCAGCACTGAAGACGCAGGGTTTCAGATCGACAACGGTACAGACGCGACAGCAACGACAACAGACTCTTCTGAACTTCCCCAAGAAACCTTCCAGGCAATTGGTGATGACGACATGGGATTCATGCTCTACACCGATGAGGAACTGGACTCATTGGCCAGTGAACTTTTCAGCAATGCTTCTGATCTGCCGCAAGAAAGATTCCCCCAAGAAAGATTCCCCCCTTTGTCTCCTGAGTCTCTTTCTGCTGTGTTCGCTCATGGAACATCCCTCCCAGCTCGCGAGACCGATGAATCACTACAGTGTGCAGCATGTCTCGAAGAGACACTCAACCTCATCCTCCTGCCTTGTGGCCACCAATATTGTCGACCCTGTCTGAACGACCTTATCAGAGAAGGTCTCGCGAACCGAGGATCCTTCCCGCCCAGATGTTGCACCAGCCCACTTGCTGGGGCCATCAACATCGCGTCTATTCAAAAACACCTAGACCCCCACCTTGTCACGCGCTACTTCAGCGTGGTTGAAGAGTTCTCGGTTCCCGATCCTGTGTACTGCGCCAACCCGGTCTGCAGCCGTTTTTTCCAGCATGGCGACCTTCGAGACCTCCTTGACAACAAGTTTGTCCAGTGCACAGACTGTGGCGCTATCACGTGCGTGGAGTGCAAACAAAGCCTTCAACGCCATGTCGGTGAAGACGGAAGGACCTGCCGAGAGAATGAAGACCTGATGGACGCCGAGGACCGCCAACTCGCCAACGCCAACCGCTGGAGACAATGCCCTAGTAAGTACTGTCACTGGTTCCTATATCTACCTGTGCCCTTTTTGCTAACTCATTCTCTTCTCTTCTCTCTAGACTGCAAGAACCTCGTCGAAAAGACCGAGGGCTGCAATCACGTCGTCTGTGATTGCGGCACCGAGTTCTGTTACGGGTGCGGCGGGGCCATCAGCACAGTCGGGCCGGACTGTGACTGTATGGACGAGGGCGAGGAGGAACCGGAGGAGGAAGAGCAGGCAGCGGCCCCTGCGGCTCTTCCGATGGACCCCGTGGAAGCCATGAGGGCATTTGATGCCTTTGTGGACGCCGGCGATACCCTCCGACAGCGACTCCGGGCCACCATCGAGTCGAGCGACCCCCAGCTCCGTAACGCCATGATCAGGGTGTTGCGGCGGGTGGAGGAGGAGGAGACCCTGGTGCGCCTTGAGATGGCGGCGCTGGCGGCGGAGGAGGAGCACTCTGCCTCGCCATAGGCAGGGAGAGGTGCCTTTTTGTTTTGCTTGCTTGCTGTTGTTTGTTTAGAGAGATACCCCCAATGCAATGCGAGTTTTTGGTTTGTGGCTCCGAGAGTCCTTCCGTAACAAAAAACTGTTGCGCTTATGGATCTTAGGAGGATACTGCAGATATAGTGATTCGAGCTCACTATGTAAAAGGAGCATACTCCCTGTAAGTGCTGTATACGCAGATAGATACGCGGAGGGTCCTATGTAAAACAACACTCCCGTGATTCGATCCCAAATCTCACCAGCAACATCGTATCAATATGAGACCCAAGACGACAATTATAGCCAACGTCATGATCGACATCAACAGCTAGAGTCTATTGTCAACTTCTCGTTGAGCCAACTTGCGTCAAACCCCTGACGCCCACAGCCTTACCCCAGCTGCTATCTCAGCCTCGCCCCCTTGGTCCGTGCGCCGCTTTTTCTCAACACCACCACCAGCAGACTCATACGTCACCACTCCAAAATCAAAGAATCATCAACCTACCAACCTGGACTCTTTGACCAAAAAAGCCCTGATGAACCGAGCAATAATTTGGCATGTACCATAGATATACCCAGGTAAGCAGTAGGTACTGCCAGCCTGAGTGGTAGATGTGAGACGTTGAAGTTGCAAAATCCGGTCCCCAAAATCTAGCAGTCGACTCAACCAGATATATAAATTGGGGCATTGCATGCCAAACTCGAACTACGGTTCGAATCTGCTCTGATCTAGGTATCGAGAAGCACGTTGTCTCTGTCGTCTACTATTTCTCTTCCCACTACCCCTCCTAAGCACTACTGATACTCGCTCGAACGATACGCACATATAACATTCGTATCTGTGAGCGAAGCTGCTCGTTTCTTTTCATTTCTTTCTGCGCGGACCTGTCGAAGAGCACACAGCCAGAGTCCTGTTTCCTGCGTCAACAATACATTCCGGATCTGTATCCAGACAGGAACAGGCACAGAACAAGGAGACATAAAGCGCAAAGCTCGAAATACTTACTCGATCGGATCTGCTTCAATTTTGAACAGAGTCAAGCCATTATACCATTGCAACAAATTGAAGGCTGAAGCGGAGTCTAAGCACTGCAGGTTGTCAACACGTTTGTGGGTTGCATTGCATCGCCTTCACTTGGCTGTGAAAGACAAGAAATAAAACCATCAAACAGCAGGTGCTGAAAGCCATTCGACAACTACTCCTATTCCAGTTCCTGCTATCCAGTGTTGAGCTCTCACCCTCCACTCCCGCTTTGCATTTTTTTCTTCAAATCATGAACGGCAAACAGAAGTCCAATCCCAAGATGAAATCCATGTCCGATCTCATGGTCCAATCGGACCGTGACTGGCGCCGCCAAAGGGCAGCGGACAGTCAAACTCAACGACAATACCAATTCGATTATCAGAATCGGACTCATTGTCTGGTCCCGTCTCAGTCTCAGCTTCAGCACTTTCGATCTCAAACTGTCACTACTGGGACCCAACCAACAGAACAAAAGCCAGTAGTGGTGACCAAATCAACGGTAGCGACCTCAACCGCACCAGCAACAACGACACCCTCTGCTTCGACGACCACCACAACGGCAGCAAAATCGTCATCATCATCAATCCAAATAACAACTCGCACCGACCTGTCCCTTCTCTACCGCCTTCTCCGTTTGGCCATCCGGCCCCTTCGTCCACGCCTAGTTTCACCACCCAAAACACCGTTCCCGCCCGGATCGATCCGCTTGTTTGAGGAGAACGATCACGGCATGAAACGGAAATGGGGATGTAATGTCGTCGAGTCGCGGCGCGAGGGGGTCTGGGAATATACGTTTTGTCCTGACTTTGATGAATCTCAATCTCGATCTCGACCTCAATCTCAATCCAAGACGATCTGGAACGAAAACCAAGATGAAAAGAGGGATCATCGCTGCCCATTGGAAAAATCGTATCGTCGTCACCAAGTCTATTACTTCGCCGGCGGAGGGTTTCAAGCGCCTCCATCGGGGGAACACTGGTTATTCCTGGCGCAACTGGCGAAAGAGTGCGGTGAGCATTCTGAGATCGAGATTGGGATTACTCTCGTCTCTTACCCGCTCGCCCCGTCTTCTCCGGCAGCAGACTCGTTGCCCATGATGCGAACGTGGTTGACCAGTGTGCTTGACGAGGCTAGACTCTCGGGTGATACGGTCAGTTTGGCCGGTGATAGTAGTGGTGGGAACATTGCGTTGAGTCTGGGGTTTTGGGCGGTTGAGCATTATAAGGAAGACGAAACGAATTTGAAGAGTTCCGGTGCCGTCGACAAAGGTACTGCGTTTCCCCTGCGCTCTGTGCTATGTATCTCGCCACCCGTTGACATGCGAAATACGAATCCTGCGATTTCAGAGTGCGACAAGGTCGATCCTGTGCTTACGATGGGTCTAACGGAGCGGATTGCTCGAGAGTGGACAGCGGCAGACAGCAGCAGGGAGAATACAGCAAAGAAGATATCGTATTCGTCCGAGTCTTCATCTTCAGCATCGTCCAGAGATGTTGAACCTGCTCCATGTGTGCCATTCTCCTCCGAAGATCCAAGTACTTCCCCACTACTGAATCCAGAATCGGCCTTTCGTGCACTCAAGGAAAGAGGTGTGTCGGTCCACGGAGTCATAGGCACACATGATGTGCTGGCGCCGGACGCTCTAGAGTTCCTCCGCCGCTGTGAAAGTCAGGGCATTAATGGTCGGTGGCTGGTTTGGGAGGGCCAGATGCATTGTTTCCCACTAGCGGGGGGATATCAGAAGTTGGGTCTTAGGGAGGGACGGGTCGGGAGGCAGTTTGTATTGGATCTGTTGAGGAATGATGCTCGCATTGAGAGGTCTTGAAGCAGTCAACTCGTAAGTGATCATGGACGAGATTGTTTTCCAAGTTGTTTGTTCGCAGTCCGACCTTCTGCCTGGGGTACTGGTATTATTGAATAATTTGAAGCAGTAGTGATAATGATAATAACAACAATGATAATGATAATGATAATAAAATTTGTGGTTCATTCCGCAACGTCCGTGGTCGCCGTACCTGCGGCAACAGGGTCGTCCAACATACCCTTCTCGCCGAGAGTGATGATGGCTTCCAACAGCCTTCTTCTTTCCTCCTCTTGTTCTTTTTCTACCATGACCTGGAATAAACCTTTTCTCCGGTCGGTAGTGGGCGCTGTAATTGCTGAATTCTTGTTTTTACCCTTTTTAAGTCTTGCATTCTGTGTACCCTCCTCCGCTTCGGCGTTGTGATTTTGTTTCTCATGAGAGAAGCGACAGTTCGATCCGAATTTACACCGACCGAACTTGATAAGGTTCCTACAGGGACGGGTCGAGGCAAGTGATTTTTTCGAAGGCTGTAGCATGGGACCATCAACAGCTAGAGCACCTCCTTTGGTGCTCACGACTTCTGGAGCCGAGTCCGAGTCAGAAGCTTCGTCCGAGAGCGACCCAGCTTCTGATTCCGTGTCTGTTCCTGACGACCCTGAGGAGGATGTATAGTCGTCGGAATCAGTTAGCTCGGAGTCAGAGGAGGTATCCAAAGATTCATTTTCTGCAGCCAAAGTCAAGTCGTCCGCATCAGAGGCGGGTTGTGCATTCGAGCCGTCTGGACCTGTAGGAAGATGTGGGGTGGTGGTTTCTGCATTCGCCTTCGCCTCAGCAACGCGGAGAGCTTCTTCGGCTTTGGCCAACTGGCGTTCAGCTCGGAGGGCTTTCTTCCTCAGTTTCTCTGCTCTCTCCTTGGCCAGGGTAGCGGTGTCCACTTGTGGTCCGTTCTGTTTGTTGTCTTGTTTCTGACGCTCTATCACTTCTTTTTGTTGTCTCTTCGCTCGTTCTCGCTCGTTCCGTTCTTGTTCCCTCTTTGCCTGAGCCGCTTTCTTCGCCTCCAGCCTGGCCTGCTTTTCCTCCTCCCATTTACGCTTCCTCTCCGAGGCTTCTTCCTTTGCGGCCTCAGCTTTAGCCAGTGTGGGATATCGCTTTTTCCTCTCGGCAATCCAAGCTGCAATTTCCTCCGGCGTCCTGAGCGTAGCCACCCGTCCTTTGTATTCAAAATGTAGGGCCTGAGCCTGTCCGCTCGGCGTCACTTGAGCGACGAGGCGCTCTTCCTCGCCTTCATCGTCCTCCGGCTCCGAGGCTTGGTCTAGTGAAGCAGGTGTGAGACCGAGAAGGTTGTGCTTCCTCACTTTGGGAACTGTGGTGCTCTTGGGCTGCGGTTCAGGCGGTTTGGGAGGCAGGAGATGTTCAATAGAGGCATTGAAACTTGGAACTGCAGGAGGAGCAACAGGGCGAGGTCGAGCCTGGTTCATCGAAGGGAAAGCAGAGGCATGGTCTCTCTTCTGGGGACCATTGACGAAAGAGCCTCGACGGGGCCCATTCGAGAAAGTATTCGACTGAGACCGAGGGTAACCCGTCGGCGCATGCTGCCCTCCTCCTGCATATCCTCCGCGTCCGCCTCTGAAGCCTGCTCTGGAAGGAGGACCACCCCTGAATGAGCCTCTATTATTGTGAAAACCACTGCCAGTGTTCTGTTGTACGGGTCCCTGCGTGTTTCGTTTTGGTGGTGGAGGCGGAGGCGGAGGGAACGAGAATGGTTGTGACATTTTGAGCGTTCCGACTTGTTGCGTTCCTCATCACTGTTAAATAGACGGAATGAGAGCGGTGTCAGCGTGAAGTATTCATGTACTGCATTTTTGTGCAATAATGAGATGCCCAACCAAGTCTCTATTATCGTGGGAAATCTCAAAACGGTTTGTGAAGGATCAAGTACAACATAAATTTTGGTTGAAGAGACGACGTCAGGGTCTAGCCAAAGCCTTAGGGAGACGTTAGTGGCTGCGGTTCCCTAAGTTCGCTAACCATAAGATCGTCCAAGCATGCTGAATATGGGCGGCCGCCGCCTGTCGCTGCGGGTCTCCGGGGGCGCCTGAGGCTAAAGCCTTGCCGCTCTCGCAGGCCCACACCAAACCTTCACTATCTGCCAGTGGTGGCTTTCTGATCTTTTTTTCTGTATCAGCGCAATTGATCACGACAGAGCCTGCTTTTGAAAGCAATCAATACTGGATCATGCGCATATCCCAGTCATCATCACCAAACCGCCAGATACTATCCATAGGGTAGCAATATGTTCATTCTTGTACGGCTCCAGATAGCCTCGCATTTGCGCATTACTGACCCAGCAGACCACGTTTGAGGATCTAGTGCAAATCCCGCCTTATGGGTTCTTGAACAACCAAATCACCCGCGAAGACCTCGAGGACAGAATCAATGAGAAATACTCAAACAAGGTCCGGCTCTCTTGGTTCAGGCAGATTATATTGCCATATCTGACACCCATCATAGGTAGTGCAGAAAGTCGGACTCTGTATCTGCATGTACGACCTCCTCAAGGCTTCTGATGGCTTGATCGGAAATGGCACAGGCAATGCCAACGTCAATGGTGGGAAATCTGCTTTGCCGACATTCTCGTCTGTACCTACTCATGCATTTGCAGTTCGATTTCGAATGATTGTGTTCCGCCCCTTCAAGGGCGAGATCATGACGGGCACTGTCCAGAGGTGTACACCCGAGGGTATTCACAGTGAGTGGTCTTTGCCTCCCTTGCGCAGATTTTCATTCTAACTTCATGCTGTCACGACGCGATTCTTTGACGATATCTTTGTCCCTCACACCATGCTTTTCGAGGACTGCTACTTGTGAGTACTCGTACAGTGGACAATCCTGTCCCCTACTGGTAAGGCAGTGGTTGACATTGATAAAACAGCGATGAAGATGAACAGACGTGGATTTGGAAGACGGGAGATGCCTCGCTGTATTTTGATCCGGCTACCGTCGTCAACTTGCGCGTTGAGTCCGAGAAATGGCATGATCAGGCACCCAAAGGTCCTCAGGCCGAAGGCGAGGCTGAAAAGCAGACCGAGCGCAAAGTTCCCTACGCTATCGAGGTGAGTACTTGAAGATTTGACCGCAACACCGTTCCTGACTGTGGATTTGACAGGCTTCGATGGCCGAGTCTGGGCTGGGAGGCGTAGACTGGTGGTGAACAGGTCAAAGTTGAATAAATCTTCAAGGCACAAGACTTCGAAAAGGCCCGGACGGCCAGCTCCCGTGCGCTGTCCCTCCGCTGCTGCTGCTCTTGTCGACGAGGGTTGAGGACATGCCATGAGCTACGCCGGTACTGCTAAAACGCCCATCCTGAGAGAAAATTGGCGCAGGAGTGCATTTCCCATTTCTTTGCGCCTCTTCAGCTACAGAGGAAAGTCTCTTTGGCACTATCTATCTCTGGGTACTCGTTCTACGTGCGATGCCTCAACTGTGGCAGCCCAACAAAAAGCTGCCCAGTGGCGACCCAACAGCGAAATCAGCACCAGGACATTGTGCAGGACTTTCTACTTCAAAGTGTTTGGAGGCGCAAACCTGGAGTAATCGTGGAGGTCTTAAAGATCTGGCAGCAAGACGCAACAAGCATGAGCAATACACCGCCACAGCCCCGGGATAGCAGTCTCATAAGACTCCCTCAGGACGGGTGGAGGAAGTTGGTGAAGGAGAAACGAAGACAGATTCTACCTAATCGCCTGCTAGATAGATAGTGGTTGAGAGCGATCACAAAGCTTGAACTGGCTTTAAAAGGGGCCAACTCGAACTGTTGCTGGGCGTTGTGTCCCCGTCGTCCCTAACTTTTCGGGGACTTCCGTACGCCCTTCGCGGGCTTTGACAACTTGAATGGAACAAAACAAATAAAAATAATATAATACAAATACCAGGAACGATATTACCATGAAAATACGCGTGTCAGATTCCTCCGGAAGCACGTCATTTGCCGTCGCGTCATCCTGTGAATTAGTTAATATTTGTGATGGATTTGTCGGTTTTACGGCCGCGTCGTATCTTGTTTTGTGCTCGGATCCTTCAAGGTTTGGATTAAAAATCAACCCACGCCTTCGCATCATTATGAATCGTACGATACAATAATAAGACGATCGAGTCGCTCCCGTCTTGCATCCTGCCATCTCCCCGGCCCGAAACCAAATACCCGTCTTCTTGCCTCTGCGCCCTTCGTGTCAGCCTGCGACTGCGGTCCTCGACCCCTCCTGTCCCCCTCTCCTCCGACACTCCATCTGGAAAAAAAGAAAAAAACATCCGAGTCTCCTCCGTCAACAACCCTCTCTTTGCCCTGTTCAAGATGACGGTCTCAGCTCCTCACTCACCTCGGCCGCTGCGCCCGAACGAACGGATATTAACCAACGAAGATGGCGGCATCGTCACACCGGCGCGCGCACCGTCGCCAGTTCACCAATTCGGTACACTCGCAGTGCACGCCGGCTCACCTCACGACCCATCGACGGGGGCCGTGATCGAACCACTATCACTATCAACTACATTCGCCCAGACATCAGTCGGCAAGCCAGTCGGACAATACGAGTACAGCCGCAGCGCGAACCCGAACCGAAGCAATTTCGAAGAAGCAGTCGCCGCACTCGAACACGCACGCTACGCGCTGGCATTCGCGTCGGGGTCTGCAACGACCGCAACAATCCTACAATCCCTAGCGGCCGGATCGCACGTCATCTCGGTATCGGACGTATACGGCGGAACCCATCGCTACTTCACCAAAGTGGCCCTGGCGCACGGGGTAGAAGTGACATTTTCGCCCTCGATCGAGCTGGACGTGGAGGAACTGATTCGGGATCAAACAAAACTGATCTGGATCGAATCGCCATCAAACCCTACGTTGAGCCTGGTCGATATTAGAAATGTGGCGACCGTGGCCCACCGACACGGTATCCTGGTGGTGGTCGACAACACTTTCTTATCGCCGTACGTGCAGAACCCTCTCGACCACGGCGCCGATATTGTCGTGCACTCTGTGACAAAATACATCAACGGACACTCGGACGTGGTCATGGGCGTGGCGGCGTTTAACTCCGACGAGCTCAAGGAACGATTGTCGTTCCTGCAGAATGCTATTGGGGCCGTCCCATCCCCCTTTGATTGCTGGCTCGCTCATCGGGGATTGAAGACGCTGCATTTGCGTGCCCGTGAAGCCAGCAAGAATGCTCTGGCCGTCGCCAGGGCGCTCGAGGCTTCGCCGAACGTTATTGCCGTCAGTTATCCTGGTCTGGATTCCCATAAACAGAGAGCCATTGCCCTCAAACAGCACCGCGATGGTCTGGGCGGTGGTATGCTCAGTTTCAGACTCAAGGGTGGCCATGCCGCTGCCGAGCGCTTCTGTCAGCAGACGCGTATTTTTACTCTTGCTGAGAGTTTGGGCGGCGTTGAGAGTCTTTGCGAGGTTCCCTCTGCCATGACCCATGCTGGGATCCCAAAGGAACAGCGCGAGTCGATTGGTGTCTTTGACGACTTGGTCCGCTTGAGCTGTGGTGTTGAAGACGCCGATGATCTGAAGAAAGATGTTCTGCAGGCTTTGGAAAGGGCCGTTATTGCACCAAAGATATCAAATGGCGTCGCGAATGGCGTTGATGGTCCTTTGCCCAGAAGATAGAGATCTACCTAAGGTACCGTACCTACAGTACCTACTGTATCTGCCTGCCAGCCCATCTCGGCCCTCCGCCTTCAACCGGTGGTAATCTGGCCCCCCAAATCATAAAAGAGATACCCGTTCTACTACTAGGACTTATATCGGCCGCGTTTATTGGTTTACCTTGACCTTTGGGCACAAGTCCGTATATACCATACCTTACCTTCAACAAAAAGCCATTTACTGGCTCGGAGACTGTGGGAACCGAATGAAGAGTTCATCATCTTTCAAAGGCTTATGCTATGATAGTCCCGTCTTTATCTTTATCCTTAGATCCTGGATGCGCAGAGATACAGCGTGCTCGGCGATACAGGTGTAAATGTAACGTCATTTTTTGTCAGATATATCATTTTTTGTAGAAATAATCAAAAAAACCAAAACTGTAAAGGGGTATCTTTAAATCAAAAGAACATTTCTTCCCGGGCAATACTAATGAAATAGGAACAAGAACACGCGAGTATACTCGGGACGACCGGATCGAGCCATGCAATAGTAGTGTCATGCTTTCCCAGCCCATTTTGCTGTTAAGAGCGCCTTCAACTCCCGAGTTACTGACATCCTTTTCATTTCATTTCCATGTCGAAAACGGCCAAAACAGGGGTGAAAAGGCAAGAGAGACCGGACAGACAGACAGTCTGGCTATAGTAGGTCCAACAATTTCAATCGTGGATCTTCGCCTTTCTCTTCCAATTCCCCACGCTGGTTTCGGACAGCTGCTTTGGGAAAGGCGAATGGGTGAGGGAGAGAAAATGGTAGCTGCAGTGGCGTTGAGAACGGAAGTGGAAGTCCAGTTGTTGGCTTTGCATGATGCTCTCCCGGGCCCTGCGCGGCGGTAGGGTCGTGTTGGCCATGTCGCTGCTGTAGTTGTGTTGTGTCTTCAGCTCCATTTCTATTCGGGCTGTTTTGTTGCCCCATGTCAGGGCGCCGGCCGCCATGAACCACTGGCGCGTCTCGTATAATACCTGGGAATTTGACTTTGCGACGACGGTTTTTCTCGGCTATGTCGAGAAGGAGACGTCGGACATCCTCGGGTACTTTTGGGACAGATTCAGGAGATGCTGGAGCCGACTCTACTGAGGCCGAGTTCGAGACCGACACAGGCTCTTTGCCCTTGTGTACATAGCTGCTGTGATGTTGGTCGTCGTCCTGCATCAAAAGCAACCTCTCGTTCCTCGCACCAACCGAACCCTCACTACCATCAAGCTGCAATGACGCATTCCAACTCCCCTCGCTGTGGGCACCGAGGCCAGCTTTGACAGGGTCACCACGGAACCAACCCTCCTTGCCCAGCACGACCAACACAACGAGTGCGACAACAGTAATCGACGTCCACCAGACTACGCCGACCACGCGGCCCCAGACCTTGCGGACCTGGTCCTCCCTTTTCTCCCAGTTCTGAATCACCAGCCTGGCATTCTCGAGGCGCAAACTAAGCTCCTCGGCCTTTGCGTTTGCCTTTTGTCCGCGCTCGGCGAGTGCCTGGGTCTTGCGGTCGCGAGCCTCAAAGGCGGCCTTGAACGAATTGACGCGCTTGTTGGTGTCCGCGTCCAGACGGCGCGTCTCCTTGTCGAAATTGACAATCAATTGCTCGCTCTGCTTGCTGAGCGATTGAAAGCCCGTGATAATGGCCACCAGACTGCCGACCGTCTCGAGAAGGTTGTAGTACCCGTAATCTAGACGGCGGGTGATTTCGGCGCCCTTGGCCGTGATGGCTGCGATGCGTGACCGCATTTCCTCCTCTGCTTCCGCGAGCTCGACATCGCGCCTCATAATTTCTTCTTTTTTCACATACAGTCTTCGCGCCACACGCGCTTCCTCCGCTCGCTCTAGGGCAATTTCAAAAGATGTTTTCGGCCGGAGAGCAGCCGCACGGTTTGAGTCGGAAGTTACTCGTTGCTGTTGCCCCGGATCAAAGCGCCCGCCTTCATTGTAATCGCTGCTGGTGGTGCCGGATGGCCCGAACGAGTATTGTTGCGCCTGCTGCTGCTGCTGCTGACCCGATCGTGGAGCGGCGACATTGGGCGGCTGAGGTGGCTGCTGTAATCGCTTTTCCCGCTCCGCATTCAGTCCCGCCACCAAATGTGGGAGATTGGAAGGCGTCTCTTTTGACTGTTGTTGCCGACGTGATGTCGTCGACGTCGCTGGTTGGGCATCGCTTTGTGTCGGTCGATGGCCTTTCGGTAATCCCTTTCCCTCTTCGTGACGATGGTCATGCGGCAACTGCGAGTGAGAATGGGAGTGGTGGTGACGATGCTGATGTCGTCGGTGTGATGACCCCGGTAAATGGATACGGGGCAGTTTCTCCGCCGTCTTTTCCAAGGCACTGGCTGCAGGCAGCGTTATTGCATTCCGTGTCTTCGTTTCGGTGGGTGAGAGATAGGACTTCGAGCGGAGGTGGTTCGGCCGGGTGGGCGTGGGTGAAAGATTGCCTTCCGCCTTCGCAGGCTCACTGATAGTCGGCAAGTCCTTTGGGCGACTTGGGTCGGTTGAGGATCGTGATCGGTAGACGGTCGGTCGAGGCTGTGAGTCCATGGCAGGATCAAGGCATCACAGCCTGATGTTCAGTTTGCAACTATGTGCGGGTAGCCTTGTCAAGGGTACTGATGCCATTGGCAAGAGACAATGAGTACCATGGTCAACACTTGATCGGACGTATACAGTGTATTTGTTGACTTGAGGATACCATGTCTGTTAGTTTTCCTCAAAGACATGGAAGTGATGACGATCAATCGACCGCAATTCAGCCGAAGAACAATACACGTGATTCAGCCTTGCCTACACAGCTGTACAAGGCTACATCTTGAGCTGACCTCTGGCAGTGCTGGTACTGCTGTAGCATGGCTCCTCGGCGTGTTTAAAGGCCTGATTATGCATTTCAAGTTTACTATTATTCAATCTGCATTGGTTCTCGTATGGTCATATTCAGTCATCCGGTCCAACCCGCACATTCAACAGCCTCTAGCAGGTAAGTCTGCTCGATTCAAGGATCCTGCAGTCATCCATCGCCTTGTGGAAAGGCCGCCGAAAGGTTCTGACCAGTCCAATCGCCGGAAAGATATCGCCTTGCCACAACACCATCAACCGTTGCCATAAGGTCGGTTTAGTATTCGGCACCGCCATCGTCTTCGACTTCCAAGCTGTCGCTGGCGACTTCTTCGTAGTCCTTCTCCAGAGCAGCGAGATCTTCTCTGGCCTCAGAGAACTCGCCTTCCTCCATACCTTCTCCAACATACCAGTGGACGAACGCACGTTTAGAGTACATGAGATCAAATTTGTGGTCGAGGCGGCTCCAGGCTTCGGCAATAGCAGTGGTGTTGGAAAGCATGCTGACTGAACGGTCGACCTTGGCCAACTCTCCACCGGGAACGGGCATTGCTGAAAATCACGTTAATTGATATCCTGATGAACAGGAAGGCTGGGGTCACTTACGTGGCTGATAGTTGATTCCGACTTTGAAACCAGTTGGGCACCAATCAACCAGATGGAAGCTGGATTTGGCTTTAAGTGTAGCAATGGCGGCATTTGCATCACGCGGGACAACATCACCGCGGTAAAGCAGAGCAACAGCCATGTATTTGCCGTTGCGAGGGTCACACACAACCATCTGGTTGTTAGGCTCGAAGCATTGTAGAGTCAAGTCCTGGGTCTTGAAGCTCTCATGGGAAGAACGTTTGGCCGAGACAACTGGGGCGTAGCTGATCAGTGGATAATGGATACGAGGGTATGGCACCAGGTTCGTTTGAAACTCGTTCAAGTCAACGTTCAGAGCGCCATCAAACCGCAAAGATGATGTGACGGATGAGACAACCTGGGCAATCAGGCGGTTTAAATGCTCGTAGTCTGGACGGGGAATATCGAGGTTTCGGCGGCAAATGTCATAGACGGCCTCGTTGTCCACTAGGAACGTGCAATCGGCGTGCTCGATAGTGCTGTGGGTGGAGAGGACGGCATTGTATGGTTCAACCACAGAAGACGAAACTTGAGGAGCAGGGTAAACAGCAAATTCGAGTTTCGACTTCTTGCCGTAGTCAACCGACAGTCGCTCGAGGAGGAGAGCCCCAAAGCCAGATCCGGTACCACCGCCAAAAGAGTGGAAGATCAAGAAGCCTTGCAACGACGAGCAGTTGTCTGTGGTCCAAGGTCAGTCAGTCAATTCCCTCGTCTTGTCCCAGAGAGAAACTCCCATACCAGCAACGCGGCGGATTTTGTCGAGGACTTCATCAACCATCTCCTTTCCAATTGTGTAGTGACCTCGAGCATAGTTGTTTGCTGCGTCCTCCTTGCCGCTAATCAAAAGCTCGGGGTGAAACAGTTGTCTGTATTTGCCAGTCCGGATTTCGTCGATCGGAGAAGGGTCGAGGTCCACAAAAATAGACCGGGGAACATGCTTGTTGCCGCTCGTCTCGGTAAAGAAGGTCTCGAATGAGCCGGGGTCGCCAACATTGGCATCAGGGTCAGGACGACCATCAGCCTTCAGGCCATGCTCGAGAAGGTACCTGGGCGACGATTAGCAAACAAACTGCAAACCTGATGTGAAGGTGTCCTCAACGTACAATTCCCAGGCAGCATTGCCGAGCTGCGTTCCCGCCTGCCCGATATGCAGGTGGCAGACCTGTCGGAGTGTGTTAGCAATGCGATCTATGGCGGTTTAGTTGCTCGTGAAGGTGGGTGATCTGGTCGGGTCCTCTCGAGGGCTTTGTTGACTCGATCAGGAGGGGCAGACACGAAAACCACAACACTTACTTCCCCACGCATCTTGAAGTGCTTCTGCTCTGGTAATCCCGAAGACGCGGTCTCTGACGGTAGTCTATGCTAGACAGCAGATTCTGGCTCCGAGCGCCAAATGCTGGAATGTCGGATGCAAACTGACAGGAGATGGATACACTTGAACTGCGCAAGACTGTAGAGCGAAGAGTGGTTGTGCGCGGAACAGGAAGTTGTTTTTGGACACTGACCTGCGATTGGCGCGTGGCCAAATGAGGCCAAAACATACGCCAAGCCTGCGTTCAGGGGTATAAACGATAACAACGCGCTACTGGTACATAACATCCTACGGACTTGGACCTTCTCTCCAACAGCAGACCTACAGTACCTGTAGGTACCTACCCGTAGGGACTACAACCTGGGAGCTGCAGACTGCAGTGCTGTCTTCTTGCTTCGAGTGCTAGCCAGTTGCCTTTTGTGGCGATATTGCGTCCTTAGATCTTGTGTAACGTAACTCGCCTTCCCATGCACACTTTCGCAGCGCAGAAACGCCGCGACGACCGAGACATTCGCGGCCAGTCTGGCATCGTGGGCTTCAAGTTGTCTATATCGAGGGATGGCCAAACCATCTCTCAATTGACTTTCTTAATTTCAATTGTATTACGTCAAAGAAGCATGGGACCGATTAAAAGCTATGCAAGATGGCTCAATGTGGCGCTAGACTTGTAGAACAAACAGAACAACCGTCGCGTCGTTCGGTATGATCTGGATGGACGACGGCCTGGAGGTCACAAGATCGGGTGGATTGCACACAGAATGCAGATTGAAGGCTTAACATATGTACCGTTGTAGCTGACGCGCGCTGGGAACGATAATATGGATGACATCGAAAGTGATAAGCTCACATGTTCAGTATATCGAGGGCAACCAAGACTCGGAAGTCCAGCAACCTGTGACAGGATGGGTCCCCTTGCGATTTGCAGCTGCAGACAAAAGGCCAGCCAGGCTTTAAAAAGTACCTAGGTATGGAGGAGCTGAGGATAATCCGGAGACGACAACGATGGAGCTAACTTCTCGGTGTAATTTTTGGGATGCTGTCCTTGAAGATGATGTACCTTATTATTACAGTAAAAGGACTTGGGGGGATTTGCTGTGTCCTACTAGTAGCCGAGCGGCTGCTAAAGGTACCTGCATGTGGGCATATACTGCTCTTTAAACAGCTTGTAAAGGCAGACTGTCCCCATAAGCAACAAAAATCCAGAACCCGTGTTCCATACAACATTGTACATCCATTGTAGACAACCACGTCGCCATTTATTACCAGCTCTGTGCATACACGAGGTCGCATTAATGCATGCTGTGCATAACTAAGAGACATGGCTGAGAGATACCTGGTATCTTCTATGGCTGTCACTTCAATCCGTGTCAGATTGCCAAAATGTCGATCCTCGCCGATGTAAGATGGGATTGGCCCACTTGATTTCGATCAAATGGAAGAAATCTTCGAAGCCTGCCACTACTGCTGTACTCATATTATTGGCACATATCCGCACGGAGGTGCGCTATGGTGAAACATACTGTACAACGTTGTAGGCGTGCGATGCTGAAGCGGCCGGCAGGAGAAGACACGGCGGGTCTGTCAGAGCAGAAGTCAGGGCAGCCGGGTCAGCCACCACTACGCGTACACTAAACTTGAAGCTGTACAGTGCCGGATGCAGCGGGCCTTTTAGGGGTTGCGCAGCCCGCGGAGCCCTTGAAGATACCTTCTGGTTGGGTTAGCATACTCAATCAGCCCCTAGGACGTCGGTTCTTATCGGCGCTTACAGCGTCTCCGAAGCCACCTTATCCACAGCTTACCAGGCTCCGGGGCCTTGGCCGCCCGGTTCAAACCAGCAAACCCTCTCCCTGTCATCGGTCCAAGCTTCCCTGAGTCGTCATACCAGGATCCAGTTCAAATCCTTCTCCTCAAGACGCGCCCCAATGCGTGTGGAGAGGGTGGCATAAAGGGACCAGAAAAAATACATAACACTCAGGTTATGAGCCGCCCCAGACTCAACGGCCTCACAGAAGCCCGATCACGAGTTGCTCTTGCACTCTTCACCTAACCGATACACTGACTGACAAGGCTACGGAGCCTTGTTCTCCTTCATGCCATCTCCATTCTTCTTCCTCAACTCGCTCGCTTCATATCCTAATCCCGTTCTGTAACCATACCGTTCTTCAGTTCTCTCTCGGGCCCTCTCACAAGCGGTCGGGCGACCGCAGAGGAACATCTTTTTTTTCCCTTACGTCTGGTGTTGAGCCGCTGGCTGGCTTCAGCAGGACGATATAAAGGGCGCATTGAAGGATCCGCTTACTCTTTCACGTCTGAAGCGCTCTGCTTCCCTCTCCCGACCCAACAATGACGACTCCTACCCAGGAACTCCCTCGCCTGGAGTTCGCCCCGCCCTCCAACCGCTCCTCTGACGATGACAGTACGGCCGTCGGGCAGGATAAACAAGATGGGACTGTCGACAGCAAGTTGCTGCGTGAGCGTCTGATGGTGGAAACGTCACGCGAGCCAAATTCACGGTATGAGGATGCTCGACCGTCGCCGTCTCAAACCAGGGAGGAAGCGTCCCGTTTGGACGATGAAATAGCGTTGCAAAAGGCCGAGCGCCTCACATCCATGGAATCGCGACAATCGGAAGCAGGACGAAACTCTACCACCTTACACCGATCGAGGTCCCGAGTGCCCGAGCCCCTTGACGAGTTCGATACCGCAACAAATCCACTGCATGAACGGACTGCCATCTACAAACCTCCCGAGAACCCGAGCACCAAAGTCGCAAAGTTCTTCAAATATATTCATCAGTCGAGTTTTGTGGTCCGTTATTTCACTTACATCGTCCCGGTCACCCTCCTTTTGTTGATTCCGGTTCTAATTGGGGCACTGCTACCCGCTGGCAAGCGTGCGAGTGTTGGGGACGTCGAACTTCTTTGGTTTGGCGTCTGGCTGGAAATCATTTGGTTAACGCTGTGGGCCGGTCGAATCGTGGCCAGACTCATTCCTTATCCTCTCGGACTTGTGGCGAGCTTGTTCACCAACAATGCCAAAAAGTGGCGAGACCTGGGCAAGTCGCTTGAGATACCGGCTACCCTCTTCTTCTGGTGGCTTGGTATTGAAGTCTCGTTCTTGCCGACTATGACGAACCATCATGTGGACGGGAATACGCGCACACGCCACTGGGAAGTGATCCTCAACAAGATCATTGTTTCCATCTTTGTGGGGACCGCACTGAATTTCATTGAGAAGATCATCATCCAACTTATAGCCATCTCATTTCATCTACGAACATATGCCGACCGTATCGAGCTGAACAAATTCCAGATTGGCAGTCTTACCAAGCTTTACATCTTTTCCAAAGCCAAGATCGCAATGGAAGATGCCGAGTTTGAGGAAAAACCCTCGGGCCATGCCTCGGGCACTCGCACACCAGCTCAATACGCTGCGCAAGCAACCCAGGTTATCAACCGGGCTTTCGCGAAAGTGGGCGATGTGGCGGGAACTGTAGCAGGGGACTTTACAGGGAAAAGCATTGCCAAAAGTGGACATCCATCACAGGTGGTCCTGACTTTGTTGAACACCACAAATGGGTCTCAGGTGCTGGCCCGACGTCTTTATCGCACATTCGTCCGCGACGGCTGTGAGACAGTGGCGTCCGATGACCTTAAGGCAGCCTTCGATAATGATGACGAGGCTGATGCGGCTTTCAGCATGTTCGACAAGGACATGAACGGCGATATCTCCATGGAAGAACTTGAAGCCGTCTGTGTGGAGATAGGCCGGGAACGGAAGTCGATCACCGCCTCACTCAAGGACTTGGATTCTGTTGTCAGCAAGTTGGACGATGTTTTGTTCTTCATTGTGGTTGTGGTCACGATTCTTGTCCTCATCTCTCTCATATCTACTTCAGCAGCCGGTGTACTCACCTCAGCTGGCTCTGCGGTCCTGGCTTTGTCATGGCTATTTTCGGCCACAGCGCAGGAGTTTCTGCAGTCTTGCATCTTTGTCTTCGTCAAACATCCGTTCGATGTTGGGGACCGAGTGAGTATCTACGGGAACACCGGCTCGTCTCTCAAGGGAGACGATTACTTCGTTAAAGAGATCTCACTTCTATACACCGAGTTTAAGAAGATGGAAGGACACATCGTGCAGGCACCAAACTCTTACCTCAACACTCTTTTCATTTTGAATATGCGGCGTTCTGGTGGTCTCGCCGAAGCAGTGCCCATCGTGATCCGGTTCGGCACCACTCTCGAACAGATCGAGGGCCTGCGCAACGCCCTTCTGGAGTTTGTCAGATCGGAAAAGCGTGAATACCAGGGCAACATCTTGACTGAACTCCGTGAGGTTTGCGAAGCGTACTCGTTGACTTTGAACGTCGTCTTCTTTTACAAGTCAAACTGGCAGAATGAATTGCTCCGCTTGCAGCGAAGGAACAAGTTCATCTGCGCCCTCATGGTCGCAATGCAAGAGCTCGGTATCGAAGGTCCGCGGCGCAACCAAGCTGGTTGGAGGGCAGAAGAACCGTATTACATGCAATTACCTCCTGGTGCGCCTCCTCTTGTGCAAGTTGGTAGCACGACGGGTGGAGAAGGCGGTCCGCCAGCAGGCACCACTGGTGTTACTGGCGAGCCAATCCACCAGACTCCTCTCAGTGCATCTTCTCTGAACCACTCCTCGATCCTCCGCCGCCGGCCTAGTACCGGTCAGCTTGGACGTCCCCGCGGCGAATCTCTGTCTAGTCTGTCAAAACGCGTGGATTTCTCTTTGGGCATGAAAGACGTCAGCTCAGGTGAGCAACTATCTGATGTGTACGAAGAGCCAAGGCGTCCAGAAATAAAAGAAATCATCCGCGAGACAAACAGAATCGAAGAAGAACGACGAATCTCGGAGTCCCAAGACCGCCAGGGTGATGCTAGGTCTACGTCGCGAGACCATCACCCTCATGCGATGACTGGGATATTGAGAAGATCAACGACACAAAGCCTCGCCGGCAGTCAGCGCGAGTCTTCGGCTGTGGCGCCCCACAGAGCTTCCATCAGCAGCCAAGAAACTCATCGGAACCGGTTCTTGCATCGCTTCAACCGTCCGCGGCCAAGCATCGATCATCCTCGCGATTCTCTTGCGGAGGAAGGAAACGCTCCGCCACTTACACCCATTGATGCCCGATCTGGCCAAGTGAGCTCTCAGGCTGTCCGTATGGACTCCGTGGAATCTGAGCGGCAGGAACCGTTCCCCATCATGCCGCCAGCTTTCAGTGAAACCGAGGACTTTGGGTTTAGGAGAAACATGCTGGACGGGCAAGGCCAATCTCGTTGATCTAGGAGTTGCTGGTGCAGGATCGCCTTTGGTTTGCTGCCGCAGGAATCGGTCCTGGATCAATGTGCTCCAAGCTGGATATTTGTCTTGATCCAGTGACACTCGTGCTAGGACAGATGTGAGGTGGTTCTATTTTGGACTGAGGCTATGTTCCCAGTTTTTAGCTTATTTCGAACCAGTCTTTGCTCGATTGCAAAGGTATGACCATAGACGATAGAGCTTACGCAAGCGTGTTGGCCATTTCACAGCCATGATGAAGCGATAGACAGCCGGCAATAGACGGAAAACAAATAGATTGTGCAACCAATGGAATGTTTCGTTATTGGGGTAGTAAGCTGACGTCTGCTTTTAATGCTGTTCAAGCCCGTGAACGCTGGATTGAAGGGTGGTACGATCCGCGCTATGCTCGATCCGGATGCTATCTGGGGGGAAGAAGTGTCCCCAAACACTGAATGAAGATTTCTTTCGCCTTTTTGTGACGCAGTTCTTACAGTTGAGAGCTATCACTCAATTCAGCTCGGTGTGAGCAGCAGATAGATAAGTCCCTTTCTGGTTCCTTGATATCCCTCTGTTATCGAATGAGAGCTGGCCGCCCACTTTAACAGCTATTCGGTCGCTGCGACAGAGGCCCAGATTACACAATATCACAGCCTTGCAATCAATTTGTCACGTTTTCCCACTTTTCCTCTTCGCTTTCTCTTGCTTTGGCCGTAGATGTTTATCTGGGCTTTGACAGAAGGGAGGAAAAGGCCCATTTGGTTCGTTTATAGGAGCGAAGGAGAAGATCGGCTTTGTTTGTCTTGTGGCTCTTGTTGAGGAGGAGGAAGAAAATCATGTTTTTCAAGCCATGCGCTTGCTGACTGGAAGATCCAGAAGCTGAATTCAGAGAGGAGAATGTACTTCTGAGCAATGAGTTGAGCGGCAACTACAGGCTGGAGAGACGCTAGGCGGTCATGAACTTAGCATACCTCATGACCGGGCAGCTAAGGTTACTTGAGTCCTTGAGAACTCGGAGATGTTGTTGGCGGCATTATCGAGCGATATTTCTCCTGGATGACACTTCCAACAGGTTGAGTTTTGCTGTGCATCTTGGTTTAGGTCATTCGAGATGATGGATGAGACACGAGGTAGGTTAGGTTAGTGAAGCACAGCTGAGGATTTGCTGAGGTGACGGAGACACGGTGACAGTGAATGCTGGCCTAGAACAGACTGGCAGTGAAGATGAACAGGAAGTGACAGTCAGACTGTTGCCTGCGCCCAGTGAAGCAAGTGTCGCAGCTGTTCTGCCAGTGACGGTGCCAGTGCTACTAATACGTCTGCGCCTTTCTTCAAGTTCCTGACTTCATCCTCCTTGTCTTTCTCTCTTCTTCCTACACCAAATCTCGCTCTTCCCTCGTTGTCTTCAGCAACCTCTCTCGTCCTTCTGTCCCTTTGCCCTGTTTACCAACACTCTTGCTAAGCAGCGGCATCTTTGTTTTCTTGCTTGCGCGCACTCTCATTGTCGTCTCTTCACTCTTGCTCGGCACGATGAAGATGAAGATCAAGGGTACGTTTAACATCCACGCCATTTCGACCGCTACTGACATAAGCTGTAGGCTGGCCTCCAGGCTTTGTCCTGTACTTCGTCGTGAACCTGTGCCTTCTCGCTGCTCTCCTTGAGGCTGGTCCTGTCAGCAGAAGCCCGACCTCCGTGGTCACAGTTTTGCCCGCTGTCGTGGCCTCCACCGCTTTGTACCCGGTTCCAACCCTGTCTGCGAAGCCAGCGGATCAACAAGATAGATTCATGGTGACTCCTCGAGAGGCTACTGTGACTATCCGAGATAACAACAACGACGAAGTCCAGCCGCACGATTGGGCCTTGGTCTGTGGCAAGGATACGGATCGAAAGCTCACCATGACCTGTCAGAAAGCACCCCTGAGCTACTACTGCTCGGGCAAAGGCTCTGTGGTCGTGAAAGGCCGAGACGATGACGTTTGTTCCAGCGCTTGTCGTTGCGTGAACCTCTATCCGTCTATGTCCAATTGTGTGTTGTCATACATACTCGCCAATTGCTACCTTGCTCGGGATGGTACTGTCTACGACAGCCAAAAGCAGGTCGTTGGTCATCTTAATCAGGCATTCATTGCACCCAACGGCTCTATCATCCTCACTGGATCGTCCACGGATTCTGTCCCCCAGCTTGAGGCTGCTGCGGGTTCTGTCGATGCGATAGATCCTGCACCAGCAATCATCGAGCGAGAGACAGATGAGGCATTACACGATTGGGCTTTGGTCTGTTACAATATGGAACGCACAGCCGCATGTGCCAAAGCTCCATACAAATACACCTGTAACCACAAAGGCAAATTGAGCTACCACGAGTCACAGATGTTCTGTGAAATCGCATGCGAGTGTCGCGACCTCAATCCACCTCAACGATGCATCCTCAAACTTAATCTTGTCACCTGCACCAACAAGGACGGTGTCGTCTATGATGATGCTGGCCGGATGATTGGCACTGCAGCAGACGCCAAACTGCTTGCCAATGGTACTTTGGACTTCAGCAGTACAGCCTCGTCGCAAGCAATCAACGGTGACAGCGAAATAAATGACACCCTGTCAGTGGCTGTACCTGCACCAGTCAAGCGTGACTCGGCAGCAGCGGATCATTCATATGCCCTTGTTTGTGGAAACAAGTCTTGGACCCAGCTTTGCCAAAAGAGCAAATATGGATATTACTGCAACGGCAATGGCGCACTCCGCAACAAGGGAAAAGAAGTCTCTTTCTGTGAGGTATCTTGCGAATGCATCGACTTGGATCCAACCCCCCGATGCATCATCAATCCAGCTTTCGCCATTACCTGTCTTGTGAAGGGTCAAGCGGTTTATGGTGAAGACGGCCAGCTCATCGGTAATGTTACGGAAGCTTTCATTCATCCCAATGGCACTATGGATTTCACTCCATTGTCAATCACCTCCAGAGACATGGACCGCCCTGACAAATGGGCTTTACTATGTCACCATCAACGTCATACCGATACTTGTCACGGCTCATATGGCTACTCCTGCAATGGGCACAACATAACGTTCAAGACACAGGATTCTGTCTGTGACAACTTCTGCACTTGTTCAAACCCCAATGACATGCATCAATGTATCGATACCTCTGGAGGTCACACTCGTTGCCACATTGATGACGATGACAAGGTCTATAAGGTGAATGGAACGCTGATGGGACCCCTCCTTGGAAATCTTGAGAATGCAATTGTACAACAAGATTCCACTATCGACTTTTCTGCACTGTCCACCCAGAGTCTCTCACTGGATTCTTCAACATCAGTGGCGGGCCAAAACGACAGCGGGGACGTCTCATCCGTCATCAAGCGTGAAGCAGACGCCGACATGGATCATTGGATGTTGTACTGCATCTCAAAGGAGCATACTAAGACCTGTCGCTCTCCGCCAATCAGTTATACATGCCATATGGGACTTGTCGAACACAAGAATAATGCAGATGACTTTGTTTGTGATCGGATCTGTACTTGCATCGATAACTACCCGTCACAACAATGCATTCCCACCAAGAGTTTTGTCGCTGAATGTCCGGTCAAGGATAACATGGTATTCCATCCTAATGGAACAGTCCTGGGTAAGCTCACAGATGCCTATGTCCATGCCAACGGCACTCTAGACTTCTCGAGGCCAGCTATGGAGCAGGATCTGTCGCCACGCTTTTTGCTTGATCAGATGCACTGTAATGGAGATGATGGACAGCCAAGCGGTTCTCTGACCCAGTACTGTGGCCAGCATGGGTACTCGTGCGCGCATGATCCCAGTAACTTGCTATCATATTTGCAACATGGCTCTGAAGTCTTGGATCAATGTTCGAACGACTGTCACTGTCTCAGACCGTTTGCAGGAGCAGCCAAAGTTGAATCTCTTTCAGAGGCTACGGCGGATGGAGATGCCACCTCAAAGCTTCCAGAAAATGAGCGACGTCATCCCGCTGGCATCAACAAGCGTTCTCGATCAATCCTACAGCTCATGGCTACTGGAGCAATGACAGATTCAACCCTTATTGCCCCACCCAGCGGTATATCGAAGAACCAGTCTTCGGATGTGTACCAGCTCAACTGTGGTAATCGCGAGGATGGTCCTGTCTTTTGCTCAAGCAGTAGCCTGGGTTACTTTTGCCTGGCAAATGCAACTCTGGTTCGAAATTCTACCGACGAGAATACAGGCGTGACTTGGTGCGACTACTACTGCAAATGCATTTTCCGCCATCCGGTCCCTTGCGTTAACGAATGGAACATTCCTCTCTGCCAGGAATTCTGGGATGGCACTGTTCGTGACGCATCGAATTACTCGACTGTTCTTGGTGCCATCGACGACTCCTGGGTAATGCCGAATGGCTCTCTCCTGGTCGATCGCGGTACCCCGTATGTTTGGCAGAACAACGGCACCAACAGCACGAATGCCACTGCAGCCGGTGTACCGACCTCGACTGGTGGTTACTGAAGGGCACATTGTGCAACATGGAATATCTCTTGCTCCATAACGATATCCCAGCCAAACTCAATGGCACCTCTTCCAACAATTGTCTGCTCTTCATCGGACTGTGCAACCCGCGCTACTAGCTCACCAACACAATCTCTGATCGGTGCTTTGTTACAACATTCCTTCAATTGCTAGTTAAGGACAAACATTAACAGCATTATCGTCTCGAAGGGAGAGCTAGGGTAGAAGTGGCTGGTCAGATGGATAGATTGGCGATTGAGACAAACCTGACGAGGGAAACATGGGATGGATGATTGATTGTGGGCTTCGGCAGCATATTTTACTCTTCCCGGTAGTCAGAGATTCCATGGCAAGCCCAGATAGATAGTCAAATCCTCGAAGAGGAAACAATGAAAATTGAGTGATCAATTTGAACTACTAGTAAAAGGGGACTTATCCTGGTGAATCGTCGTTGAATAGTAGCCGCACGAGTAGAGCAATGACGGATGAGCAGCCCTGAAGGTAAGTGTTGCGGCAGGACAGATTTTTATTTCCCTCCCGAACAACGGCTGTGACGGTCGTCTTTTCAAAGTCCAATCTACTCCCATGTAGCTAGCTGGAAGCTCACCGGCCGTGCCGTGCGTCTCCATCTGTCGACAGCTTCCACATCACTGCATCACCCAACGTTGCAACTCAGTAGTGTAGGTGTTTTGTCGTCTCTGCAGCCTTTTTATGTATTGGGAGTCCTACTCTGCTGTGCTCAGCTCAATTCAGCTCAGTTGTGCTCAACTCTACCAATCATCATCCTCGCCATCCTTATCGCGGCCCCTTCCACTCATGGCACTCTGTCTCGCTCTCAACGCCTCTGCCAGCCCACCAGCCAAACTCCCTCCTCCCAGACTATTGGGCGTAGCTCTGCCGGAATCGGTACCACTTCCTGTTGTGTTTGTCGCGCTTCCCAGACTCATGCCACTATCTCTAGCGGGTGATACACCTGGCTTCTTAGCAGCATTGGGAACAGGACGTTTCGCGGGCGGTGCGGGAGGAGTAGGTTTTGCTTTATGTTGGTGCTGGCCTTGTTGTCCTCCATTGAGCACGACTGATGGCGTGGGTCGGGGAGGAGCAGCTGGTGGAGCTGGTGGTGGGGGCGGCGGTGCAGCGGCCCGTTGTTCAATTTCCTCAACGTAGGCCGAGGGTGCCCATCCCTGAGCATTGGTTTGAAGGTTTTTGCAGAGCCACCAGCCTAAACGGACACAGAGGGTGATTAGTAGCTGACAATCATACTGAAAAGACAAAGAGAAAATTGTTGGCTTACCATTCCCTTCTTTCTGGACAATCTCCACAATTTCCCCGGCCTTAAGGGGCAATTCGTTTGCGTTGGACGAGTTGAAGTCGTATTTGACTTTTGCTTGAGGTTTGGATGGAGGAGGAGCTGCGGCCGCCGCAGGAGGCGGAGGTGGAGGAGGAGGAGGAGCTGTACGATGATGCTGAGAATGCGTGGCTGTGGTTGCTGACGAAGCCGAAGCCGAAGCCGACTCGTTGCGAGAATGTGATGAAACCCCGTTCGTGACCTGATTGTATGCTGATGTAGCCGAGGCAGCAGCAGGGACAGGAACTGTCCGTTGAGTTTGAGTCGCAGGCCTTGCTGGTGTTACTGGTGCTGCCGCCGGTACAGGTCGCCTTGCTGTGGTGGTCTTGGATGGTTGTCCACCTGGACCGCCAGGTCGAAGGAGTTTGCCGGTTGTGATGGGTCTTGCAATGGCTTTGCCACGCGGAGTAGGCCTCGACACCGAGTTGGGCGGTTCGCCCGGAGGCACATGAATCACACCAGACTTGTACATGTCGTCTCTGGGTATGGATGGATCTTTCTGGACTTTCACAACCGCCGGCTTGCCCGGCTTCTTGTTGTACTCGATATTGCTGGAGATCCGGAGGTCCATCCCGCCAGGGGCCACCGTCTTGAACTGCAAGAAGAACTCGGTCTTGAACACGCAGCTGATAAGCGGATCTGGTTCAGAAGGAGACCCTACGCCCAAGGCGAACCAGTCGTCGCGCAAGTTCGATGTCGAAATGTACTTGACGGCGCCGATTGGGATTGTCCTTTCGGCTTGAATCTGTAGTTGATTGTTCACCATATGTTGCACAACGATGTAGACCGCCTTGTTTGTCAATACCAGAATCCGAGGCATGGGTTTGGACGACCTTCCAAATTTGGTCACTAGAAGCTCGCAACGAGCCGAGAAGACACATCGCTCTTGAGCACCCAGATGGATTGAGTCTCTCAGCACCCGCCCAGACCCTCCCGGCATATTAAGCCCAAGATAGTCGCCGAAAAAGCGCCGGGACCCAAGCAGACTGTATCTGCGACGTTCTTTCCGGCCCGCCAGCAATTTGTGTCCTTGATCTCGGAACTCGATTTCCTTGACACCGGCTTTGGATTTGCGCCAGAACCGCTGGATGCGGGTTGCCGCCTCGGCACGGTACCGCAGGTAGTTTCTCCACGCCCGTTGAATACGGACGGCCATATTGTGCCAGTACCGGTCGCGCATGTGTTCCAGCCCGAACAAGGTTTCTGGAGTCTTGATAAAGACCTTGGTGACACCCATCTGATACTCCTCCTTGGGAATACTGGTATCTTTGAAAATGATCTCTGACGCCGTCCTTACATCGCCAGTATAGGTGTATTCTCCGGCGTAGGAGAGTCTGGGCGAAAGTAAGGCGAATCTTTCCACAAACTTGTCGAATGTTTGACGGTATGCAAACCCTGCTCGCCTGATACGCACGTTTTCCTGTAGACCAAGGTACTTGATCTGATGCAGAACATTATGATCATTGTATTCCTTTGGAGACTTGTTCTCGTTGGGTTTGATGGTTCGGATATAGGACGGCTGAGCCTTCATCAGGGTGTCGACCAGTTCATTGGCCGACTGTCTGATCTTATCTCCAGCAGTGGGAGGGCGTCGTTTGTCGTCTTGGTCCACCCGATGCGGGAAGAGCTCATGTAAGAACCCATTAGAGCTCTCCCCGACCAAATTGAGCAGGTCTTTCAACAGTTGATCTTTGTTCTTGTCAGTCATCCCGGCCACCTGGTAGTTCACATCACCTGCGTAATGTTTGATGATGAACTGTCCTTGCCTGTTCTCGAAGTTCGGGTTGTTGGATAGGAAATTCAAACGGCCGACGAACGTCTGATCTGCCGCCGAGGAATCCGCATGAGCAGTAGCGCAGGCATCGTTGAGAGCGGCGAATACCCCTGGAGGTCTCTTGTCCTCGATCAGGGAACAGACAACCTTGTTGTCGAAATATTTGATCGGAGTCCACTGAATTTGTTCCCGGGCGTACTCTTCCTGCTCGGCCTTGAGTGTCAACTGAATGAAAATCTGTTGCAACTTCTCGTTGACATAGTTGATGCACAGTTGCTCGAAGGAATTCTTTTCGAATATTTCGAAGCCATAGATATCGAGAATTCCGATGGTGTTTTTCACCACACCTTGCGACGTGAGAGAAGCATTCGTGCGGGCGACAATCCAGTCAAAGAGGTTGAAGTAGATTGCCATTGCCAGCGCATCCCGCACAGCACCGGCTTGTACCGGGTTAAGAGGAGATTCGTATATCGATCCCCGTCGTCCTCCACCACGGGCGGTTTCCACAATTCTGACCGTCAGAGCCTTGTTGACATGTGCCGACTCGACTTCCAGCAGATATGCCACAAAATCCACCACCGAAGAGTCCGCAATGTCAACCCCGCCTTGGTCATTTTCTCGGAAAGTGATATTTCCAATCCATAGAATGGCTGCAAGCATTCGAAAAATGTTGTCTTGCTCGGGCTTTGACAGACCAATAATCTGCATGGCTTTCAATGTCTCTCTGAAATCGCTTGCATCGTCCATCCCAGGAACGTCAAAACACTTTGACTTGCTCGTGTACACGTAGGATTGCGGCGGCTGCACTCCGAACGAATCCCGGTATTCTTGGGGCGCGGCCTTTGTGAATTGGTAGAAGATATGGAAATTCCTCTCGTTCGTGATTTGTCCCACCACTCGGGTCTTTTCCAGCAAGTAGTTGGTGACTTTGGCGCCTACCGGCTCACCGCTCTCGTTGAACTCCAGTTCCAGGTACTTGCCGAACCGCGAGGAGTTGTTGTTTCGGAGGGTTTTGGCATTGCCGAAAGATTCCAAGAGAGGATTCGTGGCCAGGACCATATCTTTGGTCCTTTGAATCCTGGAGTCGGTGCCGCCGGAGACGCTGGCAATATACTGCATCAGGCGTTTAGCGGCTTCGGTCTTGCCTGCGCCGGACTCGCCGGAGATAATAACACATTGATTGTCCTTGTATGCTTTCATGTTGTAGTACGCCGACTCTGCAACCGCGAAAACGTGGGGAGGGACCTCGAGTCGGTTTCGGCCTCGATACGTCTCGAGCACTTGATCCGTGTAGATGCCCAGGTCTCGGAAAGGGTTAACGGATACCAGCACATGGCCGATATAAGTGTAAATTTCGCCATGTTCAAAGCGCTTCTTCAGGTTCTCGTTGATTGCTTCGTTGGAGACCTTGCTCAACAGCGTCAGATCTGAAACACCCACTTCCTTCTTCTTTGTGATTTCATATGTCGCCTTTTTGATCTGGGGCTGCCCGGCGTCTCCGTCTCTGGTCTTGTGGCCGCCAAAGAGCGAGGTTTTGGGGGCACGCGATGACTTGCCATCGCGGCGCTTCGTTTGACCCTATACCAGCTATGAGTATGTCTCACAGATTGAACAGATTGCCGCAACTCACCATCCTAAAGAAGTTCACTGATCAGGACATGCGCGCGCAGAGAGGTCGGCGGGACAATTGAGGTGAACAATAGTGCTGGAGCACGCTGGACTTAACAAGCACTGTGTGCCTTATCTGAAAGGAAATTGTGAAACGAGGATAGATCGGTAGCCAGGTCTCTTTCAGATGCGGCGGTGGCTGCAAGGTGCCTGCGGCTATGGCCCGTGAATTCCTAGTAATTGATGAGCGTGAACGGGCTGGAGGGAGATACTAGAGAACAGCCTATGACATACTAACGAACTTGAACAAGCGGAACTTCAATCTGCAGTCGCCGACACAGCCACAACCACAACTACCAGCGCTAGCTTTGGGCAGTACAAATGGACAATGTGGTATATTATTATCGCTGAAGATGCTGAGGACCTATTCGAGCAACATTGCTGTGGGCGTCCTATGATAGATATCCGCCTTGCCACTATATCCGTTCGCAGTGGCTGTGAATCTGTGAACGCGCAATCACGCTGGCGACACAGCATTCTGTTCGCTGCAGTCCATTTGACTTAAGTAACTCCCTCAGGCGATGTTACAGTCCAAACAGGCACCCGTATTCTGTCACAATGATTTGCAGATGGAGTCTCCCCCATGATTTATGCCTGATGATATTTCGATGCTGCTGCAAAAGCCAAGGTAGGATGATAAAGCTGGCTTCAAACTCCAGGCATCCTTCTGGCTTTATTTCTCATACCCGCTCCCTCCAGTTACACGATATACTCATTTTCCCAGAATTCGACTACATTCCGTGTGGCGACTGGGCCGAGATACTCAGCTATCATTTTTCTGCCATCACTTGTTCTCGTAGCCTCCTCTAGGAGCCGGATGGTTGGGAAGAGACTGCCCAGGGTGTCCGCAGCGTGTCTTGAAAGAGGCTGGACTGGCGCTGTAAAAGTTGCATGAGCCATCAGTGTCGTGGTGGAAGGAGACGGCGTCTGTGTTCTAATCTGGTGGGCCTTCTCAATCTCGCGGATGTACTCTTCTAGTGTAGGTAGGATGCCTTCTACTGTGGGCGAAAGGAGGACCGGGGTAGTTTGAGCATTCAGGAGCCTGCGGGTTGTTCAGAAGTGCCCTCTTGACTTCGAAAAAAGGTCTCGCATACCCAGCCTGCAAGGCCAGGAACTGCTGTACGACCTGCAGACCTCCAGCGGACTGTGTGCCAGACTGCACAAGCATCACCACCCCCATATCTGCTGCGTTTTTCTTGACAGGTAAGTCTGATTGCAGACGGTCTAAGTTCAAGGCTGGATCGTCCGAGGCCCACAAGAGAAGGATACAGATGGTGCAAGGACCGGCTTTTCGTACGAATTGACATTCGAGATCAAAGATGGAAGCCTCATTCTCTGCATCAAGCATTAGCATGCTCTGTTTCAGGAGGCCCGCGGATACCTTGAAAAGAACAAATGGCTGAGGAGGTTAGGCAAGGGCCCAAGGTGCGCCATTCTAACCGGCGCTGGAGACACTTGGAGATTTGGACTGGGATCATATTGACATTGGAGTTGGGTATTCGACGAATGTACAAGCAGGAGGTGGGAAGTTATGTCTGTAAACATGAGACCAGGCAGACACTGGCAAATAGAGCACATGCCAAGCTCGCAGATATTCAGGCATCGCCAACTTGAAGGTTCGGAACAGGCGTCCTCAGGTCTGTCACTGTCTCTTCTGAGCATCACTGGGACTGGTCTTCTTTTCCTCGACTTGAAGTGCCTGCTGTTTATGTTTCTCTTCCAGGGCCTTTTCAGATTCAAGGATAAGTTTCTCTGCAGGCCCCGGTGCCGGCGGCTCCTTTGCCGCTGCGTCCTTGTTCTCTGATATCCAAGACGCTATACGAGCAAATATGCCAGCCGGCTTCTCGGTTGTTTCCTCCTCTTTCTCCTCGTAAATTTCTGCTGGCAAGATTCGTATGCTAGCATTTCGGCTCCCATTCTGTTCTTTGGCTCGTAGACGGAGCACTTCCCTTTCCAGCTCAATGAGCGCTCTTCTTGTCGCCTTTTCGGTCTCCTCCAGATCATTCAATCTCTCATTCACATCATCCCGTCGATTGGTCTCTTTCCGCCGGGACCTCCAAGACTCGAGCAATATCAAGCTGGCTGCGACGCTGAATAGGAATGCTTCACTTATAAAGCTGGCCCCTGCATCGATGGCTTTGGCTTCGGATAGAGGCCTGATCTTCGGTTTGATACGGGGCTTGGGCGGATCTGCGGACTCTTTCCCAGCCTTTGCAGCTGCCTCTTCCTCGGCCTTCGTCTGCGCCTCAGTCTTGACTGTGGGTATTTGGCTGTGCTTGTGTTTCTTGGCTGCTTCCTGCGCGGCTTCTTTTGCGGCTTGTCTCTCTATAGCGGCTTGGTCTTGTAGGAGCCCTATCCGCCATCGCATGTCGATTCTGTGCAGCCGTTGAGCAAAAGATATGCAGGTCCTCCGGAATCCCTCATGTTCGCGAGCTTGTCTCTTGATGAAGTTCTTGGCCTGTCAGCACGATGAAAGAAAGTAGTTTTGCGCTGGTCACTTACGGCTATAGGCTTTGCAAGCGTTCGGATGGCTAATGAGGTAAACTTCAGAGCGAGAGACATTTCGAGGGTGTACCGCTGTCTTGCTAATGCGTTAAAATGTCCGACTGCCGCCTTTCATGGACCTAATGGCCCTGCTGAGGCTCGATATTACATGGATCGTCTTTGCATTATACAATATAGTATTGCACTATTGTAGACAGCAAAGACACAGCCATCGACATCATTCCGGACCCATATTATCCGGATCTGATGGGTTCGACAAGGCTCGGAGTTTCAGCAGCCTAACGACCGAGAGCGATGCAGTGGTGGACAATGGCGCATTTTTCCCCACCGCAGCTCAGGCCCCATACATTTCCAGGTACCGCTGCACTGCAGTGCCAGTGCGCACCTTATTTCTTGCCAAGCCCACGGCATCCCAGTCACTTCCCTTTTCGGTTAATTGTCAACATTGCCTTTGCGTTGTCCGCGAGTGATACTACCACCACTACTACTACTGTGATACCACTGCATTGCAGTAAGCTACGACCTTTGTTTGCATTGCAGCATAACATAGGCAGTTTCTCTCCTCCTGACAGTGCATGATCTACGCTCATGCTGTTGATCGCGCGACAAGATTTATCACTTTTCTACTCCATCCTCCAGTGGCCCGCAATAGCACACCGTGACCCCGACAATCGGGCAACACCCTCCAATGGAGGTACTCTCCCCTCGGCCTGTGAACATCCAAATGCAGCCTCCCAAGGCTACGAAAAAGTTGAAGCCGGAGTCGAAACCTAGATCAGAGGAGAAGCCGACCAACCCTGACCGGATCGACGACAAATGGCGACCTCCCTCCACCATCACAGAACCCGGCCCTTCCCCGGAGACCTATATTATGGGTAGAAAGCTTGGAAAAGGAGGTTTCGCTGTGTGTTTCGAGGGCAGAACATTGAGGACGTCTGAAGTATTCGCGCTCAAGGTTGTCAAAGCCAAGGTGGAACAAAAGAAGATGATGGAGAAATTCCGCACCGAACTCCAGATCCATGCCAAAATGCACCATCCGAACATTGTGGAATTCCTGCGTGCATTCACCATAGGCGAGCATACTTATGTCGTACTCCAGATGTGTCCAAATGGGAGCCTGACGGAAATGGTCAAGGCGCGCACATGCCTGAGTCTTCCTGAAGTTCGCAGGTTCATGATCCAGATCTGTGGAGGAGTGAAATACATGCATAAACGGTCGGTCATCCACCGGGATCTGAAGATGGGCAATATATTTTTGGACTCGCGGATGAACATCAAGATTGGCGATTTTGGCCTGGCTGCTGTCATGGCGGACGAGCAGGATCGAAGAACAACACTGTGCGGGACACCCAACTATATCGCGCCCGAAATTCTGAGCAAATCCGGTAACCGAGGCCACGACAACAAAGTCGACACATGGGCCGTGGGCGTCATCGCCTATGCCATGCTCATGGGGACACCTCCATTCCAATCCAAAACCCAACAGGAGATCTACACCAAGCTACGGACGCTGGAGTATGAGTGGAAAATGGATAGCAAAAACTACATTCCCCAGCAGGCCAAAGATTTTGTTGCTTCATGTCTAAACCTGAATTCATCGGAAAGACCAGAAATGGATGAGCTTGTCGGGCACGAGTTTTTCACCATGGGCGCCATTGCCGACGAGCTCGACGTTTCGACCCTGAAATCCAGTCCTGTATGGCTCGAGAATGCAGACCCTCGTGGAGATAGGGTGAAGGCTGGCTACGGCGTCAGTCATACGAAAATATGTCGAGAATGTGGCGTGGGAGTGGGACCAGATGGACGCCCTCGGCCGGGAGTAGGCGTTGGGGCAAACATCTCTGCTCTGGTTGAGATAGAGGTCGAGAATCGAGAGGGATGTGCCCCTGTTATTCCATTACCAGCCGGCGTGCTGTACAAGCAGTTCTCTGACGCCCACGCTGACTGGCTTGCCCGTCAGAAGCATCCCCTGCTACCTACGCGGGTCCGGAGCCGCAAAGCAATCGTCGACCAGGAGGCCCCGCAGCCTGCAACAAATGAAGCCGATTCCCTGCCTAAAGCTCCTCCAGTTCCAGCCACTTCAGCAGCCCGTCCATTTCAAAGCTTCGCCGCCCAACAACGTCAGCAAGCGTTGCCGGTCGGCCTACCTCGGAGAACAGAGCGGACCCAAGACGACGCTCACAAGCACAAGGATGTTCCTGTGGAAGAGCCTCAATTCCAGGCACTTTTGAGAGAACGGCCAGTCAGAGCAGCCACCATCCGTGCAACTAGAAGCACCACACTGCGTGAGGCGATCTCATCATCATCAAAGACCTTGCCTCGGTCGAACACAGTCCCTGATGCAATGGCCTGTGTCGCGAAACAGATGGAGGGCAATTATCTAGACGCAGGGCGGCGTAAAGCCAAGGAGGTCCTCACACTCAACCAAAAAACTTCAGGTGAAATGTTTACCAGGAAGCCGATGCGGTCATGTATCGCGGCGGATAATGCAACCACACGCCCACCGTCCTCGTCATCTATTTCTTCGGCATCCTCTGAAGAGCTTCCGGTTCGGGTACTTCGCCCAACGGCTGCCAACGATCGAAGTCTGAAGGCCAACATGGAGGACAAGCAGCGGCAGCCTATATATCCGCCGCAGCAGGCTCGCGCAGGGTCGGAGTCGTCAGCAGAACAGAAGCTTACGCAGCAATTACCAAAGCACCAACCCAGGATCATCTCTAGCCACGACCCGGCACTCTCTGTGCCCAATTCGAGGAGCAGAGACGTGATCCGATCGCTGCGCTCTTTGCACCAAGCTCTAGATAGCCGGACATATGACGAGGCTGCGAAGCGACCTCGATCTGGCTACGGCACACGTAAAGCTCGGGCGATATCAACATATCCAAGAGTGGATAAATGGGTTGATTATTCGACCCGTCACGGCATTGCCTATATTCTCTCGGATGGCACTGTAGGAATGATATTGAAGTCTTCGAACGACAACTCGATTCCCAGCAGCTGTGTGGTGATCCGAGATGCCAGCAACCATACGATTCGGCGGGCGAAAGGGCTTGAATATCAATTCGTGCCTCAAGGGAAGAATGCTCATGATGTTGAATTTTACGAGCAAAGCGACTACGAGTGCGGGATGAAGCGGCTAGACGTCCCAGCACGCAAGTTTCGGCTCGACCTTGAACGACATTCCAGTCAGATGGCAGCGGCGAGTGCGATTCAGGCGGGGTTGAATGGTAGCGAAGCGGAGCGGATGAAGGAGGTGGCACTTTTGGACAAGTTCGGCAAGTACATGAACAAGGCCAGCGGAGGCTCGGGCAGTGACGGCAAAAAGACCAATAAGAGCGAGCACTTTGTCCACTTCTATCAGCGAGTCGGCAACGTCGGTGTGTGGAGGTTCGCAGACGGAGGACTACAATTCAATTTCCCCGACCATACCAAACTTACTCTCTACCGGCAGAACTTGACGGACGACAGTGCCAGCGACAGCCAGCAACTGCAGCAGTACATGGTTGATTGTGTCTATCTTGTCCCCACCGACGCAATCAACGTGGCTCGCCATGGGCTGATCACTGCCGAAGCAATGGAGCGACGAGACCAACTTAGTCTTCCCCTTGAAGATATCATGCTCAACATCCTTCGAAGATCAGAGATGGAGATTATTCGCACGAACGAGATTCGGGATAAGCTGAGCTGGATCCGAGCCGTGGTAGGGTGTTGGATCAAAGAAGGAGGGCTGGGGTGGATGGGAGAAGAGAAGCTGGGTTGGAGCGGACTACAAGAACGACGCGACGACAAAAGAATCAAGTTACAGTGGGTGACAGTCGGGCGGTATGGAGGAGATGGTGAGGGAAAGCAGTGATTTGCGTCTGTTACTGTACGGCCTGTCAGGCGTTTGTTTCACGGTCTTCGAGTTTGCAGCGCTGCAGCGTTGGTGTTGGCCATGGTTGGGCATATCAGGGATATGCGGGCGTTCATCATGATGTCTACCTTAGTTTTATTCTCGTTATCGGTTCTTCTTAGAATTGACGATGGCATTGTATCGAGAACTGGGGTCAAAGGGCTCCATGGGCCTGAAGTGCCCGAACTCCTTGCTGTATTACTCAGCCCGGCGAGTCGCTTGTGGTTCAAGGTGCAGGCGATTCTTAGAAATACATTTTGATATTGTACGCGCACCGCCCTCCCTGCACTGTGCCACTGTGAAAGCTTAGGTACGACTAGTAGTAGTATTTCAGGTTACCAAGGTACTACATTAGTTGTATGGTGTTGATCACGTTTCCGGGCTGGGATATTGCATCACTTTAGGTGCTCATCAGTTCGCTCCCACTTGATATCACCAAGTCGATCCGGCTATTTTATCTCCGCGTGTATTTATATTTCCCTGCAGTATCGCGGCCAACACCGCTACTGCCTAGGTAGACTACTGACAATCAATCCCATCTCAAGGCTCGCTTCCCGGTGGTTCTGTCTTCCCCCTCTACTCCGGACCTTTGTGTTGTATTTGCCTACCACCCGCAGCCTCGCCGGTCGGCCACTACTAAGATTCAAAAGAGACACAAAGTCAGAGAGGTAGATACTGTACTCTGTAAAATACCAGAATTGTACTACACACGACATTTGACGCCTCGTCCATCCGATTCCGTCCCAAGAAACTTGACTGGGCCACTACACTACCACTACACTACGACAATACTTTGCCTCAGCTGTTTGCACCGTCTGTTGACTGTCCTGTCCTCCATCAGTATTGGTCCATGCGAATTTTTGGCCGGAATTGACTTGCTGTGACGGACCTGAGGCTGTGCTGGCCCGAGGGATACGATACGGATCATTCGATACGACTGCACGTCAGATCAGATAGTACATAGGTATTCTTTGGTGTATCCAATCCCTTTCTTTTATCGGTGGTGATATCCTCTGAATATTTATTGTTCAATCATGGGCGGCGGACCATCGGAAAAGGAACACGTCCTCATCGCCCTCTTCGAACCCGAACCAAAGGAGATAATTGCCGAGTTGAAGAGGCGGTTCCCGCATTTCGAAATCACGTATGTCCAGGTGTCGTTTCCAAAGGAAAAGGTGGTGGTGGGGAGTGAGACGCAGGGGATAGATGATGGTGAGTCCTGACAATCTATTCTGCTTCGTTTGTTTTGGATTGTTGTTACGTGTACTATACGTACACGGTACAGCCCGCACTTGTCACTGTGTTTGAGACGAGTTGAGGTTGTGGTCTGGACATGGTATGGCTTGTTTGGCTCCTCGGACTGCCAGACGGACTGATGATTGACACTACTTGCTACCCGGTCGAGTCGACTTGCATTGCACTTCATTGCCAGGTCAAAGTCACAAATGAAATAGATTGATCATTTGAGTCATGGTATGGGTACGAGCACCTGGGTCCTAGGCTAACTGCATACATGGCTCTCTAGAACTATGGCGATCCACCACGATCCTCCTCACGCTGTTCACGCTGCCTAAGACGCCGGATTTGGTTCCCAAGTGAGTACACACAGAGTTCATTCCTACTATACCTTATGTTATGGATCGAATGAAATTGAAGGCCCAGACCCCTTCGTCTCTATACTTCATTGCTTCATACAGGACGGTCCCATTCAGATATTGTTATACTGAATGGAGTCTGGAGAAATGGAGTCTAGAGGCGAGGCTGCTGCAGCACGGCTGACTTGGAACACGGGATTGTTATTGTTCTCATTCTGTTTTCCTCCTCCTGCCTTACCCAAAGTCCATTCTCCTCCTCAGAACACTTCTCAGAACAGAAACTCCTTCCTGGAGCTGGCCAGGCCAGGCCCCTGGTCAGGGATTCATTCAAACGCCGCCTCCTGGCTCAGCACACCGCCACACACATGCACAAAGATCCCTATCACCTCTCTCACTCTGTAAATGCATGAAACTATGCAGATCATCTATATTTGCCTCTGTCTCCTACTATGCAACCACTGACAACCACACCCCCTGGTGGGCCTTGTCTTCCAGCCTCAAACTCATCCACCTCTTCTCCGCCGGGATCGACCATATCGCCAACCACCCGATTCTCACAGACAGCCAAATCCCAATAACCACGTCTTCGGGAATCCACGGACCCCCAATAGCCGAATGGGTGTTGATGACGACGTTGGTGGCCAGCAAACATTTTACCGTTCAATACGAGTGGCAGAAACAACATCGTTGGGCTCAGGACCGGTCGCAACTCCGCGGGACGAGTGATTGGGTGGGGAAGACGGTGGGGATTGCTGGGTATGGAAGTATTGGGAGACAAGGTGAGTCTGAGCGAGCGAACCTGAGCGCAGCGAAGGGGAGCGAAGCAAAAGCCAAGCGAAGCGAAGTGAATGCAGAATAAAGCGAAGCGGAGCAAAAAGAAGCAAAAGCAAAGCGGAGCGAAGAAGAGCAACGCCTTTCAACTAAGAGGGTGTCGTGATTTATCTCTGACTTTTTTACTTTCTTTCTAGTCGCCCGCGTCTTCTCATCCTTAGGCGCCCATATCCACGCCTACACCGCGTCTCCGCGAACCACATTGGAGTCTCGCGCCGACACAGGCTACTTTGTTCCTGGCACCGGTGATCCGGACGGTAAATTTCCTAGAGCATGGTACAGCGGGACAAGCAAGACTGCTTTACATACGTTTCTGGCCTCAGGCTTGGATGCGCTGGTCATTGCGTTGCCGTTGACGAGGGCGACCAGACATTTATTTGGGGAGGAAGAATTCAAGTTGTTGGGAGGAGGAACGAAAAAGGCCTTACTAATCAACATCGCCCGCGGCGCCCTCATCGACCAACCTGCTCTTGTCAAAGCTTTGAATAACGACATTCTTGCCGGCGCCGCTTTGGATGTTGCGGACCCGGAACCACTACCACCAGATGATCCGCTGTGGGATGCGAGAAATGTCATTATTACGCCGCACTCGAGCGCGCTGGGGGTCGAATATACGTCTCGCTCGTATGATTTGTTCACGACGAATTGGGAGAGGTATGAGAGGGGGGAGAGGTTGTTTAATTTGGTGGATCGGAAGAAGGGGTATTAATCCTACGGAGCGAAGCGAAGTAGGTTCTGGTAATACCTAGGCTCCGAAAAGGAAAGGGGATTGCGTGGTGTGGAATAGGAGAGGATGGGGTCGGTGGGAATGAACCACCTGTGAAGTTGGTTGTGCGCGAGTAATGAGGGCAGAGAAGCACAAACTCCATGCGGTGCAACTTGAACCGTGCAAGAAAGAATGGAGCGATGGATGGGTGGATGGATCGATGATTGTTGTTGAGTTGATGCCGGCGCGCACGGAGGTCAAGGTCAAGGTCAAACAGTCAAACGCATCCAGGAGCTTACAGTACATCGGCTTTACTAGTAGCCTCTGCCTCCGGCTGCAATGGCGAAGTAGATCAGGTGTGCCACTGCCAGTGCCCTGATCCGACTTCATCTCATCGGCATGGACTGCAGTTGTCAGGCTCCACGGCGTATCATTGACTACATATGCATGGTACATATACTCAAATACCTACAAAGTTCAGACATGTCAACTGACAAGGTCGGGAGAGCAAAGAATCGCTTAGTGTTATAGACGTAGATGTTGTACACTGGCAGCACATGTATATTTTTTGTTCACGGCGAGACCTCCAGTCTCAGCCGCTTCTTTCCCTCTGCGAGCGAATATACTCGACTACACTAGGCAAGATCTCCTCGGCCGGCAGACTTGCGCGGACCAAATCTCTTCGGAGCGCGGCCCAGCCGTCGTGCCCGGAGCCAGTGTCGTTGTCACTGTCGCCGCCTCCAAAGAAAGCCTCCTCCTTGCGAACACCACCCAGGTTCAACACGCCAATGCCCATGCCTCGCTCGTGCGCCCGCTTAACCAGCCTCCAGGCCGAATACGTGGCCAACGACGAGCCGACCACCAAGACCTTATTGGCTGCATCAATGGCCGCTTCGGCCGCAGACTTGACAGAGGCAGGAATCGATTCGCCAAACATGATGACATTGGGTTTGAGAATCCCAACACCACCACCAGTACCGGTCATTGACTTTCTGTCCGACCCCGGGGTCCACGCGCCATCGGCATCAACGTCCACATGGCCCTTTGAGCCATCACTCAAGATCGGCGGCCTCTTCAAACAATGCGGACAAGCAGGATATCTGAACGTAGTATACGGCGCCCCGGGGACATCGGCATCGCCGTCCGGGTTTGTTCTGAACCCTTTACGCCTCCGCTCTTCAGGATCTTCAGTGTCCAAGGCCCCCGATGCCAACAACTCTTGTAAAAACGCATTCCAGGCAGGATTCAACGCGGCCAATTGTGCCTGAAATGCTTCTCGGTCAATCAGTCTCTTGCAGCTCAGACATACCAAACTCCTCAGAAACCCGTGCAATTCGATCGTCTTCGGCAGCTTCGGATGGGCAATGGGATGGAACGAGTCCACGTTCTGCGTGATTACCGTATCTACCAGCCCCAAACGGCCTAGGTCGCGCACCGCATAGTGGGCGGCGTTGGGAGAGGCGCGGTGCAGTCCGCGCCAACCCAAGAATGATCGGGCCCAGTACCGCTTGCGCGCTTCGTGGCTCGCGACGAATTCGTGGAAGTAGATCGGTCGGTAGCTCTTGTTTTGGGTGTATGTGCCTTTGGAGCCGCGGTAGTCGGCGAGTCCGGATGCTACGCTGATTCCGGCGCCTGTCAGGAGGACTGTTTTGCCGCCACCCCCTTGAAGGTTCTCATTCTGACCTGCTCTGTACACTCCATCACGACCGTCTGTGCCGACCGTGTTTTCGTCGATCGAGGGAACGCCGGAAGGGTGAATGTCAACCGCAGAAGAAGGCGAGGCAGACACTGGAGACCCGGAGCCGGAGGTCAAGAAGTTGGCGAGCGCGGTAATGGCACCATGTTTGGTCGCGGCAGATGGTGGGATGATCAGCGGCGGTGGAAGAGGCCCTGTGTAGGGGATGCGCAGAAGCGGTTTGGACATACGCGGAACAAGAGCATGGTTCTAAAGGAACAAGATCAAGAAGGTCCTTGATTTGTATACATGGAGCACTTTGTCACGCGGCAGCGAGTCTTGACGTCCGAGGCGTCGAGCATTCCGCCAATCAAATGCTCCATGACTACGAGAAAGCCGTGACTGGTCCAGTTTGATCAGCATGACTCGAAATTGGTGGCAGTGGCGCCGTCAGTCTGAGTCAGTTGTGGAGTGTCTACCACTACAACCTCGACTTCAGATTGGGGCTTTACAACTGCAGGTGTGCAATGTTGGGAACTCGAATGGTAAGATTGCCTAATGGTTTCTACTTCACCTGTATTTGTGTCTCTACCCAGAAAACCACTGGCTATGCTACAGCCTGCGCTTTGGCGAGCAACCCGGGAATGACTCGAATTTACAAGTCGAGGATGAGAGTTTTCGATAAGTATGGAAGACGCCAGGAAGAGCAGCAAGCCCCAGACTTATAGGCACGTACCTATTATTAGGTACGTACCAAGGTACCCAGGTAGGCATCGGTGCTACGCTTCGATTTGTTACCATGCATCTTCGGTCTGATAGGCGGAGGATCCCCATCAATCCTGAATTTCGCAGAAGTTCAAAAGGGATTCACCACCCTGCCTCACTCTATCCTCTCTTCTTTTCTCTCTAGATGCAGTATCTGTTCTCATCAAACAGGACAATGATGAAACGACGGCTTGTTCCTGGGGAAATGCTGTTGCAAGAATTCAGCTCGCTGCACTCGTTCGATGTCATCCGAGTTGTGGACTGTGCGTCCTGAGAGCAGTTTGAATTGTGCAGATGTTGAAACAGGTCGACCACTCTGAGTCCTTTTCTCTACTTTCCTCTCTTTCCCATCTCCAAAAGAGCGGAGGAGATGGTTGATAATATACTTGGGGGGCCGAAACTTTCCCGGTATGGCCGACATACTTCGGCGACTGGAAGCCTCGCCACTAGTACTACAGGTCGCTTAGCACAAATGGATCAATGGGTTAGACAGCGCTGGGTTGAGGGGAGGGTTGCAAACAGCAAGGCGGAGGGAGAGGCATAGTGACGGCACCAACACAGCCGCAATATTGTCTATATCATCATATTCTGTGGCCGTGGCCTTTGTCTATCTACTACCTACTAACTTACAGTACCCTTACAAGAGTACCTATCCATCTCCATTCTACCTATCTTGCCCTATCTGATGACCCCGCCTATGTCCCTGTTTTCTGTTCAGTACACATTTTTTTCCATCTTGGCAGGTGACTAGACGGTCACCATGATGATGTCGCCTTTGGGGTGCTGTTTCCCCAGCGTGCATGTCAACTGACAAGCAGCCCAAACTTTAACCAAGTTAAGCCCACTTGCCCAAGACACTCATGCCGATGAAGCCGGCAATCATGCAAAACAAGCCAAGACAATACTTTGTCCAAGGGACATTCTTGCCTGCGAGATCACCGCCTTCAAGAATCCAATCTCTGGCCCACATGTCGACGACACCGACCCAGACCAGGACACCGGCAGACAAGGCGTCCAGAGTACCGATGGTCAAGATGGTGCTGCGATCATTGCCATTGAAATCATGGATAACTCCCAATCCAATAGCCATACCGATAGGAGTGATGAGTGCGTATGCCGTGGCCATCAAGGCCTTTGTGGGCCAGAACCGAGTCGTGGCTCGGGGCAGCAAGGCGATACGAGCACCCAGGGCCAGACCTTCAAAGAACTGGTGGAACACAATCACGACCAACAGCGTCTTGTAGAAGGAGTCGCCGGCCACGACAAGCGTTAGACCAATCAGGATGCTGTGGAACAAGATACCGGCCTCCATGACCATGACCGATAACTTGGAGTTGGGCTTAGATGGATCGATTGCCGGTCCGTGGCTGTGGCCCAGACTGGCCAGAGTGCGACCGTGCGGCTCAGTGTGACCAACTTCTGTCTCTGGCCCTTGGTGCGCCAAGTCGCTGTCGTCCTCTTTACCATGGACCGCTGCGGTTCGTTCACCATTGGCTCCTGTTGTGGCACCCCATGCTCTTCCATCCTCGGTCTCTTCGGGCTGGAGTTTGCGCGACCGCGCGATGACGTACCGGTGGCCAAGGTATTCGAATAAGAAGGCAAGGAACAGTCCGGCCATGACGATCGCCGAGGTTGTACCTTCGTATTCGAGCTCGCCGAGACATTCGTTGGTGAACATGAGTGTGGCGTGCGTGTACAGCTAGAGACGAATCAATCAGCGGGCTGTTTCATGAACAGAATGACTTTAATAGAGGCAGAGGATGTCACATACATGAACAAATGCCGTCGAGATAATCACTCCAGTGCCGAATTGTTTGATGGCCGTGAAAACCATCGAGTTGACGCTCTGAGAAAGTAGTCGGATGACCAGCAGTGGCGCGAACACACCCAGGGCGCTGGTGAAAAGCACTACAAACAAAGTGCCTGCTCGAAGGCCAATGTCGTAGTCTCGTTTACGTAGACCACACGACGCGCTGTCGGAGCTATCATTCTCGCTGCTTCCGCCACCAACACAGTGTCTGAATATATTAGTAAGGGTGTTGCAAAAAGATGGCTGTCAAGTTGTGACACTTACTCAACTCCGGCATGGAAATGGCAGTTTAGACCTTGAGTGCTTCCCTCGCTGTCTTCCGATTCTTCTGAAGAAGCCGCCTCTTCCGAGACAACCATGACTTCTTCGCCATTAGGGTCTATACAGTATCTGGCCAGTGTCAGAATAGACTGTCTATCTTTCCACAACTGTCTGCAACAAACACTTACTCATCAGAACCATGGAAGTGGCATCCGGTATATTGAGCCGGTGGAGGTCCGGTGGTGCTGGCAAAGACTGAGATAGAAACTTCTTCACCACTGCTGTTAATGCAGTATCTGGATTCAAAGTCAGTATGTGGCTCAAGAGCCTGGCGTACAGAGAACATACATGTCGGAGCCATGGTTGTGGCAGCCAGTGACAGCAGACGTATCGGCCGATGTTGTGGCCGAAGCTGTTACCGAAGCTGGCACTGACGACGATGCCGATGTGGTTTCACTGGCGGCATGGGTGGCTACCGCTGTTTCTTCACCATCGGGTCCGAAACAATACCTGAACTGGTTGTCAGTACAGACAGATTAAAAAGTGATGCAGGTGAACATACGCAACTGTTCCATGGTTGTGACAACCAGAATAACTGGTTTGGGCACTAACCACACCCACGAGGGTGAGTGCCAACAGAGTCTTGGGCAGCATGGTATAGAGACTCGGACACTGGCAAAATAATCCAACACTGGCGCGGCTGGGCTGAAAGAAGAAACTTTTCCAAGAAAAAAGTTCAGGGAAGACAAGAGAACAGCCAGGATATCGGGTGCAGCCCTCGCTTCTTCACCTGGCAAAGGAAAACCAGGTAATACTATACCTCTGATTTCTGCCAATGCATCGGGTATTGAAAGGCGGCGTTTCCGGCGCTTTATCCTTCCACCACGACCATCTGCATGCATCGAAAGAATCGAGCTACGGAGACTTACCTGGTGACTTTTTGTTCGCATTGAGTAATGAAAACCCACGCATTCTGTTCAGGCAGACCATGGTTTTGTCCGCAAGCTTCGGCGTAGGCGACTAGAAGCGAGCAACAAGGTGACAAAGCCCAAGACTTGTCGCCAGTCCGGCCTGAGCCAAGACCAGCAAAGCCGCCGAAAAGCATATGCCAAGACGTGAAGAGCTCGAGAAATGGAACCGGAGTCCAGTTCGAGAACAGACAGAACCAATACGGTCGACGGCATTGCTGAGATATGGACTGTAACAGTGGTAGCGGCTGGGTCTTTAAGGTACTCACTTTTGTCTGGGCATTCGAGGGATCCAGCGGACAAGTCAGACTCGGAGCGGACATGTCTTGGCATCTTGGTATCCAGCCTTGCCTACCTAAGTACACACTATCTAGGTCGACACCACCTCTGTGCAGTGCCCGCATGATGTCAAGATCACCAGTCGGTCGAGATCCATGGCTCATGTTCAGCCCGTCTGGGGAAGGTATCTACGGGCTCGTCGCATGGCTTTTGGTCTTGTGCAAGCTTTTCAACAGCTGTCCTCAAATTGGCGTTTCTCGGCATTCATGCAAGATCTTCCTTTGTACCTCCAAAGTGGTGAGCGCCCTCGGTCCTCAGGGTATGATGATTCGTCAATCTGGCGACTGCTCTACAAGTCAAGCCAGTTCAGGTACAAGGCCCGCGAAAATTCTAGCATCTAGCCACAATAGCTTCATGCCCGAGGTAGGCACTAGTGGTTCTCTGCACGATGAGCGAACCGAAGAAAGGTGACGAACGGGACCAAACCGTGGATCGGGAACGGGGACGTCACAAGAAACAGCTGAGAAGAGCAGAGCTATACAGAACAGAGTTGGGTCATCCTATGTCCAAGGTAAGGTATAAAAGATCTATCAAGTCTGCTCCAAAGGAACGGTCAGTCAGTCAATCAATCAGTCAGGTCCAAAGGTACAATCGTTGCATACTCTTACCCCCAAACCCACTCACTCACTCCCTGTCTATCTACCCTGACCTGACCTAAACATCTACCTGCCCTTGGGTCTATCACAATGTCTGTCCTTCTCAAGACCTCCCTGTTCCTCTCCGCCCTCACCGGCGCAGCAGTCAATGCAGCCCCTGCCCCCCTCGAAGCCCGCCAGGCCAACCAATACACCGCCGAAGCAGCCAACTGGAACGAGGGCGCAACCACCGCCTACAAAATCCACGAAAGCTGCAACGCAACCCAAGCATTCCAAATCGCACGTGGCCTCAACGAAACCATCCAACTAGTCAGCCACGCCAAAGACCACGTTTTGCGATTTGGCAACACCTCCGAGATCTACCGCAAGTACTTTGGCGACCGGCCCCCCTTTGAAGTCATTGGCGCCTACGACATTATTGTCGAGGGTGACAAGGCCAATGTTTTGTTCCGATGCGATAACCCTGATGGCAACTGTGCTATTGAAGGTAAGCACCAACAACCTGTTGGGTCAACACCAACACCAACGCCAACGCCAACACCTCCCCCCAAGTATTTACCAACCCTTCTTTGGCATCTTTGCTAACGCTCCTTCTCCTTCTCCAGGCTACGGCGGCCACTGGCGCGGCGAAAACGCAACCGACGAAACCGTCATCTGCGACCTAAGCTACGAGACCCGCCGCCCGCTATCTCAAATGTGCGCCCTAGGCTACAACGTGGCCGAGAGCAAGACAAACACGTTCTGGGCCTCCGACCTGCTCCACCGTCTGTACCACATGCCCGCCGTTGGAAAGGAATACATTGAACACTTTGCCACCGATTACGACTCTGTCATTGACTTGGCCGCCAGCAACGAAACCTCTTCGACTCATGACTCCGATACCCTGCAGTACTTTGCTCTCGAGGCCTATGCGCATGACATTGCCATTCCGGGTGTCGGATGCCCTGGTCCCGAGCATACTCATGACGATGCTGATGCCTCTGCTTCGGCGACTGCCTCTGCCACTGATGCCCCGGCTGCCACTACTGACGGTGCAACGCCGACGGTTTCGGATGCTGCGTCGGTTACCTCTTCGATCCCACCGGTAAGTTTGAGCCCACAGTACTAACCCATATGCTGCAAAGGAACAAAAAGCTGACTCGTCTTCCAAACAGCACTGCCACACCCACGAGGGCGGTGTTCTTCACTGCACTTAAATCGAAGCGGTGGGAGGTTCCGTCGTGATCACCAAGATCTGGAGGGCGGAATGGAACCAGACATCGGTCGGTGCAACGATGGATGGACAAAAATGACACGCGCAGCCGCGAAAAAGAACAAAAGAAACAACAAAATTACTATACTACTAGTAGTAATAGAAGAGGAAGTACCGGGCTACCAGCCAGAAAGACGAAAGACGATCAGATAGACAGGGAGTTGGCCTAAGAACTAGTCCGCCAACCTTAATAAACACAGTCTGCATAATAATACCTTAACCTTCAAGTGTTTCTGTCTTGAGACTAGCGTGGTGAGCAAGATCGAAATGGGTGTATTACTGCCGCCCTGGTCACAGTTATGCGGGTAGAACAACTAGTAGGGACCTACTAAGGTAGAATGACTCAAGTTCCAGTAGTCCTGCATTGCTTGTTCGACAGTATGCATTGACAGTATGCATATGGAGGATTGATCTAACTTGATTACTTGAGTCTCACTCGCAAACCGGCACCTGCGCAAAATGCTCAAAACAATAACTTCCAAGGGCGAGATCCATCACAGTACTCTTAAAAACACATTGTCGTAAATGGCCCAAGACTGCTCTTCACTCCAATCCCAAAAACCTAACCATTTATAACAGAGCAGCACCCAAACCGGCTGCAACCAACATCAGTTTGCTGTCCACCAACGGCCCTGAACCGACACCATTGGCAAGCTGGTTGACGCCGGTCTGAGAACTTTCAGTCGCGGCAGCTGTGGCTGACCCGGTTGAGGCAGTCGTCACAAGGAAACCATCTCCGGTGGTTGCAGAGGTAAAGCTGTCGCCAGACGTGGGGATGGCAGTCGATCTGGAGGATGTTCTGGTGGTGGATGAAGATGAAGAAGAAACTAGGCCACCACCGAGTCCACTGCTGCCACTCGACTTGGAACATCCGGAAGCAGTTGAGCCCTGAGAAGAGAAATCGTTAGAGACGCGAGGAATGGTGAAAGCCGGGACTGGTTACTTACTGGAGCACAGCATTTGCCGACATTGGCAGAGCAAGAGTAACCACCTTCGCAATGATCTATGTGCATGTTAGCTCACAACACAATGACCCGCTGAATGTCCATCAAGCAATTCAACTCACATCCATCCTGGCAGCAAACATCGCCTTCGCCAGGGTTATAGCAGGCATCCGTGCCACAAGGCTCGCTTCCAGAGCCGAACTGCGCTTCGCATTGGGATGTGGTGGTGCTACCACTGCCACTACCAGTGCTGCCACTGTCGGGACATGTGTTGTATAGTGGGTCGTTAGGGTCATAGCAGTGGAAACCGTCCGGGCAATCTTGGAAGGTGGAACCAAAGCAAGACTTGCAAGTCGCGCCCTTTTGCGTGCACAGAGTGTCGGTTCCTGTGGATGAAGATGCCGGTGCCGATGCGGTTGCGCTTCCACCTGAGCTTCCACCTGAGCCCGAGCCGCCGGAGCTGCCTGTGCTGCTTGTGCAGGAGTCAAGGCCGTAGAGAGAGTCGCCGGGAAGATAGCAATATAGCGTGCTGCCGGGACACAGGGTATAGCCATCACCAAAACATTGTGCGCAAGATCCAGAGCATCTTTTGTCCAGTGACCGCGACAGGAGCTGGTTGGTATTGGCGGGGACTTTGGAGAACCCCGGGGTCAGGGTCTTGCGAATAGCATCGACGGGTTCCTGCGCCGCGGCAAGAACGATGAGGGAGGAAATGCCCAAGGCTGCTTTGACGAACAACATCTTGAATACTGAACCAGAGAATTGGGAGCGATGGGCAAAGGGGCCGTTCGATTGCTGAGGAGCGAAGTTCTCGATAGGGAGAAGGAAAACAACAGAACGAGGAGGCGGTCAAACATACAAATATACTCTCTCCTTTGACCGTGGATTCAGCCTCACCGTGTCTGTACCGTGCCGTTAGACTGGAGCGGCATTGGTCTTGCAAAGGGACTGTATCCCACCATTGCCCCGAAGCGTACTCGGTTCGATCGATGGATCCGCACACACGTGTTGCGATTGGAGGGTTCGGCTAGAAGTAGTTCTTTCTTTAGACTTGAGATGGTCTGTCCAGACATGCGAAAGAACGATCATTGGCGAGATATTCGCCGAAAGGGTCTGCTTGGGGGAGACCAGGCCACATCCGAATGGTCCTCTCTTCATTTCAGCCTGACCCATGGCGTAGGGCAGAATAGACGAGGCAGTGATAATGGGTCACCTGGGCGGCCAACGAGACGAAAGGGTAAGATTTGACTGGCGATCCTCGCCAATCTAGTCAACGCAGGGCGCAGAAGTCGGCGTCGCAGAAGGGGACCAGAGTTGTGAAGGAAGACCTCGTTGGAGGCAGAACGGTAGTACAGGACTAGTACTGCCAGCGGTACTAGGACATATCTTCCTGGATCGTGGTACCTGATACCTTGTATGTAAGTGGCCGGCGGCGGTGGCACAGCAGCCACAAAGGGCCATGGCTTTGGCACTTTCCACACGCCGCCCTGTCGCCCATGCCGAATCAAGGGGTAAGTTGCTTGGCATTTGCTTGGCTTCGGTGGGGGCGGAATCGGACAAAAGAACAAGCCGCTCAACTCCAATTTTCCCACTTCGTTTGCGCACGGGCGTCAGGCTGATTTTGTCCCCGCGAACACCGAACACCAAACACCACCCGGGTCGAAGCCTACTCAAGGCAGGTACCGTCCTGAGCCGTTGATAAGAGTCTCTGTCGTACACACATGTGTATTTGTTGCTTGAGGTGGAAGACCTGTATACGAGGAATCAACCACAAGCCGCGATTGGGTTCCTCTTCCTCTACCCAATCTCCCATACTCGTTTGAGAGGACAAGGCTACCGGCCTCGGCAAATTCCCGATGTGGCTGTCCAGAGAATCACCAGACCGCTGACAGGGTCCGCAGCAGTACTAGTAGTACGTTCAAGTTGTAGACTGAAAGCCATTAGCTCTTTAGCGTGGAGGCTAATGAAGTATCATTGGGTGAAACACGTCCTTCAAAGGCTGAACGGCACAGCAGCCGATCACTTTTTACCCAGCACTCCACACACGTGGATGACAATCACCCTCTTGGAGGTTGCAGCATTGACACAGTAGTGGTAAAGCGTGAACGAGCACCGCCCACGGCGGGTCTCAACTATGCTTGAGTTTCCGACTCATCGGGTCATTTTTTTGCTGTATAATGTTGTACAATTGTGGTCAATGCTGAAGGGCTGGCGGCACCACAATTTACCGACCGAGCTGCACGCGGTATTGTGACAGTCATTCCTATACCAGGTGAGGCTGACAGACTTCGGGCAGACCGGAGCCAAGACACTGTTCCCTGCGCCTCTGGGAGTGGATGTCGAAGAAGTGCAGCCATTGTCGGAGCGGAAGTCGCTTATTGATTGCTGCACAACAAATTGGTCTGCAAGGATATCTGCATATCAGAACACGGGGCCATCGTCAAGCGACAGGCAGGCAGGGACGCCAGGTAGCGACAACATGCTCGAAGTGATATGTTCATTCATCAGGTCGAAACCGGGGTGTGACTGAAGTATAGGTAGCTGTGGCATTTCGATCGTATATCATCACTCATCATTATCACCTGTCGCGGTTACCATTATTGATTGATTTTCAGATCCTTGAACTCCTTCGTTGTGTTGGTAATGGCAACTTCCACAGGCAGACGTTCCATGCTACTGGCCCCAAAGAACCCATGCACCCCTTTGGTACGGCTGAGGACGTATTCGGCATCTTTGGGCTCAGCGATAGGTCCGCCGTGACACAGGACGAGGATGTCCGGATTGATTTTCACTGCGGCATCCCTCATGTCTTGGATTAACTTGACGCAGTCGTCCAACGACTTCCCAGTCTTTGCACCAATGCTGCCCGACGTTGTCAGGCCCATATGGCAGACAATCACATCTGCACCAGCCTTGGTCATCCTCTCAGCTTCGTCCACGTTGAACACATAGGGTGTGGTGAGAAGGCCAAGCTTGTGTGCTTCAGCGATCATGTCCACCTCCTTATCGTAGCCCATGCCCGTCTCTTCTAGGTTTGCTCGGAAGGTACCATCGATGAGGCCGACCGTAGGAAAGTTCTGGACCCCGCAGAATCCCATGCTCTTAAGCTGCTCGAGAAATTTGGGCATGACTCGAAAGGGATCGGTGCCACAGACACCAGCTAGGACACCGGTCTTGTTGACGATGGGGAGTACTTCTCGTGCCATATCGACAACTACTGCATTTGCATCACCGTAAGGCATAAGTCCGGCAAGAGAGCCTCGACCCGCCATTCTGAACCGCCCGGAATTGTAGATGATAATCAGGTCTGCACCGCCAGCTTCAATAAATTTGGCCGACAGGCCTGTTCCTGCTCCTGCTCCAACAACAGGTTTGCCATTTTTGACCTGCTCGCGAAGATGGGACAGAACTTCGGCTCTAGATGATGGAGGAGGCATGATCGTAATAGACAGTGGACGGTGAAATGTGTGCAGAGGATGTCGCCGATCGAAACTTGAAGAGAGCTTTTTCGTGGATACGTGGTATTTATTCCATTGTGCTACTGTTGCTCTTTATTTATTTTTCATTGCACTCCACGTCATCGTTGATCCGCATAATCCGAAGCGTGAGATTGTCCATTAATTGCCAGATCCTGAATTACGCAGCGTGGGGAACTGCGGGGACTCGTTTGTCGAACATCGTTCGATGCTGCCGCAATGAGAATGGGATTCTTGGAACTAGTACGACCGAGATTACAACCGCAGAGACAAAGGAGGGGCAGCTCTGCAATTGCGTCCTGAGCTTCGCACGGCGTTCTTGCCCTCGTTGATTTATCATGCCTCATGTAAGTGTCTGGCTGGACCAAGTAAACCCTCTGTTGACAGTCCCTCCTCTTCCTCTGTGACTATCGTCGTTGTTCGCCAGAATGCCTAAGCCGACCGTCCTCATTGTTGGCACTACGGATACCAAGCTTGATGAAATCATCTATCTGCGAGAACAAGTGCGCGCCCATCAATCATGTCAAACCAAGGTCCTTGACATAGGCCATACTCCAAGCAAATCGTCGGCCCTGGGGGCCATCCCCTCCGATGAGATTATCACGCCTCTTCATGGCCATAGCTCCACCTTGAAGTCGTTGCCGCGTGGGGAATACATCGACAAGGCCATTGAGCTATGTCTGCCCGTTGTCAGAGAGCTTGTGTCCAAGGCCCAAGTACAAGGAATCGTGTCTGCTGGTGGCAGTAGTGGCTCATCGCTGGCAACAGCATTGATGCGCAAAGCATGTCCTGTTGGCTTCCCCAAACTAATGGTATCCACAATGGCGAGTGGGAACATCAAGCACTACGTCGAAGAGACGGACATCACAATGATGTACAGTGTGGTCGACATTGCCGGCGTCAATTCGGTGCTTAAGCGTATCCTGTCAAATGCGGCCGCGGCAATTGCTGCCATGACCTTGTCATATGCAAAGTCTCTCGTCGACCCTTCGGAGTCTGAGACCAGAGGCAAGCGAATTGCCATCACCATGTTCGGGAATACCACACCTTGTGTGGACGAGATCCGTCGGATCTTGACGTCCCCTCCGCACGACGTGTCCGAGTTTGAAATCTATGTGTTCCATGCAACCGGCGCAGGCGGCCGGGCTATGGAACGTCTTATAGCGGAAGGACAGATTGATGCTGTCATCGACCTGACTACCACCGAAGTTGCAGACGAACTCTTCGAAGGCGTGCTCTCTGCTGGGCCTGAAAGATTGGAGGCCGCTGCCAAGAAGGGAATTCCTATGGTGGTCTCAGTGGGAGCATGCGATGAGGTCAACTTTGGTCCCAAGGACACGGTGCCGGAGAAATATAAGGACCGCAACCTGTTCATACACAACCCTGCAGTAACGTTGATGCGGACGACACCAGAAGAGAACAAAAAGATTGGCGAGTTCATTGCTTTGAAACTGAAGAAATATGCCGCCGATCCAAGCGTTGTCCGAGTCATATTTCCTCTGGGCGGAGTTAGCATGCTAGACGCCCCGGACAAGCCGTTCCATGATCCCAAGGCGGACACTGCTTTATTCGAGAGCATCGAAAATGGGCTGGAGGACACGGGGATTGAGATTGAGAAATACCAGTTGAATATCAACCATGAACAGTTTGCCAGCCATGTTGCTGCTGCCATCTTGGAGGTCATGGGTATTGCACCCAGAAGCTACAGGCTGAAAAACTTGCGCAGGAGGAAGTGGTCCTTCGATCATGGGGAGTCGGTCATGTCGGTCAGGAGGAACAGTCAGATTGAAATCCCTGACGCGGAGTAAACCATCCGGCTGGGAGAGGATTGAATCTTTTGATGATGCCCGCGTTGCTGACACCACATGAATGATACCATTGTATAGTTAGGAATACCGGTACTGTGTAGTAACGATATTTGATGGATGTTTCTTTACTTGATTCACAGCGTTTGTTGTAAACTGTATTCGGAGGATTTCCCCGGTTCGGATCATCTAATTTCCGCCAAGGCTGCACCTCGCTTCCTTGGTCCCAAACTAAAACGCCGTACGATGACTACCGCTACTAACGACGCGGACAAAAGTACACTAATTAGTAGTCTGCACATCTCTCACCCTCAACGTCGGCCACTACTGCATCGTCTCTTCTCATACCACTACTTCTCCTCACCACTCATACACCCAGTACTTACCTTAGTTATCCCAACATGCCTCACGCCGCTCCGTCACGCTATCCTCCCACAGCGACATCCGACCTCGAAGCCGGCGCCGTCCTGAAACTCGGCGAATTCCAAAACGAAGTCACCCTCAACCTATCCGAAGCGCGAATCATTCTACAAAAGACCCTAGCGACCCGAGCAGCTCGCGGTGGCCACTACGAAGAGACCGAGACCACGGCCAAGACGCGCGACTACCTCGAGATCTTTGCCGTCTTCAAAGAGCTGGCCGAAGCCCAACAAGTCGAAGGGATTATCAATTCCTACGGCGAGAATTTGGAACGGTTCGAGAAGAGCCAGCTGGGCAGCTTGGTGCCTACATGCTCAGATGAAGCTAAGGCATTGATTCCGAGTCTGGAGAGGAAGGTTGAGGACGGCGTTGTCACAGAGGCGGAGTTGGAGGGGATTTGTAGGGAGTTGCAGAGGTTGAAGAGACAGGCACAGCTGTGAAGAGGATATGCGCTGCTACTAGTACCGGCTGTCTTTGTTGTGCATACGAAGCAGGGCTCGGAGGGTCTGCTGCTGCGTGGTGTCTGGTCGTCTCGGTGTCTGGCCGTTTTGACCGGCTTGGGCTTTGCATGGGATAACGAACGCTCCGGAAGGGCTCTTTTTCGACGGTGCATGCCGTATTTCTCTCCACGGAGGCCAAGTCAGCGTAGGCTGCCTCTTCAGAAAAAGTCGCGCCCGTCTACACAACACAACATCTTGCACGAGCTTGCGCAAACTCAAGGAGCGAGCTTCGATCCCTCACTGCTGAACCTCCCTATTGGCTGCGATGGCGGCCAGTTGCTGTGAAAGGCATGCCGAATGAAAGCCCACATACGAGGGCCAATACCCCGACATTCGCCAATGACCGACTCGGTCATGGTCAGTTGGCTTCAGGTCATGGCCTTGCGATTGCCATGATTATGGCCACTTAGAGTGAGGGAGCACTGGCATCCAGTGTCATGAAAAGCGCATCGTCCAACGAGGGATAAACCGCGTCCGGAGGAAGAATGGCGTGGCGATCTCTGAAGGGGGAGTATTACCTCCTTACTATCGTCCCAGATAGTGCTGTTTTACGAAGAATATGATTCACTGAAGCCCTCAAACAAGCACTGAGGGAAGTTGCCTCCTCTCGCCCCATGATCGCTGCATCCGCAAGACGATTCTCGCTTGAATCAGACGCTCTTCAACTGCGCATTGGCAATGGTCAAAAATTTGACGCGTCTACTACGCCCAAGCCCAAGCTCGCCGCACTCAACAGAAGCCTGATTCGAGTTTGTTTGGCTGCATTGAATCCTTGCTTGAATCCTTTCTTGTCTTCCTACGTCGGCTCTGATTTCGTTGATACATTTTGTTTGCTTAGGGCTATCCTAAGGCATTCCTGAATGCTAATAATCCTAATGAGCCAAGCAAAGTACCTAGGTTTCAGTATATGCGAATCTCGTCAAGGAAGCCGCGAATCTGAGTAGACGATACCAGGTAAGAATCCGACTTGTTGTATGCCCTGGTCAATTCAATTGGAAACCAGGCACGCCTGCACCTGTCGATGTTGTCCCGCAACAAGGTCTTGGCACCGGACCCAATTATTTACCTACAATGTTAGGTACCTGGTGAACACCGTGCTCCTCGTTCTTTGTAAGCGTTCTGTTCAGCCTTCTGTCAAGTGTTCTATCCGACGCTCCTGCCGAGCGGAGCGTCCTGTCGGGGAGCATCGTTATGGCTTTGCCATAACACATCGTCGTGTGCGCACGACTGCTCATCCAAACTCTGACCAAACAAGTGCACCTCTCTCTCTACACGGCCATGCTGCATCATGGCATCACATTGAACGTTCTGCCAAATGTTCTATTTTGGCGTCCTGTTGAACGTCCTGTCGAGTGTCCTATCGACCGTTCCCATTTTATTATCAACAAGGACAGAGCAACTTATCTAATCTCAACGATGGCACCACAAACACGCTCTAATTGACGACCTGGCACTCCAGCTACCGGGAGTCTATAATCCAGAGGCCCAGGAAGGCCTAGACTATTCGAGAGAATAGACCCATCCCAAGGCGATATCGCACGATTCCTTTCTACAGCAACAACACAAGCCCCCCCATGGGAACGAACAAAAACTTCTTGGGTAAAGCCCACTGTTGTGGCACAACACACTCAGCGATGCTCTCAAAGCACTAGGTCTGTCACCAGTGCCAGGAGTCAATTGCGTGCTCAACAACAAGTTTCTCATTATCCTATTCTATGTGGACGACATCATTCTCTGCTACAAGCGTGAGTTCAAGGAGCAAGTTGATACAATTCTACAGCGTCTTCAAGAGCGATTTGCTCTACGAGTTATGCTGGAAGTCAACTGGTTTCTCGGAATACGAATCGTACGAGACCGAAAGCTACGCAAATTGTGGCTCGTACAGGATTCATATATCGATAAACTATCATCCAAGTTTAACGTTGACTCATACGGCAAGAAGATGCCGCCTACTCCCTTATCAACAGAGAGTCTTATGCCGTATGATAGTAAGGCCACGCCACAAGAGATTTACGCATATCAACAGCGTATTAGCTCTATCAATTTTGCGGCCACAACGACGAGACCAGATATCTCAAGAGCCAGCTCTGTATTATCGCAATATCTACGCAATCCGTCGCCAGAACACATAGCAGCCGCAAATCGAGTACTGGGATATCTGAAACGCACTCGCAGTCTTGCTCTTGAATACTCTACTCCTTCTGAAGAGAACACACTCTCTCAAAACAATAATAAACACGAGAGCGTCAACACCTTTGAAGTGTACTCTAACGCCGCATTTACTGACAATCCTAGTCGGAAAAGCTCTGACGGCTATCTCTTTATACTGCACGGAGGCCCCATCCATTGGAAAGCCTCTCGACAAGATACCGTAACGACTTCAAGTACTGAGGCAGAACTTCTCGCGCTGTCTCGTACGGCAAAGGAAGCACTCTAGTGGAGTCGCTTCTTTCAATCGATACACCTAAAACTCGATTAAATAGTCACAATTAAAGCCGACAACGCACAGACTATTCAGCTACTGATCAAAGACAATTTTCAGCTAACAACCAAGCTGAAACACATTAATATACATAAGTATTGGCTACGATAAGAGGTGCAAGCTAGCAAGATACGGCTAGAATAGGTCGTAACAGCCAATATAAGGGCTGACGGCTTCACAAAGGCACTAACACCACAGAATCACGAACGATTCGTGTATACGCATCTCCGCCTAGTCGACGTACAGGCTGTACTCGACGGCAAAGCGACGAACACAGCCTGAAGGGGCGGATTTGCCGGACACAATTTATTTAAATCCATCGAAGGTCCTGTTGAACGTCCGACCGAGCGTTATCCTGTTCGAATATTTCGAACAACGAATACGTCAATATCGAAACGGGTCCCTGTCGAGGCAAGCACTCTAATACTCGTCGTTATACTACCAATACTGCCATCTACTCCACAGCATAAACGACTCACACGCGACGAACGCCGAGATACCGCTTAAACTTGAACTTATTTAAACAAGTTGGGCTCTCGACGAGGATCGCTAATATCCACCGGCTCCATATTCTTGACCGGGGAACATACTATGGCCCCGGGAACATTCGCTTTATTGTCCACTGAGATGCAGGGACCCTCCTTACGTTCGTCTTCCTTTCAGCGACCGCTTTTCCTTCTGCACCCCATCCCCTACCATATTGTCCGTCGAGGGCCCCATTGACTGGAAAGCCTCTCGACAGGACACTGTGACCACTTCGAGTACTGAGGCAGAACTTCTCGCTCTGTCTCGTGCGGCAAAAGAGGCACTCTGGTGGAGTGGCTTCTTCCAGTCGATACACTTGAAACTCAACCAAGCGCTTACTATTAAGGTTGACAATGTACAGACTATTCGTCTACTGACGAAAGACAATTTTCAGCTATCTACTAAGCTGAAGCATGTTGATATACACAAGCACTGGATGAGACAGGAAGTGCAAACTGGGAATATACGGCTAGAATGGGTTGCAACAGCCAATATGAGGGCTGACATGACCGCCGAAATCCAGTATGAGCGTACTCTCGCCAGCGGCGTACAGGACCCCTTCCACTTTGACCCGGCTCGGCGCATAGTGATATGCAAGACCTGTCAGAGGGGTCTCTCGGCCGACAAAAGCTACTTCGACAACCACCTGACGAAACACCACGGGAACCAATTTACCGCGGTCGAACGCCCGCCTTGCGACTCGTGACCGAGCAGGATCTCCGCTACGACGCGCCCACCAGCCCACTCCTTTACTTCCTCGGTGTCCTCGCCTTTCGCGTCGAGTCGGCCACCTGGATGGCACCGGCTCAGTTGGCCCCCTTCTCAGCATCGTGATCTACGGGCTCCGTGTTCTGGCCCTCGGGCATGTGCTCGGCGACGCTGATGCGGAGGCCGACACGGTCTACCCTCGCCTGGAGAACTATTGCAGGAGCTACCTGCACAATAGGGCGCCTACCGTGTTTGACGAGGTATTCGGCCAACGCAACTACGCCTCGTCCATCGCCAAGGACTTTTACGGTCGCCCGTCCATTCACTGGGAGTCGGATCGGCTAGCCCTCCGGTACGAGGGTGATCGCGTCTCGATTGTTGGGGTACAGACATAGGTTCGTCACCTCCTCCTCGAGGCCGAGGAGGTGCTCACCAGTCAGCTGTTGGGTGTCGATCGTACCGTTATCGAAGTTGTTATTCCTCATCCTCCTCGTAAGGTAGGACGTCCTCGAAAGCTCTCTCTAGAGCGCCAACAACTCTTTACCTCGTACTACGCTAGTACGATTCAACCTCAACTCGAGACATTCCTAGAGTCAATAGGATATTCACTAGTCTCTAAAGCACTCGTACCCGATTTCCAATTACTCTCAAAAGACTCTATCGAGAGTCTAGGACGCCAAATTCATACGGCTTCAAAACCTAGTAACGCTCCTAGCGTTCATACAAATCTTCGAACCTGTGTCTGCTAAAGGCATCAACAGACGTGATATACTTCCACTCCTTTGGGTGTTTAAGTACAAGTTCGACAACGACGGCTACCTAAGCAAATCCAAGGCTCGAATATGCGTACGTGGCGATGTTCAATTATCTTTCAAGGATACCTACGCTGCCACGCTCGCTTTCAGCGTATTCCGAGCAATCATGGCCATTACAGCGGCCTACGACTTGGTACTGATTCAACTCCACGCCGACAACGCTTTTCTTAACAGCGACATTGACGAGGAGATATATGTACGCTTCCCAGAAGGATTCGAGATACCAGGTATGGTCCTTCGTCTTCGCAAGGCACTATACGGCCTCAAACGGAGTCCTTTGCTCTGGCACAACACTCTCAGCGAGGCTCTCAAAACACTCGGCCTCACGACTACCCTCACGCAGGAAGAAAAATGGGCGCTGGACAGGAAGGACAGAAATTATCAAAGACAGATGGAGATATACAGACAACAAACGATTCTAGTATAGAGATTGGACGACCGATTCAACAGGACTGAAGCGACAAAGTCTCGCACGGAAATGGAATGCTCTTAAGCGAGCACTACGGAACAAGGACCTAGAGACCTGGTTTCATCAATGGGAGTCACTCTACAAACAGTGTCAGGCTCTCAAATTGATGGAAACAACAGGCACTACGGCTCAAGTCGATTTCCAGGGCACAATTTAGTCAACTTAGCGTCCCTTACAACAGTTATGAGCCCGGTTTGCGCCTGAATACCCTGCGTCGACTAATCAGCGTCACTCGTCAACAACACTCATCGCACTACTGATATAGGGACCTACCACGATGGCATTCTACGAGGATCCGACTCGCTCTCCTGCAGTTACTGTCAAGACTGCTCCTATCTTGAACACTCCCGATGACTGGGACGAATGGTATCGGGCGTTCAAGTATGAAGCGCAAGCTGACGGTTCCTGGCAGTATGTCGACCTCTCGAGACCCGAACCTCCTCTCCTCCCAGGTCCTCCCGAACTACCTCCCTACACTGAATCGGACACACTTACACAAGAAGAGAAGTGGGCGTTAGACAGGAAGGATGGGGATTGGCAAAGGCAGACGGAGATCTATCGACAGCAAACGATTCTCGTTCAAAGACTGAACGACCGATTTAACAGGACGGTGTCATTAGCAAACCGCCTGTACTTCGAAGATGAAGTCACTCCATACAGACGGCTGAAGGCCTTGAAGGGACGGCTGAAGGCCTTGAAGGAGCGTCATCGAGTGCCGCCAGACTCGAGTGCACTTCGGTGGAGCCGTGCGGAAACTGCAAATGGCGACCGACATAGGGCCGCCGCGTGTTCCGGACGCTCAGAAAACACGGATCAACAGCACACCGTGTCGCAACGAGTGCCTCTAGGGCTAATCGACGCAAATCGGAGACGCGGACATGAATTATCTCCGTACTCTATTCAGGCTCTAATATCGGAGATGCTCGAGACGTGGGCGCCTCATGAAAGGTTATAAGTGACGTCTATAACGTGTAATCTTGGTTCCGTGAAAGGGAGGCAAAGGGGCCAGTCTCGCCGCGTTGGACTTACCGCGCCGTCTTCTATACGAATCCGGGGTCGAAGTCTCGTGTTGGACTGTATCGAGGTTCCTCAATCAATAATGGGGATAAAGAAGTGGCTCGCGAAGAAAGGGCCTCTTTGAGGGTTAAGGAGACAATCACGCGGATGAGCGACAGTTCGGTTTGAATAGCGCGTGCAGTACGATCGATAATTATAACTATACCTGATACTTAGTAGTATCCGATTCAAGTTTCTATCACTGCATTTCATGCTTCTCTGGTGGCATGGAACTGGCATGTCATACCGGGGAACCGGTGTAGTGAAGTTGAGTTGTTTCGACTTGGTGACACTGATAGCCAGTCCAGTCATGATGGAGCCTGAGTGGTGCAGTGATGCAGGGATGGTGACTGTCCATGAGAGAGGAGGAGAGTCGACAAGGTGAAGACAGAAGCTTAGATTTCACTTGCTCTTGCTTAAATACCTTAGTCCGAGAAGATCTTGAATTGTCTATATTCTCTTCTCTTTGATTTCTGCCGCCGTTTCTTTGCCTCACGTCCTGTCCAGCCTAAGATCCTGAGCGGAGGAATAGCGATATTGATCACCGGCAGTGAGCAGAGGACTCGCTATCCATCGTCAAGATCATCAAGATCAGCACCACTATCATCGCCATCACGGCCGATCTTGTCGGCGGCGTGGTGGGCCCTAATGCACATCTTGTTCCGCAACGCCAAATTTGACAAAAAGTGCACAGCGCACGATAGTCCTTGGGCATCTTCGTACGGATCTGAGCTCTCCTGGCACAACCCCATCATAGCAACGGCGACCACAGCCCAAAGCCGCTCCCAGAGCAGAGTAGAGCAGAGCAGACACGACACCACCACACCGACAATCATGACAACGACACCTGAGATGGCGGAGCGGGAGCGAGTGGAACAAGAACAGCAACAGCGTCCCACGTCAGCTGATGCCGCTATGGGACATCCAGTTCCAATTCCCCCGGTGGCAACACCACAAACAAACAAGAACCATGCCAGTAATGCCACACGGCCTGCCCCCATTCCGAATAAGCGCTATTCAAGTTGTCGAGTTCCAGTAATTCCACTTGCGAACCTGAAGAGGGGAGGCAGTGGTACTGGCAGTGATAGCAAGATCCAACGACTTGAACTCGGCGAGCTCGACCGTGGACTCGAGGGACCTGGATCACTGGCACCACCATCACCTTCTCCTCCTCATCCACCGCCACCAGCAGCAGCAACAGCTGCGACACCTTCACCGCCAATCCCAAACCATAACAAAGGCACCAAAGCCACAGAAGACCAGGGCCAGGCTGCCGCTCCCGAACATGACGCGTGGTCGCTCGATAGTTGGGACCCGAATTATCGTGAGAAGGAATATACCGTGTCATGCGGTCGATGTGTGGTCATGTGAAGTCTGCAGATTGCGGTTTGCGGCTTGCAGCGACTGGAACTTGAATTCTGAATGAAGGTCGAAGCTGAGTTGAATTTGGGACGGATAAAATAGTCCGACGCGGCGGGAGTTTTGGATACCCAAGGCTAGCGATACTCAGAGTTGTGATGGACGCGGTAGACAGTGGAAAGTGCCATGTTGATCTGGAGAAATTCAGGCACTGTAAACTTTCTTTTTCAGCCTCTGAGCATTCGTTTTCATTCTGTGGGGAGTCGATCAGAGATTTCTGGACCGGCTTAGACAGATTTTGCATATATCCATATGCGTCGGGCTTTTGCTCATTGTGCTCTGTGGAGAGAGACTCAAGTCCAGCCAGCAATGACCTGCCGCGGGTTGCTAGTGGGATAGTAATACTTCAGCCTGGGGACTTTCGAAGGATCCGTTTTCGAGATTGAGCTGCTTCCACTCACTCTGTTGACTCCGGATCTTTGCGTCCATAGGCTGCCGCTGGTGCGAGGAGATGTCCCTTCAAGCCCTTGGTCACAGGTATGAAAGTCCCCTCTTTCACCGTGCCGTGCAGATGGGGAGTTTTCCCATGGCTTCATCTACTGCAATGCACCGTCAGTCCCCGGGCTAGAGACCCGACTCTCGGTTATGCAGCATAGTATACCGATGACGACAGAGCATAGTCTGGCAGAGCATTTGCGAGTTGCACCGAGTGAACTGCAACAGTGTCATGAGCTGCAACAGTAAACAAGCCCAGCTGAAGCTAAGGCTCTGCAAAGGCAACACTTGCTGGCAATCGAAACGTTGCGCAGAACATCTTCTTCTTTGGCGCGACCAACCTGACATATCGTATATCCATTTCCAGTTCCGGGTCGTCGCTCTTGATTTCGACGCCAATGTGTTTTGAAATGCGTTCACAGATTTCGGCAAGTTCAGCCTCTTCCGTAGCCAACTTGGCTTGGAAAAGATAGACGTGTATCAGGGGAAGCTTGATCGAGGTATATGGCGCAAACTCGGTTTCACGGCCATGATAAGTTCCTTTGAAAGCGTCGAGAAACTCCACCGCAGTAGCGGGAAGATTCATGACATAATGCGAGAAGACCGCTGGCTCCTGCAAGACCTTGGCCGACTTTTCCGCCTCCTCTTGGAGGGCCTTTCTCTCTTCCTCACTTGCTGTGCGTGAGATCTTTACTTTCGCTGCAAGCTTGACAGTCCGCTGGTGACTGGCCAATTCATTGGTCGCCCGGCGGATAAATTCTCGACCATCCTCGCATGAAGCCGTGACGAAATCGGCGACTTTGTTACGTTTGATTGCGTCTTCCAAACTCGCGTAAGAATCCGGGTTTAGGTCATTAGCTCTCACAAACACTTTTCTCTTGCCAGCAGGAACGGCGAACGGGCCTACTCCAGCCATGACATCGCACACCGCCTCGCCTTCCTTGAAGGTCTCGAATACCCGCGCATGCTCGGTCCCTAACCGTGAGTTCCAATAAACTTTGCCAAAGTTGAATCGGAACTCGCATCCTGCTTCGTGAACTACGACGTCGAGGTCATCGGGTCCAGCGAGAACTTCGTACGGAAATGTGCGAAAAACAGACTCGTGGCCCACATCCAAAATCTTGTTGATGACGGTGGTGACTGTGGGATTTTTGTCGAGCAGAACTTGGCCTATCAAGTGCTTGTATGGCAGGTATGGCGACCGCAAGTTGACATGGGCTGTTGAGGATCAGCAGCGGCCCAGCTTTAAGGCATTGTGTAAACTCACCAACATGTCCGACCTGGGCGAATCCAGCAGGAGTTTCCTTTTCCTCCTCGGGAATTTCAGGAAGAATAGCTTCAAGTATGTTGTCTGTAGAAACTGTAAGACAAAGTTCCTAAAAAGCCAAGATGGACTCGGAGACGAGACCCGCCTCAGACACTCACTTACGCATGGTCCAATCATCATATGTCAGGGTTAAATCGTACGGACGGAGTTTTGCGAGGTTGGCTTCCACAAGTTTCGAGATTGTTGGTGACCATGTGGCAGGTTCTGGCATTGACATAAGCATAGCTGTCCGGGACATATGAGAATGGTCTCATATTTACCGTTTGCATTGATCCCAGGCCTGAGCAAAATTGCTTTTGCGCCTGGAGCTGACTCATCCTCTCGTAGAGGTTTGATGTTGCTTAACCGGAGCATATCCCCAGTTTTATCTAGATCTTTCCGTACATTGGTGATCTGTCTGGGATCGGAGACAGTGGCGGCAGCCAGTGGAACCACTTTTCGGAAGAATGATCTATCGAGGGTTTGCATAGAACGGTTGACAGGAGGCCGGAAAACCTCCGGTAAGTCTGGAGAATTCATATTCATTTTTCGTACTGTCGTCGGGGATTCTATGCGGGCGGCACTGGAGAATAGGCGGCGAAGATAGCTTGCCATGCAGGATTGCCAAAGAGCGTCGACCTGGCCTGCCAGTGGTCTATGGGAGTCAAGTTGATATTTCGGTGTTCTTTCTTCTTGCCTAGGAAATTTTGATGCTGTTGATTGGAAGACGGACTCTGATCATGTGACGAGCCCCTTTTAGCGACGACAAGACACTAGTTTCTAGATGGTTAGTCTGTCCACGATTCGATAAGCTTAAATTAAAGTCGGGTTGATGACGTCGTTGATTGTCCGAAACAGCAGTACTACCTACTACCTCAATGCAATGCAGGGTTCGATCAACCACTGCCTAGAAATAGGTGCGTACCACTGCAGACATAATACACCGGGGCACTGGCAGTGAGGTATATGCAGTATTTCTTATCGGCCATCTACAATCCAATTAATGTAAGTGCCAACACTGTGAACAAACTGGCATGAACCCACGCATGCGTCCTAGAACCATGGCCAAACGCACACTCGACGCGTTCTTTTCATCTTCGACGACGCCGCCCAAAAGGGCACGCCTGGACAACACGAACCCCTTGCCACCAGTATCGACAACACTGAATACCAATAGCAACAACGTCAAACAGACCGAGGACAGTGTCAACGATCGCCACGGTCAACCACAATCACACTCCCACCCCAACCCCGAGTCCCCAAACTCGAACCAATCCGAATCTCTACCACTGGCAGCGGCAATGCCATTGCCAGTCCAAACCACAAACCACACCACCTATCCCTGGCCAATACCCCATCTCCCACGCCATATCGCATCCGAGCTCGAACTCCAAGTCACAGCCCAGGGCCAAGAAATACGCAACCGCCCCGACTTGGACCTTTTATATTTCCAACCGTTCATCCCCAAATCCATTGCGCGGGATTTCTTCGAGTTTCTACGGTCTGAATTGTTTTTCTATCGTGTAAAATATACGATCAAGCGGTTCGGAAAGGAAACCGTCGTCAACACGCCGCGATTTACGACTGTGTTTCGATTAGATGAGACGAGTCGATTTAGATGGTTGGACGAGGCCACGACCACAATAGTCGAGGCAAAAGCATCAAATTCTTCTGTCCCTGTTCCAGTTTCTCGCTCAAAATACAAATGCACACCCCGCCCTATCCCCGAATGTCTCGACCTCCTCCGCCGCATCACCGAAGCCGCCACCAACACTTCATACAATTTCTGTCTAGTCAACTACTACGCCTCGGGCAGCGACAGTATATCGTACCACAGTGACGACGAGTACTTTTTGGGCCGGGACCCGGCAATTGCGTCGTTTACGTTGGGTGCGAGGAGGGATTTTTTGATGAGACATAAACCGGACAAACGGAAACAGGACGAAAATCAAAACGACAATGGAGACGGAAATAAAGACGGTAAACAGACACAGCCACAGGATTTGAAGCTGTCTCTCGCCAGCGGCGATATGGTTCTTATGCGTGGACCCACACAGGCGAATTGGATGCATAGTATTCCGAAACGGAAAGGAGGAGAAGCCGACAGGGGGAGAATCAATATTACGTTCAGAAGGGCGATGATTCCGGCGGGGACGGAGAACTATTATCGATATAATGTTGGTGAAGGGGGGGTGTTTAGGTGGGATAGAGAGAAGAGGGAGATGGTGCCTTGGGATGGATCTACTCCATGACATGAATGAGCTTGAGGCACATGTAGTACTGTAGGTGGTCGAGGGCGAAGTCGCTGATATAATTCAATCATACTATATCTCCTGGATTCAGGTTGTCCTAGGAACAAAAGAAGCGAGTCAATCCAACCCAATGCAATCCAATCCAATCCACATACCTTACAGTACCTTACCTACAACTTCCCTCTTCCTTTTTCCTGTCCTGTCCTCTTTTCTTAGTCCTCACCTCGTCCTCTGATCTGGTCGCTTCCATCCTCAAACCCTCTCAACATGTCTAACACCAGCATCTCCCGACGTCCCTCCCCTTCCCAGTGGACCACCATCTCTCCCCCCTTTTTCATCTTGTTTCTCATTCTGAACTTCTCCCATCTCAGCCCTCCCCTTCCCAGCTACCATTGTACTCCTCCTTCTCTGCACATGCTCTTTCCTCCCCGCACTCAATTCCTGCGCAAACTTACTTCGGTCCCGGAACCACTCGCCCTTCCAGTAAAAGATATATATCGGCACAATGACGACCACTGACAAACACGCGAGGATCGTGGACGGGTATTCGAGTTTGTACTTTTGGCCGATGTTTTCGTAGACTAGACCACACAACAACAGGTTAGCAGAGGCACTGTAACTTGTCCCTTTCGCTTCCTTGCTCCCCGCTTCGCTCTGCTCTGGTTGGCTCAACTCGGCTTGCGCCTCGCCTCGCCTCACTTCGCTTCGCTACTTACACGGCGTACTATACAACGCAGCAATGCCCGCCAAAAAATCCCGGGCCAAATCATTCCCGCCCGTCGCCGAGGCGGCGTATGGTCCGTATGCCGCGATCATGTAGTCGATGGAACTCTAAACAAGAAACAGACAAACAAGTTAATTCGTTACTAACAAAGTCGGCTGCCTCGAAAGGTGAAAAAGGAAGTGTGTCTCACCTTGTAAATTCCATAATTGGCCATGGCAATCAAAACAGTGAATATCAACGGAGCGATCCAGGGGATGCCGTAGTCGGGGCCGAGACTGGTCCATGCGAATCCGAAAAGGCCGATTGTTTCGAGAGGGGCCACTATTTTGTTTGGATTCAAGTTAGCAATGTCAATGTCAGTCTTCCGAGCTGATCTTGCCCAAGTAGTCGAGAGAAAACCTGTATGCATTGGGAAGGAGATGGTAGAGAGAGACAGACGGAACGAAACACGCCCAGCCGCGTTCCGCAACAACAACGAGATACAGATACAACAATCAACCTGAATATCCTCCAGGCTCCGCAGTCCAGCCTGGATCAACCACTGACTCGGCAACAGCAGTGTTCTTTGACCGTTCCAGGCCGGCAATAATATATTATGAAAAATCATAAAAACATGAAAATGGGTACCCAGGGGCATGAAATAAGCAAGGTACGGTCCACAACTGTACTTACAAAACAGTAACCACCACAATCGCGACTCCGGCGACAGTTTGTCCGGATCATTGGCGCGGATCTTGTTGTGATGGTGGATCACTGGTAGATAGGTGAAGTATGCGAGGACGTATCCGATGAGAGATCTGACAGAGTCAAAAGATCGTTAGTATGGATGACTCTTCGACTCCAGAGCACACCTCCGGTCCTCTTCTCGTCTCCGTACAACACGCTCGCAAACATCCATGGCTTTTGTTTTCATAGAGGAGTTCCGTCAACTTACGACAAAAAAGCCAAACCAACCTGATACGGCTGGAAATTCCACTGTTTGAACACTGGCGTAAAAGCCTCGAGAAAAGTAAACAACAGCGCATCACTAAACCCACTAAGCAACGACAAAGCCAACACAATCGGTTCGGTCGCAAACATAAGGAACGGCCGTGCCCAAATGCGCACAAACTCGTCCATCGGAAACCGAGGCTTTTTCAATTCATCCGGTCCATAAACATTAGTATCCCCGTTCTTGCGACGGCGTTTCGCCTCCCGATCCAACAAAATCGTCGCACGGGTCTCGGGGACAAGGACAAAATGAATCAATTGAACAGCACCCCCAATACACAATTGCATCCAAAAGATCCACCTCAGCGACAAATATTGCCCTACGAACCCGCCAATGACAGCACCCACGGGGGCACCGCCGACGGAACTTAGCACAACAAAGGCAACGGCATATTGAAACCCCGAGTCTTCAGGCTGGTATAAATCAGCAATGACGCCCAAAGTCACGGACCCACCGGCAGTCGATAGACCAGCTAGACCCCTAGCGACGACAATGGTGGCGAAATTTGGAGCCAGCGCCGCGGGCAGTTGCCAGATATTCACCAAAAACAACGAGAGCTGTTGTGTTGGCCATCGTCCGATTTCTTCAGACCATGGTGCCCACAGTTCGCATCCGAAAGCGTAGCAGACTAGAAACACCATTTGTCCTACTCGTGCTTTTTGTTTGCTGATGGTGTATTTCTCAGAGAGTCCGTCGACGCCGTTGGCGTAGATGCTGGCGTTGAGGTTCATTGATGTTTGGATCAACAGAATGACTACTAGGATCATCCATTTCTTGCACTCGGGAAACGTGTAGCCTAGTTTGTCGTATGCGTCGTCTTCGGTCAGTTCGATTTTGCCGTCCGTCCGGTTTGTGCGGTCCGGGTCGATTTTGTAGGCTTCGAGTTCGGGCCCGGTCACGCCGAGGTGTTTTTCTTTGTCGGCGGGGGGAGAGTTGACGCTCTTCTCGTGCGAGAGGTGGGCGCCTGTGTCTGCGCCTGCGCCGTTGGCGATGGTGGATTGGTCTGAGACCGACATTTTCGAGACGAGGTACAAGACGAGAGAGGGATGTGAATGGGGTTGTCAACGCAGTGCACGATTGTCAATGTCGTCAAGGGCAATGACAATGTCGAGCATCGCAAAGTAAAGTAACACAACGCGGGACTCGAGGTTGGAAGAACAGAAGACGTTCGCTAAGAAGGACAACAGAGATGGAGGTACCTAACAGCAGAAGGATTTGACTTTACCTTTCTCTGTTCGCATCAGGCAAGGGAGTGATGCTGCGAGGCCTGAGGAGCCTAGGAGCCCTCCAGAGGCTCTTGTCTCTCCCGCGTCTCGTGTCATGTCAGCCCAGCCCAGCCGCTGCGGATCGACATTGTATTGCGCTACCTTGAGGGATGGGCAATGACCATAGAGACTGGGGAATGGGGCTCTCTGGGGAAATGGCATGGCACATGCCCATCCTACTGCACTGGCAGTAGTGCTGTAGTATTGATCCTCGATCCAAGGGACGGGTATGACTTCATCTGACAGGACTTGCTGCAGGGCCACCAGTGGCGGACACCGCTGACACAATTCAAGTTGCTGGATCAGCGTCGTGGGCGCACAGTCTGGGGGCGGGATGCCAGTGTGGAGGTGGGTTTGGAGCGCGGGGACGGTGTCGGTTGGTCCCTGGCCGTGTCAAGGGTTGAGAAGCAATGGGAGAGGAGCATGTCGTAGAAGTCCAGTAGCATACCTAGAGACTGGACTGTAACGATCTTCGTTCTGGGCGTCGTCTCAAGCCTCGCCGAAGCATTGGAGATGATGTCGGTGGCTGAATTCCAGGTTTATGACGGCGCAGAAGTAGACTGCGCTATCTCACCCCATCCCCTTCCACCATTCAACTAGGCTTTAATTGTGCACATCCTTTTAGGTAGCTATGTACCGCGGAAATGCAGGAATCAAATGTACACGTTCTCGGATACTAGTACAGTACAGGTGTTGCAGGTACATATGTCCCTACGGTAGACGTCGGGTATGCAGCTTCTTCCAGACCGGAAGAACCATCAGACTGCAGCTCACGATGCGGCATTAAGTAGACGTCTTTTCAGCTCATCTTGAGCAGTAACAGTACCGACCTTTTTCGTAGAACCTGCAAGACCCTGTGATGAGCTCTATCTCCATTAATACAATTCAATCCGTCCGGCGGATTATGATCGTCGCATGCACATGCACACCTTTTTGAGCTCAGCGATGCCCTTTTTTGGGCAGCCCTGAATGGTGGATTGGCCCCTGATTACGAGCTATCCAGCGTGCCTCGTTAAGCACCAAACCAGATTCACTCAAAGAACCTGCCTGTCCCTCCCCAAAACTGAGAGTATTCAACTCATGTCGTCCTCCATCTCAAACCTTGGGTAGTAGCATTCTCTGCCCACCCTTGACATGGCCATTAGCATTTCCATTTCCGTTTCCGTTCCCATTTCCATGCCCTGGAGATCCCGACGTTGCAGCAGCTGCGTTGCGACTCGCAATGGTTTGATTGACAAAAGTCATGGGAATCTTACTCTGCTGACCAACTGGCACACCATGACCAGCGCCAGACGGGGCATACTGCGGCGTCGAGGCAGGACCCGGAGCAGGGTGGTGTTGAAAAGGCTGCTGTGGTGGTTGGAAGATGTACTGTTGTGGTTGTGGTCCATTGCTGACCGTAGTGGTGACTGCTGGCAACACTGGGGCTGGAGCGGGTGGCGGTCCCGAACGTGTGTTGTATCTGATATTACTGAATGATGAGTTTGAGCTTCCAGCAGTGGGTCGAGGCGTAGACACATGCTTTGGCGGTGCTGGAGCAATCGGTTGCCCGGGTCCGCTTGACATGATCCGAGGTAGGGTGCGGTCAATAGGTCCGGTGGTGGGAGTCAGTGCAGCAGGAGCAGGATGTAGAGTTGGCGGTGGCATTACCGCTGAGGTCGGTGGCGGAGGCGGCGGTGGTGGAAGGGTAGATACTGGCGGATAGGGGTACTGTGTGGGTGCTGGACCTGTGCTGACTCGACGTGCAGGGGCTGGCGCCAATGGTGGCAACTGGCCTGGAAGAGGAGAAAAGTCCAATGCTTCACGAGGGAAGGTCTCGCCGGGTGCCAATGGCATGTAAATGTAGGCCTTGTCGGGATATTGCTGCGCCATCCATTCCGAGACGTCTGCCAGAGCCGATAATGCGTAGGAGTTGGCATCATTCATATTAAATGGTCGGGGAATCAGATAACCCCTGATGTTGGCGAGTTCCTTTTCGGCTTCGGCAGACAGAGCCTCCATATTCTGCGACTTCTTTCGGGCCTGTTCTTCGCGCCAGTCATTGTTGCGTCGTTCCATCTCTTTGAGGAGTGGCTCTATCACATCCTCGGTCAAGACTTGTTGACGTGCCTTTTCGTCGAAAGTCGTGAATGACTGTTTGAATGGCTTTTCGTCCATGATTTTGCTGGACACATAGCCTCGCGGTTGTCTGTTGGGTTCGGGTAGTTCATGATAATGCGGAAAGTAGTCCATTTCGGACCCAGATTCGGTGTGAGTGTCATCATGGTCCGCACGGTATGCTCGCTCGAATAGGATGATGTCTCCTTCGGCACCGGCAAGATGCTCTTTCCGAGCTTCTGCAACGTGGGTCTGTTGTTGCATGTTAGCTCTCACTCACTCATGGCTAGCAATGAGTACCTAACGTACCTTGAACTGATTTTCAATCACCTCTCTCTCCTGCCTCATTCTGGCTTCTTCATGTTCCAACTGCACTCGATATCTCGCCTTGATCGTGGCTTGCATTTCCTGCATTTGCTCTTCAAGAGCCTCCTTGATCATGTCGTACTCCGGGACCCCTTTGTGGGTTTTGGCCTTGCGTGCAATCCGGGACAGGTCTCCAACAGCCAACTGGTCGAGGATGTCGATTTGCTGGGCACCGACCACTTTGAAGAATCTCTTAAGTTCTTGTTGCCTCGCCTTGAGCATGGAGATCTCCACTCGATCATCCTGCGTCAGAGGTCGCCGCCGGTTCGGTGGTTCTGGGCTCTCTCCGCCCCGGGCCCCCTTGCCCCTCCCCCGGCCCGCCCGGCCTCCTCTGTTCGCGTGACCGCCACCACGGCCACGGCCACCTCCCCTGGTGGACTTCTTGGAGGGCGACCGGGACTCCGGGGTACCGCCGGTCGCGCCCGGGCGGTACCGGATCCCGGCACTGGTGTAGTAGATCGGATTGTCCGGATCATACTCCGGCCAGTAGTTGCGGTCCTTCCATTCGAGGTGGGTGGCCTCGTCAATCTCCTCGAACAGCTCGCTGTCCGGCTTCTGACATTGTCTCTTGGCCGCAACGCCCTCCTCCAAGCCATCCGAGCTTACCTCGGAGGCTGTTCTCTTCTGACCTCCCGTCTGACGACTAGGAGGCGACGGCGACGAGGAAGGCACCGACGACAGAGGCGAGCTGTCCGAAGACAAGCTGGTCTCTGTCGCCAAGGAGTTCCTCGACGCAGTGCTCCTAGTCGTCATGTGATGAGCAGCAGGTGCTTGAGATGGTGCCTTGACCTTGCGTGCCATGATTCTGAGGTGTTGTTAGTTGGGATCTTCCGTATGGTCATGAATTGGAAATGCTCGCGATCAAGGCAGACGACAGTATCAGATGCAGTAGGGCTTCGATCTTTGAAGACAATCAAAAAGCGAAGGTGCTGGATGGATGGGAAGTTTTGGCTAGTTGACTTACTTGTGAATTCTGGGTTGACGAGTATATCTGATCGACGAACAAGTGCGAGGTGGAACAGCTCTTGTGAAAGCGCGAGAGGCTTGTCTGGACAATTTTTGGTTTGATGGTTTTGATATCCAGGGACAAGAAGGTCTCTTTTTGCAATCTGCTAAGCGCGAGGAGCAGTGGACATGCAGACGGGCACAAGCTGAGGACGGCGAGCTTCTTGGTGATGAGGAAAGGGTTTCAGGACAAGAGAGAAGTTGTGATAGATACTGAAGCCACAAAGGAGCAGACCTTCGGGGTATCCAAGTCTGAGAGTGTTTGGTTGGAAAAGAAGGGAAGAGGTGGAAGCATTTGTCGCAAGAGTTGGTAGTAGTAGGAGCTGATAGTAGCCCTTTCGAGGGTGAACAATAGGAAAGTGAAGCATTGTTGATCGCAGTGAAGCCCGGAGGCTGCGACGCGCCGTGTATGTCCATGATTGTGTACAAACCAGAACGGAAGTGAATAAAGATACTGCCAGTGTTGTGAATGCCGTGGGTCAAGCACAATAGGAGGCTGTCTTCAAGTTGTCGCTGAACTACAAGTGAGTGAATGGTGAGAGCAATGGAAGTGAAGCATTTTCTGTACAGCGCCGCCGCTGTAACAGAGAAGCCACTAGTGGCTGGCTCACTGTGCTTAGGAGCCACTAATAGGGCTCCGTCCCCTCTCTTTTGTAGTTAGGCTCCTCGCCGCTTTCTGTGCCTGAGAGGAATGCGGCGAGACCAAACCCTTTGCAGCTAGACGACATTCGGGTCGAGCCGTAGCATCCCGCCGTCGAGGGTCAACTTCAACGGCGGACTGTGGCGACTGCGAGTGTACAACTACGGCAGAGCAGAGTCTCTCACATCACCTTGTCTGCTGGTTCAAATTATCGCCAATCCAGCATTGGTTACACATTTGACAGACAGACCGCACGGTCTCTCAGTTCAGGTCATTATAGCAATACTCATTAACATATATCTCGGTATCATGTGGTATCTGTCAGCCCACTTCTTGATTCTCGACTATCCATTTATTCCACAACCATGTCAACAGCCTCCAACTCCTTGCTCAAATATAACTCATTCAAAAAACACGACATCACAATACGCGGTGCCAGTAGCCGCGGATGTAAGAACATTAAGATCAGATGAAACCCCCGTCTGAATCATGCACCTCATGCACTATCGGCTCTTGTGATCGGCTGTAGCCTTGTCTGAGGCCCTTCCGTTTTCCATATCCGACAAGACTGGTCCTCGAGCCTGCCGACAGCACAAATCCAGGTAAGATAGGAGGAAGTTCGTCTTCGTCGACAATCGACGGGCCGGGACTTCCAAGAGAAGGACTGCGCTTGGTCTCGCTTTCTGAAAAATTGTCCTCGACGCTCTGTGACTCGGATCGATCACTGCTTGAAAATGCCTTGTGATGTCCAAATGAAACAGCACCCTGACTTCGCTGTCTTCGAATTGTTTGGGGAGAGACGAGGTGCTCCGCTAGCGGCGGAACAGTCACCATGGTTTGCCCTAGGGGTATCGGAGGTGGTCCAGGGCTAGTAGGCCGGAACAATGGATGTACCAGCTCATGCGGAGAAGGCTCGCGCCGTTGAGGTTTCGGCGGAGACTTGTGGTAGTATAATGAGGGTCTAGGGAGGGAAAAGTTGGGAGGACTTGATGGTGGTGATGAACCCAGCTGTCGAGGGGAGGAGCTCCATTCCACTGCGGTTGGTGAACTTGAGGTTGCTGCCCGTGGTGGTGGGCTCGATGCAGGCGTCTCTGGGAGAAAAGGCCCATCTAAAGCATTCGCTGGCGAATCCGGCCTGCTCCCCGGTATAGTCTCGAGACCCGACCGAGTGAGTGGCGGTGAAGAATCCAGAACTGCTCGCATCTCGCGGTGAACAGAAGACGTGTCCCATTGATCAAATGCGCTGTCGGTTGTTATTGCCTCTCCTACTGGAAGAGGGCTCGCCTCGACTGATGACTGGTTGGAATGTCGGATGATTTTGTTTCTGGACGATCCGGTGCCGATTCTGGTGGAGGAAGAGCCCGGGGGGCTTCTAATCTTTCTCGAGACTGGTGTACTCGGAGTTGAGTTGATTGTAGGAGCTTGAGAACAGAACGATGCACTGATTTGTGGAGCACTTGTCCTTCGGGCCGTCGACATTGACGGTATTCTGATTCCGAAATCCAAGTCAAGCCTGCTGGCTCGCCGGGTCTTCAACACGCTCTTGGTCCATGAGCAGAGCAGACAGAATAAGACAACCTGCATGATAATCGATAACCCCCAGGTCCCCACGCCAACGCTCACCAACGTGATCGGAGCGACACGGAAGATTCTGTGAGGCAGCTCATTCCTTCTCAAGACCAGCCACACCCAAACCACGCCGGAGACGCCCATGCTTGCCATCGCCGCAACCACGCCTCCAGCGAGAACAGCCCATGCTTCCGTTCTTGAGCCCAGGGAATAGTTGTTGAGATCCTTGACGTAAAAAGTTGACAAGTATGCAAGGACGGCGAGGTTCAGGATGTTGATGCCGAATGCGACAAGCAGGAGTATCCGTAAGACAGGCAACACAGCAAGGTCAATGATTCCCAGCGCAATGATGAGGTCTAGAACACTCATAGCCGTGCTGAAGCCACTCGCCAGGGATGCAAACGTCCATACTTTGACACGGCTCTCCATGGGTCCGTGTAACACTTTGACACGTGCTGGCTGAGAGTGGTTGATTTTCTTTTCACCCAGACACAAAGTTTGAATGTACTGGCAAGCTGCGATCAAGGGACGCCGCTCCCGCCAGAGTCCTCATAGAGCTCGCCGGCGCTGAGATAAGTTAAGACTTTATGTTTGGAGCACCACAAGGTAGAAGGCATAGGTAAGGTGAGGGTTTAGGATGAAGCAGAGACAAAAAATGAGAGGAAGGATTTGTTTGAGCTCAGACGCGACGGGCAAAATCTTGACGGCCAGCTGAGTTCAAATGAACCGTGTTTCCACGATCGCTGAGAGCCGCGACGAGGCTTGCGGTCGAGTACGAGGAAAACAGCGGAGAACAAGGCACAAGGAGGGGCAAAGACTGAAACCCGGCCTGGTCAGGCCAATCAAGTAGGAGAAAATATGTCAAAGTTTGTGGAGATGCCGAAATTGTATATGCAGAACACATGCAAGATGGAATAGTCTGATGTAAACAGGCGCATGGAGATTCGGGTTTGTGGGAGGAGTTTGACTTCTTGTAGGGGACAAATAAGACTGGCCCGCCACTGACAGACACAAGACATACCCACCCCGGCATACAGCAACCTTTCGCACGCGGATGGATGATGGGTATGGCGTAAGACCGCCATTGAATCACCTAGCATGGACCAGGGCCATGCGTTGGCGCGTCATGTTCGCGAAACCCTAGGATCAAGGCTCCGTCGATACCGGGGGCATTTATTGGTGGTGGCGGCCGGAGGAGACCTAGATTTCGGAAAGAATCATAGTCCAAGCGAGAGAAAAGTAGTCGATAACGGAAGCGAGAAGCCCAAAAGATGGCATTGCCGGGGTGGTGATGGGGTAGTGTCAATAGATCCAAGGTCGAATGTGGCTGTTTGTTGATGGCGGCGGGCGGCCGTGCAATCTCAATATCAAACCTTAATTGGATGTCGTGCAAATGGGGTCCAAGATTTGCCGACCTTCCCCGAGCTTCAATTTCCATCCGCAAACAAACAGACGCCTTTAGTTAGACAAAAACAACCGAGCCACTTGCAGATCCTTATTCTGCGATGCCGCCGTTGCCAACGGTCCATTGTGGCGGCAGGCAAAGGCAAGACAAGAATCGACTGATTTCCAGACTCACCTTCGAGTGGGTGGGAGCCGCGCTTAGCTTCACCTCTCGACATGCCACCCCATCGCTCGGTGGTACAGGACTAGCAAATGTCAAAGGGAATTTCAGCCCGAAGAAGGCTTTTTTGGCCAGACTAGTTTCTCGCCACTGCATCGCATTTCCACGATAGAACTGTAGACTGGTGAGATTGCCAGACGGCACGCGGAGGAGACGGAGGCCTGGAGGTGCAGATTGGCCCTGAAGCTGAGCCTTGTAGGCGTCTTGGCACGGCAGACCACTGCGACTGGCCAGCCTTGTTCCCCGAATACACCTGCAGTACATAGTACATACTGGACATCTCTATCCCCCCTTCCTAGGTTATCCTGCGCAGGCAATGTGCACATCGTCATGTACTTGGCCGTGCAAGCAATATTTATGTGGTAACTCAAGTAACGTCTTATGGCTTCGATATCTTTTGCCTGTGTCTCATTACAGCTGCCATATGTGTGCAGACCCGCCGTCAGCACCTCTCTGAGGATGCACTGGCCTTGGTGACACTACTTTGGCGCCGAGATGGTATAGATGGTATACGCCGCCGAGTCAGATACTGTACGTCCAAGACCACACCCCGGGTCTGTGATACCTGAAAATGCAACATTCAAGACCTCCGATGTCCATGCCTTCAGCCGAAGTAACCCAACCTTCGCAACGCCAACGCTAATATTAGAACACATCTCGCCGTCTCCGTCCGGTAAAGCGCAGTCTTTCAGCCCGTGCTGGACTACCTGTGTGCAGAAAGTTCTTGTTCTATTTCCCACACATGATTCCTCAATCCTTCAACACCACCTTGGTCAGCAGTAGGCAGGGCTTGGACGGCGCCTTCGATGTCCTTGATAGCCATTTCCAGCCCATTTAACAGCTGTTCCAATTCGGCGCGTTGTTGCTCAATTGTTGTCATCAGCTTAGCGTTGTCGTCCTGTGTTGATTGTAGCTTGCCCTCCAGCTCCTGTGTCGCCTGCTGTAGATATGGGGTGAGGTTCGCTGTGTATAGTTCATATGCGGAAAGTGTGTGCAGTCTGATCCCGGTTAGCTGACACAATCGACGGGCTGGGGCAGCGATTGCACTTACGGTCGATCCGGGACATCGCCCTCCACTGCGCGGTTCTTCCTTCTCCGTGCTTCTTCTATCATGCCATCCCATTGATTTAACCCCTCGACCACACGTCTCTCCTCCAAGATTTTCTCAAAGTCGCGCGTGCATTCCTCCTCCAACCGCGCGTTTAGCTGCCGCCAGACTCCTTCAAGAGCGGTTGGGCAATACTTGGCCGGCGTTGGGAAACATGAGCTGAAGTTGGCGTATGAATTGGCTTTGATGGACGACGACAAAGCCCCCGCAAATACCTTTTGTAGTGCTGCTGCGCGAGGTCCGGGTGTCGCTGCGACTGGGGCTTCTGGGGCCGGGGATGGCGAAGCAGATCCTCGTCCTGCCATGAGTTGTGTTATTTGGGTTGGCGCGTGATTTGATCTGGTCAAGGCCGGCGCATTGAGTAGCATGAATTTGTGTTACAGACTCTGGTCGGGTGATTCATTTCACTGGCGCGACATTGACCATACAGTAAATGCAGGTAGAATGGTGCCAGTGTTTGCTGCGCATGCATCCCACTGGCGTCGCCGACACGCAGCAAGTTGCGCATTGGAAGGGCCAATGTTGTTGGGTAGTATTGTAAACATGCCAAGATGATGCAAACACTTATGCCCCTTTTGGATACCCGGGTGAGCAGATGCACCTTACATAATCCGTCGGTACTTCCGAGAGTCATCACTCGGTATATCCGAACGCAATGTCAGGCGTCAGTTGATGATTGGCCTCCGCCAGGTTCGGGACAGCCCGCGTTCGACTTGGACCTGCTTTGAAATAACGTTGACAGTTGTGATCACCAGCATCAAATTCTCCTCTACTAATCAGAAAGTCTACCCTGCATTTCTCGATGATTCCATCAGGCCAGCCATTGAAATAGAACAGCCAACAAACAGGAAGTGTTCAAGCAATAGTCTTACAAACAAGGTTGACCCGTGGTGTCCGGTACTTTTGAAGCCCCATCATCTGCTGAGTAATTAATCTCTGCTCATGGTCAATGAATGATGCAAATATAAATCAAGCGACTGGAACCAGCATAGTATCACCAGACACTCCATATACCCCCTCTAGTGGTATAGGATACCTACCCTATTGACTGACCAAGAGACGAAACATACTACTATTACTAGCATCACGATTATTGCAAGGTATCAGTACTAGCACCCATCAATGGCAGCCCCACATCTCGACATCCCAGAGTCCACCTCGACCGTGGACGTCTCAATCATCGACACCAGCTTCCTGATCTCAGACGCTCCATCATCTTATTTCTTCGGGCCCGATATCAAAGGGTTCGAAACGTTCACGGCCAACGCCTACTCCTTCTTCATCACCCACACCGACAGGTCAACCGGGAAGACAACAAGACTCCTTTTCGATCTAGGACCCCCTAAGAACTGGGAACAGGACCTCGCGCCCTTCCTAGTCGAAGTTGTCCACGGATGGGGATCCAAAATCGAAATCAAGAAATACGTCTCTGAGATCCTCGAGGAAAATGGCGTGTCGTTGGACACCATTGATGCCGTGGTCTGGAGCCACCCACACTGGGACCACATCGGTCGTCCAAGTCTATTCCCAGAAACGACCGACCTCATCGTCGGCCCTGGGGTCAAAGAGGCCTTTGCCCCTGGCTACCCAGAAAAACCAACGTCGCCGGTCCTGTCGCGCGAATTCGCCGACCGCAAAGTGACCGAACTGGACTTCAGCGACTCGACGCTCGAGATCGGCGGATTCAAAGCCCTCGACTATTTCGGCGATGGAAGTTTGTATTTCTTGTCCGCCCCAGGCCACGCGGTCGGACATATGGTTGCTCTGGCCCGCACCGCCGCCGCCACTGGGAGCAGTCCGTCAACATATATCCTCATGGGCGGCGACTCGTTCCACCACGGCTCGCAGCTCCGTCCGCACAAATACGCTCCTCTTCCTGACGAGATTGAACTTCCAAAACTCCAGCACAACACCAAGTCTGAGTTCAAATCCGACGAGACCGTCACGGTCGCCGCCGAAACGAACAATGGTAGCACCGGCGGTACTAGTAAAGGGCCCAATATCGCCGCCTCCCACCTATGTTTCTGTCCCGGCCATTTATTCGAATCCGTCCATCCGACCCACAGGCATATTCCAGCCCACTACCAAGCCCACATGTCCGCATACCATGCCGACCCGAAGACGACACCGTTTTTCACAATCTCCCAGACCGAGGACGGTCAGACCCTCGCCGTCGACATTGACGAGGCCCGCAAAACAATCAGAAATCTACAACCCTTTGACGGCGCTGACAATGTCCTCGTCATCGCGGCCCATGACATCACCATGGCGGATGTCATTGACACGTATTTCCCCAATGGGCGGGCTAACGATTGGAAACAGAAGGGGTGGAAGGAAAAGGGTCGCTGGCGGTTTTTGAAGGACTTGTTGCCCGCCGTTGAGATTGCGAAACAGGAGGAGCAGGAAAAGGAGCAGCAGCAGCAACAGCAGCAGAAGGCTTGAGTCTGATTTTCCGGAGAGTTGGTATCCCGGTTATAGACGCCAATTGGCCGATTCTGCTCGAACACTAATACTCACTTCATCCTTTTTTGGAGTCTTGTCGTGGTGGTGTAGCGGTAAGGACAGTGGCTGCAGCCACTGTGACAGTTGGACGTTGACCTGGACAGTCAGAGTCAGCGCGCTGGGTCGTGCGTTAGTACCTAGTCAATATGGCAAATCTAGATGAACTGCCAAGGATGTGTTCTTTCAACATCATTGATATATACTACGCTACTGTGGAACTGTGTGCCGTGTTGGAATTTTCCCTTGTTTTACTATGTGGACTCTAAAAGAATGATGCCTATCCATGTTTTTTTATACAAATGCAAAATGATGGGATCGTCACCGACCATTCTTGCATAGTATAATAGTATACACATTTGTTCATGTATGTATACTTGCAAACTATTTTACGTACCTCGATAGTTATCTATTAGTATGCTGTTTTTCATATGCCTGAGTCTGATTTCCGCCTGTATTTAGAGACTGGTCCGGTCGGATTCGAGGCAGAAAGGAGTCTGCCTTTGCGCGGGAAAAGCAAGGTATTTATTTCGGCCAGTTACATTATATTTGACAAAAGCGGGCATGCGTAGGACATTAGGCAAATTCGACCACATTGCACAAATGATATTCGTAAACTCTAGTATATGTAAAAACATTGGCACGATCGTCATCACAACAACTACCTAAACTATCCACCTTTCTCCCTTTCCAATCTCAATTCCTCTTGCTTATCTAACTTAACCCTGTTTCTCTGCAGTGACATACTGATTCATGTGGCCTTTCTCCATAGTCAGATCTTCCTCACCAGTGGACACTTCCACAATCGCCACTCCCAGCTTGGCTGCCTCGTCAGGACTGAATGTGCCATAGTAATCGACGTCATCGTACTCGCCGATTCCAGGAGGCGGGAAGACGCGGTTCAAGACATAATAGACGGTGAAGCTGATGGCGAGACCCAGCGGGAATGCGAGATAGTACATCTCCATGCTGGCCTCGGGAACGGTAACGGTGGTATTGACGTTGGCAACGAATCCCGGCAACTGCGGTGCCCAGCCACACACCCAGGCGACAAAGGCGCGCGGGTTGAACCCCTTGAAGTAATAGTAGAGGCCGGACTTGGACGGGCTGTACAGATCGGTGAGCTTGACCAGTCGTCGCCGGACGAAGAAGTAGTCGCAGATCTGAATGCCGCACATGGGGCCCAAGAAGACCGAGTATGCCGACATGACGCTGATAAACGTCCCGGCCGAGGCAAGCAGTTCCCACGGACACATGGCGATGGAAAGGATGAGGGCAAAGTAGGCTCCACGGCGAATGTTGAAGTACTTGGGGACGAAGCCTGACATGTCCATGCCAGCTGAGAAAGCGTTGTCAATTGTGTTGATGGCCAGTTGGCAGATCACAAGTCCAACTCCGCCGAAAAAGGCACCGGCTCGGGACTTGGCGTTATAGTCGTTGTCCAGCCATCGCAGTAAAAGGTCCGGCGGGTTCCAGTAGGCCTCGCCGTACAGTTTCATGGATGCGGAACCCGTCAAACACCCGAACAGCGGCAATATCGTGCCCAGTGTGATGATCGAGAACCATTGCCCAAAGATCTGATCTCCGGGTCGTCGAGCGAACCGTGAATAATCCGCCTGATTCGTAAGGCCCACAGCGATACCACCAATGACAGTAGTAATACCTTGTACAATAGCCCAGCCTAGTGCGCTTCCAGATTTGGCGGTAGCAGGAGCAGACAGCAACGGCCCAGCACCATGTGCCGCGGAAAGAACGTAGATCATGATCGAGACGAGTGTGGCGAAGGAAATGCCATTCATGACGTAGAGTAGCCGTCGGGTTTTTTCAGGCGGTATGTAGAGGATGGGGATCGTGATGATGTTGTATACAACCCACCCAACAAAGTTCTTCGTTGTCGTGTTGGCGGAAGCAGGGAGTGTGTTTTCCATGTGGTGGTACGAAGAAAATATCGAGCTCAAAACCGCCGAGACACAGAGTCCTCCTGTCCACGATTGAACCGCAAACCAGGTCAGGGACAGAACGATACGTTGAACGATGATGATGTATGCCCCGTAAACACCCCAGATACTGCGCGAAAGCACTGGAAACCCGATATGCCATTTCGCTCCGATGGCTCCGTTGCAGAGGGCCACTCCTGCTATTATGCATTTTCCAATTATGACAGCAATCATGGTCTGCCAGACCGACAGCCCAACTGCGATCAGAGAGGCACCAAGCTGCCAGTTACTCAGGGCGATTTGGTTGATGGCCCAGAAGGAGATGTATGCCATCGTGTCCCAGAGGCGACGAGAAGGGGGCAACGGGCGGATATCATCATTGATCCACACAGAGGATTCTCCAGGCAGTCGGATTTGGAACGAGCGCGGGTTGAACTCGCGAAGTCGCCTTGTGAACGACATCTTGCGGCAAAAGGGAGGGTTGTGAATCAGAATAATTGCTCAAGCATAGACTATTTCTGCTCAAAGAGAGAGAGAAAGAGGCAGCCGTTCTTCGAAACAGCTGAAGAGAAGAATTCGAGCGCCTGCCTCCAGCGACGCGGACGAGCGCTTCTGTAAATGTAGGAAGATGTGCAAGATAACAAGGTACCTCTATCTTCTCGAGTTGTAAGGTGTACGAAGATACCAGTCACCAGATGATCCACTGTGCGGTGGCGTGGAGAAGGGCTGGAAGGATATCTGTGAGGGACTGCTGACTTGGAGCGCCCGAAGCGGTACAAGGCCAGATGCATAGAACGACAATGATAGGCTGGCCAGGCAGGAGGAGGTTGCTTCGGTGAGAAGACAGCCTTCTAGCCCCTTACCACTGTCGAACCCGGTCGCGTGGTACGTCTGGAGTTCAGCAGCGGGTGGAGTTAACGATGGGTGCCTATCCAAGAGCCCCGGGGTCCAATTAAATGTTCAAGACCGAACAGACCCGCTCTTCCAGTCCCGGAAAACCTATCTCATATCAATCTGGCCAATCATAATAACCGGTTTGACCGTCAAAGCCTATCTTGACCTATCTGTGGGGACGGTAAGCGGAAAATATTATGTAAACTTACCCGAGGCACAGGCTTTATTTCAGGTTCGAATCCGTAAGAGAAACATGCGGCTGCCCAAAATTGGATAGTGCACACGATCCGAGTGTGGTGCAAAGCCGGTATCTCGTGGTTCTGATTGCCATGCTCGACGCTCTATGGCTCCGTTCTCGATTACCCCGAAATTGTGGGTTCCAAACACCTAGCGCCGGTCAATATGCATTCACGTTACACATCCTATCGGGCAACTCGGCCAGGTTCTTCATCTGGACAGAGGCGAGTATAAAATAATACAATCGAATTTCTTAGCCTTGGACGGACATAGGATATTCCCAGGTATCGGTGCAGTTTTCAGTCGACATCATGGGTTCAATCCGGACAAGGTCTCTCAGAATCGGCGTCGACGTTGGCGGCACTAACACTGACGCAGTCATCCTCGACTTGGATGCCGTCGACCAAGAGAATCGGGGAGTGCTCGCTTTCCATAAAACGCCGACGACAGGGCCGAATGTGACGGATGGCATCGAGACAGCGGTCGGTAACGTGCTGGCTCAACTTGGAAAAGAACGCGCATCAGAGATCGCCTGTCTGATCATTGGCACGACTCATTTCTTGAATGCTGTCATTGAACGAGACACGCGGCGGCTTTCCAAGGTTGCAGTTATCAGATTGTCGAAGAGTTTCACAAAGGATATCCCACCTTTTTCGGACTTCCCGCCCGACCTCGCTCAGCTCCTGAAAGGCTACTGTGGATTTGCTGATGGAGGCCTCCATATTGATGGCTCTCAAGAGGCACCGATCGTCGAGGAGCAGATCATCAGAGAATGCGACAAGATCAAAGAACTTGGCATCGATGCGGTGGTGATTTCGGGCATCTTCTCTCCGATTGACAAACATTTCGAGCAAGAACACCATGTTCGGAAAATCATGCAAGAACGTTTGCCAGGTGTGGACATTGTCTGCTCATGCGAGGTTTCGAACATCGGTCTGCTGGAAAGGGAGAACGCCTCAATCTTGAACGCTTCCATTCTCAAGTTTGCTAGGCGCACCATTCGGGGCTTCCGAGCAGCCATGAGACGTCTGGGACTGGATTGTTCGTTATTCATTTCTCAGAATGACGGCACAGTGATCGATTCTGTCTCTGCCGCAGGTCTACCCATCAAAACCTTCTCGTCGGGGCCCACAAATTCCATGAGAGGTGCTGCATACCTTGGTCTTGCTCAATCGGGACGAAAGAACGAGGAACGAGTATCCACAATCGTTGCCGATGTTGGGGGGACGACGACTGATTGCGGCGTCCTCCTCCCATCAGGCTTTCCGCGAGCAGCAAGTGCCTATGTCACTGTTGCCGGTGTCACAATGAACTTCCCTATGCCTCATCTCGAGTCCATCGGTCTCGGTGGTGGCTCCATCGTCCGTGAGCACGGTTCCGACGTGATAGTCGGCCCGGACTCGGTTGGATATCAACTCACTACCAAAGCAAAGGTCTTCGGAGGCGATGTCCTAACAGCCACGGATATCGCGGTGGCGAACGGGGAAGAGATTGGAGACCCCAGCAAAGTCTCAGACCTAAGTCCTGAACTGATCAGTCGGACACAAGCTCGAATCAAGAAGATGCTTGAGAACGTGATCGATAGATTAAAGCTGACGCCGGCACCACTTCCAGTCCTTCTGGTCGGTGGAGGATCCATTGTATGCCCGTCAGAGCTGGATGGCGTTACTGAAGTCATTGTGCCGAAGTTCCATTCGGTGGCCAACGCCGTGGGAGCCGCCATCTCTCGTGTTTGCGGAACTGTCGACACCATCTATGTGACTGACGATATGACGGTTACCGAGGCCTTGGAACATGCTAAATCCCAAGCTATTGCGAATGCAGTTGCTGCGGGAGCAAACCCTGACACTGTCTCCGTGGTGGACATGGAGACCTTACCAATCCCTTATGTGTCCGGCCAGATCCGGATCATCGTGAAGGCCGTTGGAGACCTCTCCACCGGCTACATTTCTGACAGCAAGAGCCTTGGGGACGAAGATGACAACAACGACGACTCCTTCACCGAGAACGTGTCCAAGCCGGCCGCGGTGTCGAATACGGAGAAACAAACGCGCTTCGACTTTGACGCCTATCGACCAAAGATCACACGCAACGCCAAGACGGGCATTGATGAGTGGTTCCTTTCAGAGAAAGACCTCGAATGGATCAGGGACGGATGTTATATCCTGGGATGTGCGGGAGGTGGATCGCCCAAAGCCGAGTTTCTTAAGCTCCGCGACCAAATTCGAGCAGGCCATACTGTTCGGATCATTGACAGCTCATCGCTTCCTGATGACTCATTGATATACTGTGAGTTCGAGAGGATGCACCCTATTGTGTGACTGCGGAGCTGACGATTGATAGGGAGCGGCATGATGGGTTCGCCCGCCGTGTCGATTGAACGATTGAACTCGGCAGAGTGCTCCCATGCTGTGGCAGACTTGATGGAATATTTTGGCCATAAGTCTTTCGACGCCCTTATGGGGTTGGAAATTGGCGGTGCCAATGGTCTTGAACCTATGCTGATAGGATCGTCTCATGCTTTTGACCGGCCCATTATTGATGGCGACTGGATGGGTCGAGCATATCCGACGTACTGGCAAACCACCTTGGCAGTCTATGAACCTGGGCAGTTGACTCCATGCGCCATCGCCTCAGGTGATGGAAAGACGATCATCATGACCAAATCCCCAGACGACGAGATAGTCGACCGTGCGTTGCGTGCAGCCTGCTCTGAAATGGGCTCCCGTGTCGGCATGGCAGCTAGACCAACAACAGCAAAACGGGTAAGGGATTACGGGGTGCTGAATACCGTGTCTTTGGCCTGGCGGATCGGCAGAACGGTGGCACGCGCACAGCAAGAGAACACTGTCCATACCGTGGCAGAACAAATCATCGATGCCGTGGGTGGTCCCACAACCGCCAAGGTTCTTTTCAGAGGCAAGATTGTAGAGGTCGAACGCAGGCTCTTCAAGGGACATTCATATGGAGAAATCACCATCAAACAGATTCAAGAGGATGAAGAGGAAGGCGGCCATGACAGCCCGGCAGTCGCTGAAGGAGGAGTGTTGAAGATCCCGTTCAAGAATGAAAACATCTACGCAAAGCATATCAGTGACGACGGCAAGGAGACCTACATTGCGACTGTCCCTGATCTCATTTCGGTGCTTGATACTCAGTCTGGTCTTGCACTAGGCGTGCCAGAGTATCGCTATGGGCTGATGGTGACCGTGCTTGGTTTGGCGTGCTCTCCACGGTGGACAGACACCCCGAGAGGGCTGGAGTATGGTGGACCGAAGGCTTTTGGCTATAAGCTTGAACACACGCCCGTGGGAGTATATGTGAAGCCAAGGAGTGTGATAGAGCAGTACGGGAGTGCTTAGCTAAGGCAGCAAGTATAGTACTAATGACTTGGACTGAAAATTTGAGATAATGAACTTGAAGCACAACTTCAACATGCAAAATGCGATATACTAACTATCATTGTCGACACAGTACTCCACCGTAGAGATAACTGCGTGATTGGTAATCGATTACTCAGCGCCTCGGCCCAGACCCGCCTCCACATTCAAGTTGTGGGCTCGTACCTTATCTTTGCCATTTTCCTCCCCCGCAGAACCCTTCCACTGCACTACTGTACGATCTTTCGTTCCAAGTCGGCCATATGGCCTGTGAGATCTCAACTGGGGTCGGAGGCTGGGGATATAAGCCTGCGTGTTTGCTGCCGCCGGTGTGATGATGTGGCATTCACACGCTTCATCAGCACTTGGACAACTACTTGAACCGCCGCTAACCGCCCCTGCCATAACCTCGGATCGTGAACCGGTATACTACGCGCCACGAAGGAAGCAAGCGTATGTACTAAACCATTGTTGCGGCCTCAGAGATTGTGGCTGTATCACTTGCTTTGGTTCGCTTCTCTAATGGTTGCAGGTGCACTCGATGCCATGCTAAGAGAATAAAATGCTTGGGTGGTAGGGACACAGACTTACAGGGTCGATAGTGCCAGCAACTGAGCACTAATCGTTGTGCTACAGGTGTACCATGCCGCAACTGTGCTCTTGCCTCTTCACCATGTGTATTCCCACTGTCCAGAAGGCACAGGGCTTCAACGAATCAGCAGCAGTATCCAATCACTACACCAAGCTCTTTTCCGGAAACCCCGTCGTTGTCGTCTCTCCCCAGCGAGACCGCGGCAACCGTTGTGAGCCCACAATTGAGTGGTAGCTATCGTCGCCCAGAGAAAGACTTCAGCTCGGCACGTTCGAACAACAGCCAGGATGGTCAACGGCGGCGACCGACCTACCGCGCCAGCCCTTCCTGTCAAACCTTTGTCGAGCAATTCGTTGCCTGGATTGCAATGCAAAGATCAGAACTAATAGCCCAAGATGGAAATTCTTTTGATCCGTCTTGGACGGCATGGGGCCACCCGTCTTTCGACCTTACAGACACTGCTCTGGAGATCTCAATCGATACCGTCGTCTCGCGCCCACCGGTCAGTGCCAGAGCTCCGAAACCAGTGAAAATCCGTCTCCCGCCATATAATCACAGTCTCCACCTAATCCAGGTTCTCGAATCTGCTATCGGACATCAACAACACTACTTTCGGCGGAGGGACATTCGTGCCAAAGTGGCACAAATGCACCAGTCGCCCGACTCGCCGCAGAGCAGGGACCAAGGATGGCTATGTCATTGGCTTGCCCTCGTAGCCCTGGGAGAGCTTTACAGCAGCGACAAAGAGACTCACGTTGATCCTCAAGATCCGTTGGGGCCTGCGGTGTCAGCCTCACTGGTCACTCCTGACCCACCAGGAGCAGAATATTACTATCAGTCGGTAAGCCTTCTTCAGCAAGTCGCGGAAAATCCGGATGTGCAGTACATCGAGACCTTGTGCCTTCTGGCACTTTATGCCTTTTCTATGAACCGGGTCAATACGGCCTACATGTACGTTGGAGTTAGTATGCGGGCAGCATTGTCACTGGACTTGCATAGAAGTCCCTTTGACTTCCCGTCGGAGAGATCGAGTCTATCCCCTGTTGAATTGGAGCACCAGAAGAGGCTGTATTGGACAGTCTACTACCAGGATCTGTGGGTACTTCCAGCATTAGGCTATGATTATGTTTGCAAGCTGACTTCAATGTGCTTAGCTTGACTACAAGCACATCCGGTCGGCCCTGGGGCGTTCTTGACGATGAAATTACGGTCGACTACGCGGACTCCAGTCGCCTCTCTGGGGAAGCATTGTCAGAGTTCTTTGACGCAGAGGAATCGAATATCCACCTCGAACTCATGCGCCTGCGAAGCCAGGCCTATTCGTCATTATACGGCTACGCCGGAACCGCCATCAACCCTTACTCACACATTTCTCTCTTTGATTTCGAACTTAGCCGTCCACTTTCGCAGCAACACTTGGACAAGATATGCGAGTTTCATCAAGCGCTCCTTTGTTTTGAGAACGAGCTCCCTGTAAGCATGAAAATGGTCCAAGCATGGGATGGCTCGCGGGCAAATATCAACCGTGTGAATGCACATTTGTATTTGATCTACCATCAGGTTTGAAATGTCCACTCCCAATGGTTTAAGCTCCTGTCTGACGCCTGAAAAGTCTATTCTTGTCCTCCTTCGACCCGCTCTGGTCAATGCCTATAACGACTGGTTTCATGCGCATACCAAGAACAGAAAGCCGTCCACAACCGACGTCGATCCACAAATTAATACTTCACAAAGCAGGCTTCACGGCTTATATACATCATCTGTTTACTCTGCGAGGGAAGTTGCCACGATACTCCAATGGTTGCGCAATCAGGGCGCGTTCTGTATGTTCTTCCAAACCCCAAGCTAGCTGGGTCTAACCTTGTTCCAGCGACCTATGCATACTTTACCGCCAGCTTTGCGTTTACTGCAGCCATAACGCTCTACATAGCCAGGGCCTTATCGTTGTCACCCTACCACGAAATGTCATCCAAAAACAACTTCGCCTTCACCGCGAAGGATCATTCGGCGCTGGATACGACGCTGCAGCTACTCGGCCATCAAATTGCAGCTGGAAATGCGCCAGCGATTTCATTCGGCAAATTACTCCGCTTGCTTGATAGCAATTTACAAGCTCTCCAGGCCGCAATGCAGAACCCAATGACACTACCTGTCGATATTGATTTCTCTACACCCAATTTGTCGTTTGCCGTAAGTCAGCCATTCTTTTGGTGACCTTTTGGCCATCACTAACATAATTGAAGGACCTCCAAAGTGGCCCCTCTCCAGAGATGTGGAGGATGGATCCATAATCGTGAGCATAGGGACTGGCGAATTCCTCAGCTACAACAACAGAGCCATTCAGGCTCGACCGCAATACCCTCAGGACTGCGCTACCCAGAGTAACAGCCCGCCAGCCCAAGTTTCACTGTGAACTGATTGCAGAACTGCCGCACATCCTAGCAACCCACAATGCGGTTACAGGCAATACTGTATACAAGGCAGCGGCAGCCTTCACATGAAACACAGATGATGCAGACTACTGTACATATGGCATTGAGCAACACGGAGAGGGTTAGGTGGGCTGTTCCTGAGCCGGAGATGGCGTGGTGCGCGATCTCACGCCCATTTATATCGATCTCGGACACACTTCAAAACAGTCCCGTATCGGTATTAGCAACACCGCTGTTGGCGCCAAAGAAACACGTCAAATACCATTTCGCAGGCAGAGGCATGCAAACTCAGACTCTGCCTGGAAACGATCAAATCGCACATTATGATAATAACCTCAATCAATTCGCCGCCATAGGCAGTCCGCATCAAACCGCCAGCAAAGGCTCTTCTCACTCGGCTCTTCGATATGGGAATATATTTTCCTGTCATCTTGCAGGCAGAAAACCACGATACCGTCCTACTATCATATCCTGCGTCGTTGGTCATGCCGACATGGCCCACGTTGACAGGATAGCCCGTCGAGTCCAAAAACCCAAGGGCCTCGTTTCCAAAATATACTCCCGAAGACTAGATACTCAAGTCACACACCAAAAAGGGAAACACCCAAATTTCCTCCTCTTGGTCAGGTTGACTCTCATATACGGTAATATTTTTTTTTGTTTCGCCCAGACACAACCTTGGGCAGACTCGACTCATACAGTATGGTCCAGTATACTAGTATCACATTATCACAACTTAGCCTTCAACTTGTGACCCTGTCCCTGTTGCTGCAGCTGCTTGACATATTCATTCACAGCATCCACACCAGCCTGCGCAACCTCCGTATCCTGCGCCGGTGTGCCCGTACTACATCCGATAGCACCCACAACCTCGCCGTCAACAACGATCGGAATCCCACCCGCGACATACATAAACCTGCCGTTATTGCTATTGTTCAATCCGAATGCGGGACCGCCAGGCCACACGTTCTCCTTGTAAACTGAGGTCGGGGCCTTGTGGCCCGCGGCAGTAAAGGCCTTGTTGATGGCGATGTCGACGGATGTCAGTTTCGCGCCGGGCATGCGCTCAAAGTGGAGGAGATACAAGGAGGCGTCCACGATCGCTATGTTCATGGGGATCCCGATTTCTTGGGATTTTTTGAGACATGCGGATGAGGCGAGTTTGGCGGCGTGGTGGGTGAGGTGGGCGGGACGGTGGATCGCTGCCATTTTTTCGTGAAATCTAGAGAGGGTTGGTTGGTGTTGGGTTCGTTGGATGCTGGTATGTCGTGTCGTATCGTACGTGCTTTCGTTCGTGGGCGAGTTGTAGTATAGTATACTCCGAGCACAATAGCCGGCTCGGAACGAAAGAAAGTGAGGCTGGGAGAGAATCGACGTGTTACGCGTTGTAGGCTCTCGGAGGCCTCAACAAAAGTAACAACAACACCACGGGCTGCTTAGGTATGGAGCGAAATCACCAGTGTGAAAAAAAATAGCAGCGGCGTTCGGTGTCTCTCTCTCTATCGACACTGGCACTCGGGACTCAGACACTTGCAGGATGAGGGAGTAATATATCGATTGCAGTGATCGGCGGTTCAAAGATGGGGTAAATAATGAGCCGTGTAGAAGTGGAGTTGGCCCTCAGTTGGCGGAAATGTTGTGTTTCTATTTCTATCTTAGTTGTACACTGGCAGAAGGGCTTACTGACAATGTCCAGTCTCTCGCACAGCAATCACATTCATCAATACCGTGTACAATTTACAGCTTGAACGAACACCAGGAGAATATTTCGCGGGGAAACGGAAAGACACCGGCAACGTCAGCGACGGATTGCTCGCCGATGGACGAGCCAATGATACGATGAGACCGACGGATGCCGAGGTCCAAGACGTGACGACGAGTCTGCTTATGTAATCCGGCCACTGGGCGCTCAGCACAGCGACTTTATTTTATTGTACAATGGTACTACTGAACCACTGCCAGTGCAGTTCGAGGTGCTCAGAAGACAGAAAACCAGCCTGACCTCTATTGCTTTTGCCAGTGTTACTGGTACACCGGCGAGGCTGGGTCTTTTTGGACGGGTGTGACGGGGCGTATCATGGACAAAAACCTGAACCCAAGGAGGGGCACCACCAGATCTGTCTGGGTCAATGTCGACTTCAATTCAGTCGGCCCTAATACTGGAAGTGCTGACGAAGGTTCAACTCTATATTTCCTTTCGCATTGAACAAAAGGCACAGTATTATTAATTACGAATTACATTCCTAGCACTTAAGGTAGGCGGCTTGTAATGTACATATAAACTTACTCCGCTACGCTCCGCAGGACAATTACAGTCCCATTCCCGTATTCTCCCCTTTTGTTTTCCTACTTCGCCTGCTGCTCCCTAGCACGCACCATATCCACAAACTCCCAACACTCCTTTGGAAACGCAAAAATCATTTCCTCGGCCCACCCGTTGCGACGATACTCCTCCAGCGGCCAAATACAAGCATAAGCGTCCTCGTAGTCACCCTTGTCGACCAAGGCATCAATATACTCCATGATCTCGCTGCGAGCGCGACACTCGGCGGCAATTTCCTGATCGAAAAGACTTTGCCTGGCGGACTCGGTAGTTGCGCCGCCGCATTCTGATCCCTTCGACTCCTCGTTTTTGCTATCGTTGGCAGTCTGTCTGGCAAACAGTCGCATGATCGAATATGGCTTTTTAGTTGTTGTTGTTGCTGCTGGTAATCCCGAGTCCCCCTCCCGTTCCTCCCGCAGAAGCGATCGCCACGAATCCACAGCCTTGGAGAACTGATCCGTCACAACAGAGTGATGTTCATCGACGGGTTTGTGTATAATTTCGTGGTCATCTTCGTCGTCAGAATCATCAAAATCATCCTCGTCGACTTCTGATGATCGCGGCTCAAGAGAACCAGCAGCAGTATTGTTGGGCACTGGCACTGGCACATCCGGTCTTAAAGATGTAGTCGAGGTTGTGGGTCGACTTCTTCCCATGCCTAGATTGTGGTGGTCATGAAGGCCGCGCGGGTCGTGGCTCTCTTCGTCCACGTCGGCTGGGGTCAGTGGCCGTGGCCAGAATCCGCAGTGTAGATACTCTGGAGCTGGGACGTTGCCGTTGATCGGGTTGGATATTGACGGTGGTTGCGGTCGTGGTTGGCTATGTTTGTCGCCGCAGTGGTGTTGGTTGCAATTCACGTGGAGCATCCTGCCGATCAGGTTGCTGTCCAGCGTGGTGTCTGCCATTTTGAGATTGATTATTGTGTTCTGAAAAGTATGTGTGATATTGATGTTGTGTTCAATGAGTACTGTTACAATAAATGGCGGTGAATGTGCGTTTGATGTAGCAAATGCGATGCTTTGAACATGACCTTGTCGGCATTCTCCGCAAAGCAAAGCAGATCAAGACCTCGGTGTGGCCAATCAAGCCGTGGGGCGCATGCGAGCACCGTCAAATTGAACGAGGCAAGGTAGAGCAAAAGCAAGGAACCCACCGGCATCATCCATTTCTTACAGTGGTGGCAGCTCGCTCCATCATGGCACTTCCAGAGACCGGACGGATCCCGGCGCCAGATCCAGAATGTGGTCACATGGTCTGCAGAAAGGAAAGCAAGAATACGACTAGTTGTCGCGAGTAGCGGCCTTCTTGAATCCGATTTTCAAGTGTGATGTTCCGTTGCTTGATCCGGTCGACCATCGTATGATACCAAGACCTGGGAAAGGTTCCGCGACGTTCCTTGCAGGCCAATCGGAACCTGCCCAAGTCTGTAACACTCCGAGGGGACCCGCTGCCCGAGCCTTTTCTCCAACGCTGAATCCAGGCACGCGAGATTTTCGGTCTCTCATATCGTATTATTGACAAACACGAGCGTGAGGCTTCACGGCTGAGCCATTTTCATGCCCCATGCTGTGAACAGACGACAGATACAGCTGACTTTGATCGTACCGAGGCAATCTGCCCTTTCACAAGCCACTGGCAGTCAAGGTTTGAATGATATAACAGTTTGCCTCACCTCAGTTTTCAATGTTTGTGTTTCCCCGTTTAGAAAAAGCAAAACCAAAAACCAAAAGCAATCCACATTACCTATTGTTTAAAACCCAAGCAATCAAAATGACGGTGCTAAGAGAAGCACTAAGTCTATCCATCCTCTACTTCCTGCTCGTCTTCATGACGGGCTTCCTATTCGGCTCGATCAGAGTGCCCTTCCTCGAACCCGCCATGGGTGCTCGGCTTGTCGAGATCCTCGAGGCCCCGATCATGCTGCTTGTCATCTGGCAGGCTGCGCAACTGACTGTGTGGCAGCTGGAAGTGGCTGCATCAACCTTTTTCACTCCACTGCTCATCGGCGCCTTTTCTCTCTTGTGGTTGGGCGCCGTTGAGTCGTCCGACTGGGCAATTTTCGAGAGTGGATGGTGGAACGGGTTCCGGGTCCATATCGTCCACAAGGATCCCTTACTGGGGCTCATGTACGTCGCGGTCGCGCTGACGTACTTGGCCATGCCGTGGTATGTGTGGGCGCGCCAGAAGTCGGAAATCGATGAGGCGCTGTTGGAGATCAGTGCCGAGTCTAAAGGGTATGGAGATGGTGATGAATATTGTAGTAGGTGAGAAAAACCAAGTTTGGGTTTGGGTCCTTTGGAGTTGGGAATGTAACAACACAATAATGACTCTGTGGGCATGAAACAATGGGAATTCTTCAGGGATAGCAATGGCCGGCCATGGTGCCTTGAAAGAGATAGTAATGCATAATGATGCGACGAAATGGAAGTGAAATCATATCGTAGCAGATGAGAAGTCATGTCAGGGAAAGCGAGGTTGCCTGGGCTTGTGGTCCTACCGTATTGGGAGAGACTTGGTTCTACTTTTGGAGCTTTAGATTGGAACTGTTGTGGTCACCGACTCGTCGCCCCAAGGCAATACCAAAGTGGTCGCTCACAGAAGCGTCTCGACTCTGCAATGCCACAGTCTTGACAGAACAAAAGGATCTGGTGCTTGAAGCAAGGACTTGGAGTTGGAGAAGCTTCATGAATCAAAATATACATGATGTCTGGAGGCGGATCTGCCTGAATGTGATGGCATTAACATGGAAAAGACGTTCAACCCTCTGATCTCATACAATCTGCATATCACTGCAACCTGCCCGTGCCTTAACGTGGCTGATGGAGAGAATGACCTCGTTGATAAAGCAGCTCGACCACCCTTGCACTCTCCTTGTCCAGCGGTTCGGCTACCTTCCTCGGCACTGCCCCCTGAGTGTTATAGTTCGGACCGACTTCGAAGCATTCGCCCGAGGTGTCGGTGGCACCAAGCAATTTCTCGAAAGTCTCGACGACTCCGTGCATTGGCGTCAACACTCCCTCCTTTTCCAGAGTGTCGTAGAATGCGCCGGACGAAATGTTGGTTCTGACCACGTTGGGACATACGGCGTTGCAGGTGATCTGGTACGATAACAAACACACAGGGCACCTCTGGTCAGTATCACGCCCACACATCCTGTTCTTGATGGACTTGACAATGAGGACGATGTGCTCTATCGCACAAATGGGGATCGATGGGGCAAACAATGGGTTGTAGTATGCCGTAACTTCAATGGCATACAGACATATCACTCACCTTCTCTTCTGGCAAATATCGGCCATAGCTCTGGACTAGACCTTTGACTGCATGTTTCGCAGCCGTGTAGATCGGCAATGTTGGCACACAGTAGAAGCCGCAGACACTAGCGACACAACCGACTAAGTCGCGTCAAGGAGACAGCACATGTTAGCCCTGAACCATACACCGTGGAAGCACTGACGGCCTTTATTTTCTTGGATGGCTGTTTCATTTTTCCGTGGTCAATTTTTTGGCCGCGGTCAGTTTGGCTTCTCCGAATCCGGCTGTAACAGCAGCTGTCGGAGGGTAAGAGAATTGCAAGATTGCACCTACTTTTGCCTCTGAACCCATGCTTCCCGGGCACCTGTTTTCTGAACTGCTGGACAGCCAGGGCTATGGTGTACAGGACTCCAATCAAGTCCACATTCAAAACCGTCAGGTCAGGGGCCTCGAAACCTGAAAGCGAAGGATCGTTGGGGATCCACGGCCGCTCGCCAATGCCGGCAACCGGGTAGACATAGTCGATGCGGCCGAAGTCCGCCACGGCCTGGCTGAACGCTTTGGCTTGCGAATTCCAGCTGGCCGCATCAACATGGGCGCATCGTGCAACTTGGGATTCCTTGTTCAGCTCGTCAACGAGCTTCTGGGCACCGTCGATGTCTCGGTCGGTGATGAAGACTTTGATGCTGGTACGTTGTTAGGCGCTATTTTATTCAACGGGCCCAGTGGGAAAAATGGTCATGCTTGACGGTCTGCCATACTTGTTCTTCACCAGCATCCTTGCCACTTCTCGGCCGATGCCCGATGCACCGCCCGTGATATATGCGTATTCTTCGGCCATGTTGGGAGGAGGTGTTGGTGCTTAGTATTTTCCACGAAGACGAGGCTTGATCCAATGTGCAGAAAGGGGTGTTACCGTAGCTAATTTATGGACTTACTCTCGGCTCGGAGTCTTTGACCCAGCTGACCGTTATAGACCATGAAAGGGTTCCGACCTCGGACGTTTCTCTCCTCCCGGAGAAGCATTTCCGGGTTCAAGTTGTGAGGGGTTAAACATCTTTCCCTCTTCAGCCTCAAAGCCACCACGGTTTGATTGTTGTTAGGAACGGTTGTCCAATAGGGGATTAAGAGATATGTTAGTAGTAACAGCCCGAGGCCTCGGCCACCTAGGGGAGAGCTACAGGGCAGGCCCGGCTTCAGAAGCCGGGTAACCATACAACGTTGTAGTACGTAGATCCCCCTCGGACAAAACTGGGCAGATATCTCCACAAGTATCTCCACAAGTATCTCCACAAGGTCTGATGCAAGTCCCTCGTCAAGGTCTTTGTAGCTGATCACTCCCCAGAAACGACCCCGTGGGGGATCAGGGGAACAGCCTCGGTTGACGAAAGACCCTAGAACGTAGGGACATTGGGTGGTTGTCAAACAAGTACTGTGCAACATTGTAGTCAGGGGTGAGGTACTGAGAGATGTACTGTAACGACACTTTGTATGGCAGTCAACTCAGGGATCAGCCTTTGTATAACGTCTGAGCAGATGCTGGAAGAACACCTAACAGCAGTTTGTGCGACTACAAGGTATTGTTGTGCACAACTTGAGTAGAATTGCGCTTCTGGTAGTTTTACTGCTACATAATTGCACTGAATCAGCCGTATGCTGCTCCCGATCTAATACAGCCTCTGATTACCTAAGCGGCCACCCATTTTCCTCGACCACTGCCAATGCATTAGGAATAAACATTTCGGATTCAAGTTTATTAGCCATAGCCAAATCACGACCAATTCGAAAGGCACGATGAAGAGGACGATCGATAAAGCTGGATGAAGCATGCTAACAAGCTCGCACGTTCTTGCACAGACAAGCCAGACCCTACCCAGGTACTTCAGAAAGAAAATCACTATCTACCAATATCTCAGATCAAAGTTGAGTTGAAGCCAACTGAGATGAACAAGGTTTCCACAGTACTTCTTATGCAAGGCTATGCGAGTATAGCCCTATCACCTATACCGATATATACTCCAAGGAGGTTAACCCGAAAAAGCACCTCCATCACCAGCACCCAATCTTCTCCCTCCAGTGTGCGCCAGAAGAGTGGTGCTGTGATACCACTCACTCTCCCACGTACGGTACCAACCATGTCCACCTCCAGCAGCTCTAACGGCATATACTCATCACCACCACAAGCACCACCAGGCTCTTCTTCCTCGTCTTTACCATCTTCAACTTCTCCGCCGTCCAATCTCAACTTCAATCTCAATCTCACTCTCCGATGCCACCATCACCACCATCATCAATATTCTCGTCCAAACTCTCACCCACCCTATCCACCATGCTATCCACCACCGGCAATGGCATCCCAATCGACATCGACACACTCAGCCGCACACCCATTTCCCGCCTCACCAAAACCGCACTGCCCAACATCGGACTGATCGAACTCGTATCCACGACCGATTTTGCACAGTTCTACGACCCACTATACACAGCCATGTTCCCGCGGCGCGCCGAGCGCGAACGGTCCGATCTAATCGTCGAGCGTCTGGCCGCCCAGGCGCGCGGCGACCGAGTCGGGTTGGCGCCGTATAGGATCGTGGGAATCAGAGACGAGGAGACGGGGGAGGCGATTGGGGCGGCTCATTTTTCGGTTTTGCCTGTACCGCCAAGGGCGAAGAGAAATAACCCACTACTATCACCCGAAAAATCGGAGTTCAATTCTGCAATCCCTTATCTCCAATACATCTACATCCGACCGCAGAACCGACGCCAAGATCTCTCCGAGGTCCTGCATACCATGGTCCTAGCTGTGAGTGAGGCGGATGCTGCGTCTGGACTGCTTGACGACGATGACAACGAGGGAGCCGGCTACGGCGACCGAGGAGTCGGAGTCGGCGTAGGTGGTGGCGATAACGGCAACGGAGTCGACACTATTCCTTCTGCTACTTCTCCTGTTATATCACAGCACCACCACTACCACCACAATCACCAACAACGGCAGCAGCAGCAGCAGCAGCAAAGAACTCTCCGAACTGTTCCATTCACTCTATTCGAAACCGAACCGCCCGACCACGGCGACGACCAGATAAGTCGGGATTATGCGCGTGAACGGTCCAAGATCCATACTAGTACGGGTGGATTGGCGTTGATGTTGGTGCCGGAGCAGACCGCCATCAACACGACCAACGACAACACCACCACCACCACCATCACCACACCTACCGCCGTCACCACCACCACTAGCAACATCAATACCGTCGACAAAATCATCAGTCCCCACGTTCAGCCAGGTCTGGAAAAAGGAGATCCGCCATTATCTTTGGTCTGGGTGATTCGTCAATCGCCAAACCCGGGGCGACCTTACGACGTCAATAACATCGCAAAACAATTGATAGCGGCATACTACCAGAGTCTGCGTGACGAAGGGTTTCCCTTGGACAATATCCGTCTAGCTGAAGGCATGGTCCAGGAAAGATGTAAGGGACGCGTGTTTCAACTAATGCCACTCAGTCAAGTCGCCAACCTAACGGACAAAACCCAATACAACGTGGTTAAAACAAATACGGGCTGCTGAAGCAAATCGAGCAAGACCAGTAAAAAGCAGCTGATTGAATACTTATACTATCAGGTAACTATGGCAAAGCTCGCAAAAGAGCATTGGAAAAACTTCAGAACATTGGCCTCGGAGTCACAGAAACAGAAATGTTGATAGTCTCGACAAGGCCGTCTGGAAAACCAGCATACACGTGCAGCAATTTGCAATCTGATGTCAAATGAATGTTGTTCGAGGTTGAAAATGAACGACCGGCAATTTGTTAATTCGCGTGGGGCAAGGAAGGCACAGTGCCGACATATTTCAGTCCAGCACTTGCGACTGTCGTCAACCAGCATGGAAGATTACCTCCCCAGTAAGGCGGCGAAAATCCGCAAGTCGACCTCACGGTCCACCGTCTAATGTCTGGGTGGTGTCCTCCTGGATGGACGTCTGCTGTAGAGGTCTCCTCCATTGTAGGGAACCCCCATGACACCCAAAAGGTTGATGGCAGCAGTTTCACCGGTGGCAAAAGCACCATGCACACATCCATTTCCAGTCAGCGTGCAGTGTTCTCCGGCAAACTGCAGCTTGCTCCCCTTGTTGTTCTCCATCGCTTCCATCCAAATGCCAGGTTCATTGCCTGTCTTGTCGGCGGTGTAGGTACCGAATCCAGCAAAGCGATCCTGCGTCCAGTGTGTCGTTTCCAGATTCACAACTCGCGGAAGCTTTTTGTAGGGTTCGGTACGGAACAGTTTGAAAAGCGGTTCGAAAAATGCGTATATCTCCTCGTGAGACGTCATGGCCTCAATGCGTTGAGTTAAAGGTTCGACAATCTGAACAGATAATTCTTTGGCGTCATTCATGATCCAGTTGTTACTGGTGACGGTCATGTAGGAGAGAATTGAGTTCTCGTCAATCGGTTCGTCGGTTGGTTCCGGGTAATAGATGAACTGGTCGTGGTCTTTTGGCCAGAAAACGGATTCGAACTCGACGAAGATCTTGCCGAGAGCACCATAGCCAAGCTTCTCAATGCCCAAAGACAATTGTTTGGGGAGAGCCGGGCTGAACTCGACAAGCTGATGTTTCAAAACTCCCAGAGGGAGAGTGCAGACAACCGCATCAGCAGTGAAGACCGGGTCTTGGCCGTCTTCGGTAGTGGTATGGACGACACATGGTTTGTGATCGTCATTCCACTCAATGTTGGTCACTTCGTGGCCCAGACGAGTGACACCCGCATCACGAAGAGTTGAGGCAGCCCACTCCACGATACTATCGTAGCCACCCTTCATATAAAGATTTCGTTCAGTGGCAAAATAGGCCAGGTACTTGGAGGAAGCTTGTTCGAGACTGGTCCCGATCCAGGCTTCGACCTCACGTGCGGCTTGCGGTGCCCAGAGACGTTCATCTTCGGTGACGAGGGGGTGAGTGCTCAACCATTCTTTGATAAAGGTCAAAGCAGGTTTGTCATCGGCGTCGGGGTTCTCTTCGTAGTACCATTCACAGTAATCGGCGAACTCGTCGGCGACCTTTTTGGCTTTGAACTGAGAACCAAGACGACCGTCTTTGGTAAAATACAAGGGAGTGCCGTCGTCATAGTAGTGCTCAATCTTGAGCTGGCCAATCAGGCGGACGAGCTTGTTGTTTGCGGTTTCGTGCATCCAGGCGGCGCCTATGAGAGTGTGAGTAAAATGACGACGGGATAAAACAATCCACAATGTCGTGGCCGAACAATGAGCGCTCTTAACGACTTCATCTCAAACGCCTACGGCGATTGTCAGTATTGCTCGAGGCAATATTTACCAATGTCTCGTGGGGCTTGGCCCGGTCTCCTACTCGTGTAAATACGTCCGCCGATGCGATCAGGCCGGGCTTCGAGAACCACGACTTGGACACCATGGGCTCGCAAGACGGAAGCTGCACGAAGACCGGCGATGCCGGCACCGACGACGATGACTTTCTTTTCACTCGGGTTTCCATCTCTGGAAGTGTCCCAATATTCTCGACTCACAACAGCAGCAGGTTCTTTCGGGTTTCGACCATCCTCCAACTCTTTGGGTCCGGCAGGGGCAGGGAGCAGCCGGGTAGCGAGTTGAAGAATGGTCGAAGGACTACTGGACTCCTTGGGTTTGTGACTAGAAAGGTGAGCGATATGGAAATGTTGGGCCATTTTGAGTTGGCAAGTCGACATTCGCTTGTGGCGAGATTAGGGGAAGATCAGGGCGTAAGGGCTGGCAAGCTGAGGGCCTGCAACCAACGAGAGGTATAGCGGCAACTGGATTCGAGTGAGAGGTGTAGAGAGAAGAGAGGGAAGATGAATGACAAGGCGAGACGAGGTAGAGATGAAGTGGGAAATGGGCCACTAGATCGGGCGAGGCAAGTGCATGCGTTGGTCAGTGGGATGCATTAATAAGGGCCACGTCAAGGGATGAGATCTGAGCTGCTTATCGAGAGTCCCGGGCGCATCTGAAGCCGATAGGTGGCATTAGAAGACCCTGTGATGAGTCGGCGACAGGTGGTTATCGCCTAGGGAGCCCCCACGGGTCCGCACTAAGCTGTCGCAGGTAGACCACGTGCACGGTATTTGTGATATGCGGACTTGTACAAATGATACCACAGTGTAGCACTACCTAGGTACTGCTTAGGTACAATGCAGTGTACCACGTACAATGTACTGATGATCCCACTAGTCAAAGTCCTTCAAGTTCAAGGTCATGTTAAGCGCTGCTAAGCTTGCTGCCGACGATGCTTACTTCCAGTGGCATGGATACCTAAAGGTACCAGGTGCTACGACGCCCTCACAGTACTTCAAGCTTTAGGCGAATGGCACTACCCTAGTGACCGATCCTGGTACCGGTATACCACCTTAACTGTGTAGCGGCTGGTTAAGTAGCACGGAAACTGGCGCACTACTATGACATTCAATGCCAGTGTGTCAATCATGATGACTGGATCATCGGCGGACTTACTGAGACGGGGGTCAACCAGCAGGCTAAAGTCTCTAGCGGCCTCTCGTGCATCCTCACCACTGGCACCATTGACCCTCGCTGCACTGCAATCCAATCACGCTTCTGTTCTGTGAGAAGATTTGTCCGTCCTCCTCCTCCTCCACCCACTCACCGCACGATCCGTTGTCCATCACACACTGGCATCGTCTTTCCACAATCTCGACTTTTTCCCGCCACTGATAAGCTCGATTTTGCCGACCGTCTCCTCTTTCCGCTGTCACCATGCCCCCATATGGCTTAGACTTGTCATGTTCTGGTTGGTTTCCTTCGGATTTTCTTTTCACACAAAATGTCGCGTGTTCAAGCCTTGATACCACAGCCCTCAGCTACACCAACTACTCCAAGCCACCATGCGATAAGGACGTCGCACGACAGTATGGTCGTCGCCTATCGTTATAAATGACCTGCTGATCCTGCTGACCTCACCACCTGTTTTTCTTGTGCTCCTCCACTCGCAGATCAGATCAGTCCCTGCGAGAACATACCTGGTAGATATACATGGACTATGACGAGGTGCTCCCGGGCACGCGCCGCCTTTTTGATGCTGAAGGATCTCCTCTTTCGACCGAGTTTGGGTTGAAAAAGCATGGCGACCTTGTCTTGGTCCCTCAGCCGACCGAGTCACCAAACGATCCTCTTCACTGGTCGTTGCCTCACAAACTATGGCACAGTTTTCTCGTCTGCTACGTGACCGCTCTGACGGCGGCCACTTCAAACGATGCAGGGGCAGCTCAGTATAACGAAAACCTCGAGCTGGGTATCAGCTATGCCTCTTTCAATACAGGGGCGGGCATTTTGTTCATCGGGATTGGTTATTGGACTCTTCTGTCATCCCCTGCAGTGTACCTGTACGGACGGCGAATCTTGTATCTTGTTGGTATGCTTTTTGGTGTGGCCGGGAGTATCTGGTTCGCCAAGGGTCAGTCCACCAGTGATGCTCTCTGGAACCAACTCTTCGTCGGTGCCTCCGAGTCGGTGGCCGAAGCAACGGTGCAATTGTCGTTGATGGATCTGTGGTTTCAACATCAGCGCGGTTCAATCCTCGGTGTTTACGTGCTGGCCACCAGTATCGGAACATACTTAGGTCCATTGATTGCCAGCTACGTTGCTGACAGCAGTCTCGGTTGGAGATGGATCGGCTGGCTCGGTGCCATCTTCAACGGGGTGACCTTTCTAGTTCTCCTCTTCGGCCTGGAGGAGACTAGTTTCCGTCGTGAACGGTACCTCGTCAATGATGGCGACAGGTATCTCATTGACGGTGTCAACCGGGCCCACAGTGAGAGATCTGCAAGTTTGGCAGCGGACGTGGCAGATAAGGAAAAGATTCCCGGTGATGCTGAGCGAGCACTTGCGTCTGACAGCCTGGAACAGCATCGCGGCACCGGCAGAGACGAGAAACCCAAGTCATATTGGCAGCGCATCGCCATCATCACTCCCGCCCCGAACCTCCGAGGAACAGGTTTCAAACAATATTTCCAGCGCCTGTTCCATACACTTCGCATCTTCACCTTCCCTGCCGTCATCTACTCTGGCTTGCAATGGGGCGCACAAGATGCCTGGTTGACATTCTACTTGACCGTCGAAGAAGATACTTGGTATGAAGCACCATGGTATTACACTGATGCTGAGGACGGCAACATGAATGTAAGCAAGCAATCCCCAAGTCCGGTCAAGGGCCTAGAAACTGACTTTTATGTTTCGCTAGATTCCAACTCTCATTGGAGCAGTGATTGGCTGTTTGTACGGCGGCTGGCTGAGTGACAAGTTCGTCTTGTGGATGACCAAGCGAAACGGCGGTGTCATGGAAGCCGAACAACGCCTTTGGCTCATGTTACCTTGCGCTTGCATTTTCCCAACAGGTCTTTGGATATTTGGCATCGGAAGTGCTCACGGCTGGGCTTGGCCTGCACCATATGTCGGCCTCGGCTTCATCGGCTTTGGCTGGGGCTGTGCTGGAGATCTCAGCATGGCCTATCTGATGGACGCCTACCCAGACATGGTGCTCGAGGGAATGGTGGGCGTTGCAACGATCAACAACACCATCGGGTGCATCTTTTCCTTTGTCACGTCCTATTGGCTTGATGCTAGTGGTATTCAGAACACGTTCATTGCTATTGGGGTCTTGTCGTTTGTATTCATCATGACTACTGTACCCATGATCATTTGGGGCAAGAGAGCTCGGCGCTGGACGAGGGACAGGTATCAAAACTTTTTGCAGATTCGTGATGGGTTTGGGAACTGACCGTCAGCCTTGACTGATTTACGATATACTACAAACTTGTATATGTCCTCGATTTAGCGAGTTTGAGCGATTGGAGGTATATTGGAGTTATTCAGATACATAACTATGCATAGATGCATTTTCCTAATAATGTGAGCTTTCCTAATAAACCAGAAGCTTTTCTCATAAATGTCGGCCTCGGACTTCATGCAATCGCAGCACCACCTGGTGCCAGTGCCAGGAGTCGGGAAGCACAAGGCAACGCAAAAGACAAGGCGAGGCTGAGCTACCATTTCGTGCCGTATACTCCACAGAAATGCACAAACGGTCAAGTACAGTTCTCCTTAGCGCAGCCCGCTTTCCTCCAATTCATTTTGAGGTGCGGAACCTCAACTTGAACCTCAACTACTACTTGACTTGCTACCAATTCGCCGTTGCAACAATATCCCAACTATACACTCGGTGGTCCAGGACACAATCCTCCTTCTTACCCGTCCTCGCTACTTGAGCGTGTGTCTCTCTCAGAAAGAAGTCTATCAGCATGCGATCAACCCTCCCTCTTCGTGCCGGTGCCGGCTCAGGCTTGTGAGTTCACACCACACCACCCATTGACACACCCTTGGGCAAGCAAAGCAGCTTGGACGTCTTCCAGTCGACTCTGCGTCTACGTTTACACCTACGCCTCCACCTCCACCTATATCCCCGGCATGCCCTGACCCTCGGCTTGACGGATGATCACAACTAGACGGACTTGAATGCAAGCGCAGGGCTCAAGAACCGGCGTGTCGTCACGCTCTACCCTCATGGCACTCTTTCCCAACGTCCTCGTCTTTTCAGCCATATACACACATTTCAAAACATCCCCTCTTCTTGCTAACCAATTCCACAGTCTCAAACGTTCCTCATACTACAACCCCGACTACCGAGCCGGAGCGGCCTTGAACCGCGCCCGTCGTCCATACCTGTTCAAAAACCTGATTACGGGAGCGTGTATCTTTAGCTTCGCTATTGGTGTTTGTACGTTCCCCTTTCCCAAGCCAGGCCTCTCCGCTCAATCACGCACCTTCAAACGCTAACATTTTCGAAACTTGAACGCTATAGTCGCATTCACACTCAAAGCCGTGGGACAGGATAACTTTGAGGACGTCGTCGTGCCGGACGCGCCAGCGCCAGCAGCGGCCCAGCAACAACAGGCGCCCAAGGCTCCTAATGCGCAGGCGAATGGGATGCGGTCGTAAATATACCGAACATGGAACGAGAAACATGGAACGGGCGGCGACAGAAAACACCAATATATTCTGAAGAAGACATCCGCTGGGAATAACTACTAGTTCTTCCAGCGCGACGCAAAAACTGATCGAGGCCGGACCGGTCGGTCGGACCTTTGAACCCTCAGCTCTCTCCACTCTCCTGCTCAATTTCCGGACTTCAGTCGCCAATGACTATGACAACGCAGACATACCGTTCAATGGCTTCTAGTCACGGAAGACTGCGGGACACAGAAAAACATGTTATGGGTGCAGAATACTCAGCTCAAGGCCAAAGAATCAAAAGCCAGTGTAGTGTATACTACTACCGTATACCACAGAACAAACAAGAAAAAAGCATGAGGTCGTGTCGTTCGGAGGTACGCAGGGAGTCGTGACATCTTCGCAACTTGAACTGTTTGTTGGTTGGTAAGGATCAAGGCCATCTCAGGCATGGGAATGCCACTGGCTTGCTTAAAGATCTCAGTCTTGGATCTCAAAACTTGTTGAAGCCATCCGAGTGAAGATCAAGCATGGGAAAAACGCAGCCGAGGTTGTTCCCTTCTGAAAAGCATCTGAAGTCTGACGACTGCCACTGTTATAGTACTGGTAATGGAGAACTTGGACTTGAATGGCTGCACAAGAGGCGAAGCGGGCGACATACCTAGGTACTGGGTGCAGTGCGCGGTACATACATACTAGTATATGTCTATATTTCGAAGGACCATTCGCGATAGTCAAGTTGTGGGAGATTTGAATTTGAATTTGTACATTTACTATAGTAGTATTTACCATGACCATGACCATGACCGTCAAACCGTCACCATCAATTCATAACCAAAAAGCAGTGGGCAGTCCTCTCTCCCTTTGTGCAAAAAGCTTCCGCTCCAAACTTCAAGGGGATATCTGTGTCTGTCTCGGTCTATCGAATACTAAACTTTCCCGTGGCAGCAGAGAACCCCGATCCCGCCGTGGCCGCGGTGGTGATGCCGGAGTCCCTGCCCTGCTTGAACGGGGAGGACTCATTGTTACCGTTGCTGCTGGTATTGGCACCAGTAGTAAATCTCGAAGACACCATCTTTTCCGGACGCGCCGACGTCGACCGTGGCGGTGAAGCTGCAGCTGCCAATTGGGCACGCGACGTGAGCGGCGACGAGTTGAAGTCTCGATGCATATTGTCCTTTGTAGGTTGTTGCTGTGGTGGAGGATCCTCAGCATGATTGTTGCTGCTGTTGGGGTTGTGATTATTGTACGCGATGCTGTCCGAAGCGATATGAAAGTCGCGGCGTGCGCCGGGATTGGGAGGCACTCTCCGTGTCTCGAGAGGCGAGCTGGAATGCTGTCGGTAATTATGGACATTGGAGCCTCCGCCACCATATTGGGGCTCCGTTTTCGTCGTGCTACTGTGTTGTTGGTAATGATGTTGTTGCTGTTGTTGTTGATGTGGGTCGTCATGGGGGGTGTTGAGGGCCGAGGAGAGCTGCGCAGATGGGTCGACGATCGTCGAGGCCGAGCCAGCGGGTTGTGGGTTCTCCGTGGTGCGTTGTTGGTTCGCGGGCGTGAGGAACTCGGCCATTGGCGACCGGTGGATATTGTTGTTGGTGATGTTGCTGTTGGAATTCCGCCGACTGAGTCGGTGGATGGGATGCTGTGGGTTGGCCCAGGGCGTCTGTTCGAGGAACTGCTCTTCGGCCTGTGGGCCTGATAGCTGTGTCCCTGAGACAGGGCCTTGCATTTGTCTCTGCGGGAGCCTCGTGGGTCGGGTCTGAGCAGCTGAAATCTGTTCAAGGCAAAAACCATATTAGCGACTGACTCCAATCATACACGCAATATCAGGGTCTCGAAACATACACCCATCTTCTGCAGGTCATCCTCCACATCCTTCTGCTTTGAAGGTTCCAGCTCTGGAGCAGCCGGAAAGCCAACATATTTGGCAATGCCTGACAGAATCGACACTTCTTTGTTGTATGCGGTTTGTTGTAGGATTTGCTGGGAACGTTTCTCGGGAAAGGGAATGGTGAAATTCGGGACCATCGAGTCCGTCTTGAATCTGTCGCGTTGGATGCGGTAGAAGTGTTCGCTGATGCGCTCCAAGTACTTCTCTCGGATGTCCCGCACAGTCTGGAAATACTGACTGTGTATCTGGCTGCGTTCTGCCACAGCCCTGTTCTTGAGCGCCCCAATCTTGTACACCAGAAGCTTTTGTTCGACCTCGAACTTTTCGTCGCGGTACTTTTTCACTGCTTCGAGCTGTCGCAATAACTCTGGATGGCATGGTTTCGGCTCGGATAACAATGCAAGTTCATGATTGATGCCTGCAATCTTTTCATCGTAAAGTCGATCTCTCAATGCGGCGAAATGCTTCTCCAGTGTCGTCAGCGCTTCCATGGCCGCCATTCGTTTGGCCTGTTCTTCTTCAGTCTTGACCGCAGCCTCCGCGTCGTTTTCGTCTACTGCGTCAGTATCCTCGGCGGCCTCGGCGTCGTCTTCGGTTTCTGCATGTGGTTCTTGTATCACCTCGCCCTTCGCTTTGCGCCGCGGCCGATTTCTGGTCTTATCCTTCGAATCCTCGCTGGTGTCAACCTTTTCAGCTTCTTCCCGGCTTTCCGTCGGCTCTTCAGCATCCTCGGTCTCGTGTTCTGGCGCGGCCACTTCTGCTTCTACTGTTGCTTCTCGGGTAGGTTGGTCGCGACTGTCCCCAACTTCACTCTCAGGGTCCGATTTCTCGTCCTCACTTTCAGGGGACGTGGTTCGGCGTCTTTGCGAGGTAGGGGCTTCTTCAGCATCTGATTCACTTGTTTCTCTTTTTCGCTTGTTTGGAGAATTGGCTCTGGCTCTATTCGTTTCATCTTCTGCGTGCGGTTCGTCCTGGACGTCTGGCCCGTCGCTAAGTGCGCCTTCGATTTCCGAGTCTGGATGCGAGGATATAGGCGAGGACACAGCGCTTTCTGTTATGCTCTCGATTTCTGGACGCATGTCAACATCCTCTCTGTGGGCTAGTTTGCTAGGACTGATTTGTAAAGGCTTCTTTCGACCAAGGTTATCGGGTGTGACTTGAAGCCGCTCAGTCTCGGCCTCTGAGTCGACTTCAGGCGCTTTGGCCGGTTGTATGGCTTCATCTTCAACATCATCCAGATTGTCGTCTAGCTCGCTAAGACTGCTCGAGCGGTCATCGTCTGAAATTGGTTCTTCTTTTGCGGCGGTCGCTGTCGCAACGTTAGAGAGGGCCAGAAGCGAATCGGCTGCCGAGTCCATTCCGAAAAGTGGTTTTGGTAGGAGTGAGGGCGCAGGAGGTAGGAGAGGGCACTGAAGTAGGCAGTCCGTGGAAGGTGGCCAGACCCGGACACTGTCACGGTCAGCGCAAACTCTCGACATAGACAGAAAAGGTGACCGTGAAGGAGGAAGCCTTCACTGAGCACCGATGTGACATACCGTTATGGGGCGAGTGAAAGCAGTTACAGTAGCATGGTTTTTGGACGCGAATCTCTCTAGCGCTCAGTGACAGCAGATTTGGCAGTCAAGCTTCAATTCCCCGCGTAATGTCACCCCGTTGAACGGCTCTTGGAACAATCGTGACACAGAGTCGCAACTGGATAACGGACTTAGAGACTGGTGACTTCGATTTGCTGGAGATTGGAGGTGGGTTGAGGAACAGGTCCGATGGCTTCAACAGCAGATGGTGTTGCGATTCCTTAGCAGAAGAGAATGTGCGCATGGAGGTCGAAGGCCGCTGGCTGCAACGCTCGACGGCTAAAATGCGTGCCTAGGGAACTGTTTCAAGCCTTGGGCACAACTGCAATTGAATACTACAATGTTGGAGGGTGGAATGGTAGATTGTCGAGGGCAGCGTGTTGGCGTCGTGGAGAAATGAAGCCCCCCAAACCGAAAGGCGCATCGCATGGAACCGGCGCAGGCAAAGGCACGAAAAGCGGCGATGTCATCCATTGCAGTTCAATTGCCTTTGCAGCAGCACTCGCCCGCCGTATTGTTACTATTGGGACAGAAGTACAGCGCAGTAGCATCAACACGTGATGGAATTGGAGAAGATGGCGGAGTTAAGCATCATGCAGGCTCTCTTATCTCCATCATCGACCAATCGACTTTTTGCCTTGTGCAGTCGCCGGAAATTTTTGTATACGCAGGTTTCGGGCTGGAGGCTGAAACTCCATAACATTATCCAGACTCACACCCCGATGCTAGTAACATTCATCATGGGGAAGAGAAAACAGGCCGACTCTCAGTCGGGGACCTCCGCGACCACTCCAATCCTCGCCAAAGACGCAGCAATAGATCCCAGCCTCGCGTCGCTATTTGCTTCCAGTGTATGTTCCTGCTCTTGAGTACGCTGAAACTGTTCCTAACTCTTGAGGTCAGGCCGGGCCAGTCAAGGTTCCAGCGAGGGCTGTGTCGTCGACGAAACCAGCTCCTGTCCGAAGAGAAGCTGCCAGCGACGATGAGACCTCTTCTGGCGAAGACGATGAGGATGACTCTCAGTCCTCAGATACATCTCCCGATGGTGCGGCTGAGGCATCAATAGCCGCCCTAGCTGCTTCCACAGCCGAGAGACCCCGGAAACGAAGACGCATGGCCGACGCAGAGGACCTTGAGGCATCGTATTTCCACCGTTTGGAGCGAGAAGAAGAAAGGGAACTCCAAAAGTCCGCCGCGAAAACGGAGAATACTGAGGGGGATTCAAGCTCAGAAGAAGAAGAGGAGGACGGGGATGCAACATCGTCCTCGGACAGTGATGATACATCCACCGGCCAACCTGCAGTTGACGAAATTCCGCGCCATGAGATCTTCGACAAGAAACTGAACAACGCAGATAAATCGAAGAGAACAGTGTTTCTCGGCAATGTGTCGACGGATGCTATCAAGCTAAAACGTGCGAAAAAGATACTGAGCAGACATCTGCGGTCTGCATTGAAGACCCCTGCTCAAGGTCCGAGATTAGGAAAGCTGGAGTCACTCCGCTTCCGCTCCACAGCCTACCACAGTGATGCGGGCCCAAAGAAAGCAACCTTTGCAAAGAAGGAGTTGATGGATGAGACCACTCCCAGCACCAATGCTTATGCCGTGTTCACCACGGAAGAGGCTGCCAAGCACGTTGCGAAAAAGCTCAATGGCAGTGTCGTTCTTGATCGACATCTTCGGGTGGACTACATGGGAAAGCCTGCCGAGATCGACCATAGACGCTGTATCTTCGTTGGTAACTTGAGCTTTGTGAGCAAGGAAACCGCAGGAAACGATGAAGATGACGAGGCGAAGAGACGGCGAGCCGCGGCCAAAGAACCGGCCGACCCTGAAGAAGGCCTATGGCGCACTTTTAGCAAGGTTGGCAAGGTTGAGAGCGTTCGTGTTGTCCGAGATCAGGAGACCCGTGTGAGCAAAGGTATTGCCTATGTCCAGTTTGAGAGCGAAAACAGCGTCGAGGGTGCTCTGCTTATGAACGACAAAAAGTTTCCGCCAATGCTGCCTCGAAAATTACGGGTCATGCGTGCACGACGCATGCCGTCCAAATCCAAGCCGCCTACTGCTGGATCTAAGTCGAGGTTCCCTGGCGCCGGCAGGGACAGGAGGTCCAGTGGACCGGATCGCAAAGCAGGATTTGTTTTTGAAGGTCATCGTGCAAGCAGTACATCCAAAGGGACCACTGGAGGCCACAAAAAGAGGCACAAGAAACGGCCGACCACGAGGAGCAGCCGCCGCGGAGCAGCCTTCAAAGCTGCAGGTGGAAAGAAGAAGAGTGAAGGCAAGTCATGACCATAGCGAGTCAATGGATGTTGTATTCTGGACGAAGGAGGCCTGGTGAGAAAAGTGAAAGCCAACTTATTGTTAGCACCCCACATTCTGTAGACGATGGACAACGGTATACCACAATTTGATCTCTCTGAGCTTGAGAGAGCGTACATTGTTCCGATTTCGACGAGGGAGTGCTGTGCTCTCCTTGGTTGATTCAGCGTAGAGACCCTCAATAGACGTTCGCCTGCAACCTTGTATCACTGTAGGTGACGCTCATCACCAGAAGACCTTAGTCAGCAACGTGAACTGGCCCGGAATAAAATCAGTCAAAGCGGCATGTGTGGCCATCCCTTCCGAATACTTTCGCCTCCCTAAATAAATTCCTTGAGAGATACTTCACTTTCGAAAGCCTACGCTGGTGTCGTAGAGTTCTTTGCTGGTGATGATCGCAAGGCTGTTCTAGGTCAGCAGCGTTCTGTTTGGTGCTGTCCCGTTCCTGCAACATGGTGGTTGGGAGCAAACGGACAGCTGCAGACGCGGGTCTCTCCCCAGCGGGCTCGAAACCTGGGCAGCCTCATCAGAACGCCAACGATCTGTCCACGAGGCACTCGCCTCAGGCAAACCATCCACGATCTCTCGAGATGCAGAAAGGATCCGGGCAAGGCAATAACTTGCAACCCGGACGCAAAGGTGAGGATCAAGGGGAATGGTCAGTGGCCGAATCCAAGTCGTCACGAAAGAAGAGGCGTAAGATCGAGCAAGACCAAGACCCGAAAAGTGAACCTAGCATTGCTTTCCTTGACACCAAGCCTGCCAGAGTACAGCTTAAAGCGTTGCAAGATCTTGTTCTGTATGTTTTGGCCGATGGGGTCGCACCGACGTGGCTGGCGGTGAAGAACGTCCGCCAAATCGAGAAAGTCGTTGTCTTGATGATCCCTGGTCTAGACCGAGACTTGATAGAAAAGTCCGACATATTAACCAAACCTACAAATGATGGGGGTAGTCACTCCGGAGCTGCAGGCGACCTGAACCCTAAAGTTGCATTGAATGGCCAGGACAGCACAGCAGAGGACAGTACCGGGCCATCGACCACCTGCCCTCCATCAGAAGAGACCAATTCACCAGCGACAGGAGGAACCCCTTCACAACACGAATTAACGCGCCGTCTACTCCAACATGTCTTCGAAGTCAAGGCGCCCGGCGACTCTCGGGCGAACAGAGTGCACTCCCCTCTCCAAGGGATGCTGATCGCACCGCTGCGCGAAAAGGATAAATCAGAGGGCACATACACCAACAAATATGAGAAGTACTTCCAGTCCAACCGGACTTCAATATCCGCCTTTGTTCACTCGGCCGAGGAGCTTCGAGAAGCCGAATATCCCGTCCATCAAGCAGCATTCACCGACCCCAAGGACGCGCAGCTCGAGAAAACAAGGAGAAAGCAGACATTTCAATCAAGCTCGGCGGGATGGGTTGACACTGATGTCTCGGTGTCGGAACCGAGCACAAACAGCAACACCTCTTCGCGATCCGACGATGACGCACTTACCCAAGGTCTCAAACCGTATGCTGTTGACTGTGAAATGGTGCTGACTGAAGACGACAAACACTCGTTGGCCCGCATATCGGTGGTGGACTGGCACGGCAAAACTGTCATGGACAAGTACGTCAAGCCGGCCCTACCGATCAAAAATTACTTCACGCAGTACTCGGGCATCACGCCGCAGCATCTCGAAAACGTGACCACCACGCTTGAAGACATCCAGAAGGATCTATTGGGGTTTCTCGGCAAGGATTCAATCCTGCTGGGACACTCGTTGGAATCAGATCTGAACGCCCTAAAACTGACGCACCCTTTCATTGTCGACACGAGCATCATCTACCCGCACCCGCGAGGCCTGCCGCTACGGTCGTCCCTGAAGTTCTTGGCCAATAAGTATTTGAAACGTGAGATCCAGAAGGCGGGCGCTGATGGGCACGATTCAGTCGAGGACGCCCGTGCGGTGCTCGATCTCGTACGGCTGAAGTGTGAAAGGGGCCCGAAATGGGGCACGCAGGATGCCAATGGTGAGAGCATCTTCCGCCGAATTGGTCGGTGTGTGCGTCCCGACGGGTCTGGGAAGTTGAGGCAGACGGCTATTGTCGAGTACGGCACGCCTGAGAGAGGATTTGGCAAGGACGCCACGTACAAGATTGCTTGTAATAGCGACGATGAGATTGTCCAAGGGATCCTGCGTGCCGCCCACGGAGACGGAGTCGGGGACGGTACACTAGAGGTCAACGAAGATGGAAATGATTCTCAACAGAATCAGAATACCGATATTGCCACAACAACGGCTCAGGATCACAACGAAATCAAGACCAGTACCACCACCGATAAACCTTGCCAAGCAGCTCCAAAAATCCCACCTGGTGGCGTCGACTTCATCTGGGGCCGCTTCCGTGACCTCGAAGCCGTTCGAGGCTGGAACACCCCTCCGGCTCCGCCGGCACTTGACTCGAAGGACAACCAAAACGACAACAAGAACACAAACGACATCTCTCACCACGATGAGGCACCAACAACAACCACAAATGAAGCTGACACCGGCACCAGCATCGGCACTGGTGACAAAGACAAAGAGAATTCAACCTCAACCTCGACTCCAACGTCGAGTGATTCCGATCCCCTGCACGTCGCCGCAACTAACACCCTCACCCGCCTTCGCAACTTATTCGCCTACCTCCCACCACGCACTCTCCTCGTCGTCTACAGCGGCACCGCGGACATGCGGCCCGTACTGGAAATGCAGCAGCTACATGCACAGTATCGGCGCGAATTCAAGGTGAAGAAATGGGACGAGTTGAGCGTGCAGTGGACGGACGTGGAGGAGCAGAAGTTGCGGGGCGCGGTGGAACGGGCGAGAAGGGGGGTGGGCATTCTTGCGATTCGATGAACGACAACAGTTCAAAAAGAGGGTGTTTGAGCGGTGTGTGTGTGTGTGTGTGTGAATAGACATTCACCTTTCATTAGACACGGACACACACGGGCATGGAGATGGAATAGACATGGACATGGACATGGACAGGACGACATCGAGATCGATGCTCGCCGATGCACTTTCTCTTTCTTATGTCGTAGATCGGCGATATCAATGTACGAATGGATCATTAGAGGTTTGTGCAGGTAGAAAAACACCGCCGTGGGCATAAATTGGATGGACATAGAGCCGCAGGGTTAATTCAACCCGTCTATTCTAGAGTATGGCGTGTACAGTACGAGGTCAGAAACCTCTCCGGATTTCATGTCAGAGTCCAAGTTGTACGATTCCCATTTCAAGCTTTTTGCCCTTTCCATTCCAGGCTTTTCAAAGTCTATGTATGTAGATAGTGATGACATTAGAGCGACCGGCTTATCCTCAAATGCCCCGACACTGACCACCGGAGCGGACAAATGAGGTTTGGCCAGGCGCACAAAAAAACAGAGTTAAAAGGATAAAACTGTAGCACACGCTTTATTCAGTCCTCTCTCAAAACCCTGGGGCCCTTCTTGGCGCCGGCCTTTCTCTTCTTCTTGTGGCCCTTGTCAAAGGCCACGGCACTCTGATGGTCTCGACCGACATTGTCCAGGTCTTTGACCTTGTAAATTCGGATGATCCAGTTTTCGCTGGTGAAAGCTTCCTCGAGAGTGCTGAGTTCGGGGCCCTGGGCGGGGAGAGAAGAGCCTCGGACACGGTCTTGAGCTTGACCAGCGGGGAAGAGCTGGTTGTAGTTGTAATAAGACATTTTGTACCTGTGAGATTGAAACCCTGTTAAACTTCTGCTCCAAAGCCACAATGCAAACACGACAGACAGAAACTTACATCAATGAGTTCTTCATGGCCGGAGTCGCTTGGTCATCGACTCTGTATTCGCCGCGGGCGGTGAAAAAGTCTCGTTCTCTCACCTCCTCCGGCCAGATGCCTTCGGCGATTCTGACCATCCACAGGAATTTATTGATGTCGTCGCCACTGTATCCCAGGAGACCGCCAAAGACCACCAAGACATAATCGACGTCGTGTTGTCGGAGGATGGGATAGCTGACTTCTTCTCTGGAGCTCATTGCTTTGCCGACCGTAGCAATATGCGTGTTGTTCCAGGTATTGTTGTCCACAAGGGTCGGGCGGTCGGCCATACCCCCAATTTGATAGCCGTAATCCCACCACGACATGATTCGCGCATCATATGGTGTATTTTGTCTCAACCAGTAGTATGCTTCGCGGTAGTCGTCGATGATGTGCTGCGACCCATCAGGGAGACGTGAGGCCAAGACGACGGACGGCGAGGAGTACGCATTGGACGTGACCCAGGTACAATGGGCGACAAACAAAAGCAGAAAGCCGGTGATCATGGAAGTGATGAGTGATTTCGACATCAGAGAATAGATTCCCACAACAGGATTCCGGGTAGACCGTAAAAATGGGTTTGCTGTCACCTTTGATGCCTTGGCTGAGCCATTGGTGTCGCCGGGCGTGTCGGCTACTGGTGTCTGAGCGTAGAGATAGGTGTCGAGAATGTATGAGAGAGCGAGTGCCGCGGCGCAGCACACCACCGGTGTAAGAGTCAGCATCAGCCGAACCATGACACCGGCAAAGTAGCTTGCCAGAACAGCATAGAGAACGACAAAAACGTGCTCGTCCTTCAAATTCCGGAAGCAAAGGTAAACTCCGGCGGGGAAGAGCCAGATGAGCATGTTCAGGTCGAAGAAGAATGCTGGCCACGCGGTTGGCTGATGCTCCGACACAGAGGCGATGATGGGAATATGGATCTTAGCGTAACCAGTGTCCCACAGGGAGTAAAACCGCCCGCTCCATGGTGCAATTATGCCAGAAGCAGTCAAAACAACTAGGCCAACCACCATGATGACGAAGATGGCTCCGCCCAGAGCGATCAGTAGTGTCTGGAACTGCTTTCCTGGCAGTTGGTCCCTTAGGAAGTTGAAGAAGCCAACCAATTGAAGTAATCCAAAGACTCCAAGGGCTGCCATATGGTCGCTGCTTCTGACTGGGAGGAAGCCGACAAAAGGGATTTGCATGCTCGCCAACGTTCCCAACGCATACCAGGTCGAGTAACTGATGTAAAGTCTCGAGCTGTAGCGACCCATAAGAATGAGGGTGAAGGCATGGAGAGGGATGAGGTTGGTGATGAAGACATAACCACCCCAGGCCGACACCATGTATCCGTAGAACAGAGCAGCCAGCGCTCCCCACATGATGGACCCGTTCTTGACTGCTTTGATCCAAAGAAAGAAGGTGAAGACAAGCAGGAAGATAGCAATAGCCTCGTTGTCATAGCTTCCCGCAACAGATCTTGAGATATAGCCGGGGCTGATACCCATAAAAGCCGCAGCTAACAGACCCGCAGATGGCGAAGAGGACATTTCACTTGTCAACAGATACATGGCTAGAGCGGTCAGGCCGGAGAAGCCGGGTGCCAGGAGGACACAGATGTTCCGAATGTCGACGGGCAAGGATAATAGCCGCAAGATGTGATATATGACGCCGGAAGTGACCATGAGACCAGGATAGAGTGTTCCGCCGGTAACTCTACCCAACGGGTGCCATGTTCCTATGCACCATCAGCGACAGTTCACTCACGCAAACAACGGGCCACCTACGGTCATCGAACCAATCCCAGAAGCTGTAAAAGCCATTCTTCACAAGGTATTTTGTTGCTCGGAAATTGAACCACGGATCAACTAGAGAGGACTGTCAGACTTCATTCGCGGGTGCGGACAACCTGGCGTCGTCGGGGGGTCATGTTGGGGATAGAGACGGTGGACTGACACTCGTGTATTATACTTTCGAAGCCTAGACATGAAAGGTTAGCCAGTGTGCCTATGGCTTTCAGTATGAGCGTCTTTGGTGAGGTCCTTACGAATGACACTGAACAGACGAGCGGATACTGCGGCGGCCGCAATAGTGCATAGAATGATGATGCGTAGCAAACCCCTCGTGCTTTTGCTGGTGCTTCCCCGAAGGAAAGGATCTAGGGGAGTTGAAGCGGCCATGATGGCCAGGAACCTAAGACAACAACAAGGCGACGAGGAAGAGGAGGAAGATTCCAAACATTCACGAGCTGGACCAGAGGCACTGGCAGGTCGTCCAAGTTGATTGCGCAGTTCACGACTCGATCCCGCAACGTCTCCAAATCCCTGCCAAGACGGACCCCTGTCGCTCCGCCACATGCTTCAGCCTCGCGCAGCCTCGCGGCCCTGCTGACGCGTGGCAGGCAAGCGTACCTAAGGTACCTTTACGATGTTCTATACTAATAGAGTACAATTGCCCTTGTGTACAATCAGGCGGATCTGACTATTTACATATGACTTTTATCGAGCTCATTAATGAGGGCCAAATTTGGCGTTATAGATTCATTGCACATTCGAGAGAAGAAGGGTTACATCCCTCAGCAGTAGGTGATAGTTGTTACAGTTTCCATCGACAAGTTGAGGGCCGGCTACCCCAATGCACTTGTCCCTTGTTGTTGGATTGTGCTGCGTATAGATTGGATTGCAACAAGGACCGCGTAAATGGCATTGCAACCTGAAAACACCGGAAGCGCCTGCGTTCGGATCGGCTGATAATAGCCGCCTCACTATAGTCCAACACGACCATGCATAGCCGTATCCGCAGCGAAATACTCCCACGCTCGTCTGCCCCGAGTCTCGGCTGACAGACCTGGGTTGCCAGAAACCGGCGCTGGAACAACAGATTGCCTTCTTCCTGGTAGCTTGCAACGCAGTGGTCGGAGACCCGACCTGCTTCTAATCATGTCGGCATTTGGCCACTCCGAGGGCGGCGTCCTCGAGCGGTCTTTGCCCCGTCAGCAGAGGCTACCAGGCTCTCGAAACCTCATAAATCTTGCAGCTTATCACTGCTAAAAGGCGTTGAAATGGCTGTTCTGGCGCTTGCCTCACTCATCAGCCCATTTGTCGAGCCATGTCGCAACATCTGTTTTGTCTCCCTCTACAGGCTTCCTTTCTGGCTCATCGTCCCAATCTAGGAGCTTATCCACTTCCGACTTTTCTTTGGTTTTCCTGTTGACAGCCTTGCCCTTCTTCTCTGAGTTCCTGCCCGATGCCTTGGTGTCCCCTGATAGCTCAACAATGGTAGTGGATTCCTCGGCTTCGGTTCCTCGGATAGAATTGGGCCCGACCTTTGCCTTGGACTGGATATACTCAGCGCGGGTCTTCTCACCCTCCTCAATGTCCTGGTGGTTGAAGAAGCGTTTAAACAATTCCTGGATATAAGGTCTTGCGGTGAAGTAGGCGAAAACAATGAGGACAAGCCAGATGTAATCTTGTTTGTCGAGAGAACCCTTCTGCATGTATCTCTGGACGGCGTTCAGGTGGGAGAGATCCCTGGGCGGCGGAACGTAGTCAACCATGGTTGTAGTAATAGGAGGGAGGCTGCTTGGATGTTTGGAGACGATGATCTTGCTGGGAGACTCCTCTCTCGCTCGGGACGCTATGGGTTTGGAGACTCGAAGTCAACGATGGAGGAAGAAGGAGGCAGAGCAAGGACGGGATCCAGAAGACGCAGACTTGGTCTTTTCATTTATTGACAGAAAATGCGTCTTTTACGGACGCAGAATGTCAATAATTTCATCCGTGCAGGCCGGCGGACGGCGGGCAGCGGGCAGCGGGCAGCCTGGCGGAAGTTCGGCTCAATAACAACATCAACTCGAAGGTACTGAAAGTTGGCGCCGCTTTAATGCTGATTACAAGGAGGGCTTAGTAAGGCTGCGTTCTCAGGCACTGTGAGGCTTCCACTCACTCGAGTGCTACTACTACTGAGACCATCCTCTATAGAGTGACATTCTCATTCAGTCCTTTGGACTCCCCTTCATCCCTACTGTGTAACAATGTATACATGCCGCGTCCAGCTGTGACTGCCATGTTTCACACAAATCTCATCAAGCATTGTGGAATCAGCCACACTATCTTCCCAAAAGACTCGCGGGATTCCTGCGCTGCAGTAACCTTGACGCACGCTCGACGTGTCCGCAGAGACAGGTGATACCACCACATCATTGTCCTACGTGGTTGGTCCAGGATTCATTCGATGGCCAGTCCTTGTGCGACATCACGTCCTGCCGAAATTCCGCTCGAAATAGATTGACTTCTATTGTCTGGTCGCTGAAAAAGATGGAGTACTCTCCTGCATGTGCTGGCGCAACAGTACACAGGACCCATGTAGAATTGTTGTGGAAATGACCTCGGAGGACAGCAGCCTGGTCCAGTCTCGTACATCGGCCGCTCCCTTTCTTTGACGCCTGGTCTGTACAATTGTCTTGCACTACCATTACAAATGCATCGCAACGGATGCACCTGCCCGCGCCCTCAGACCCAGCACGACGGTGAGTGTCCACGGTACTGGCAAGCTGATTGTATAACAAACAAACCTCATTCTGGCCCGAGACATGAGGTAATGAGGTGGTGTCGTCGATTTCAGTACATACTCCTTTATCAAAGAACCCTTCCTCAGACGAGGTATCTTTACCCTGCTCTCCCCTCTACCATACACTTTTGCAAACATGCTCTCTGCCTTCGGCCGCAGCGGCCTTCGGGCATACAGTCTCCTGGTATTACTCGGTTCTCTGAATTGTCTGCTTGCCTTCAAAATCACAGGCGCTACAGGAGGAGTGGACTCGACAACTGGGGCGAGGCCCCTCCGCACTGAGATCGGTCAATTTTCCACCTCTGGCGTACCGTTCGATCTATTCGTTCTGTCCTTGATCGCTTTTCAGGCTGTCAATCAGTCGAACCCTCTATCGTACTTTCAAGTCTCAGGTTCGATCGCGCTTTTGGTCTACTGAGCAAAACTTACAATCCGCCAGGTATCCATGGCTTCCCTAGGATTCCCTGGGACGGCGTGGTAGGTACTGGTAGCTACCCAGGCTTCTGCACCCATGCGGCAACCCCATTTCCGACCTGGCATCGGCCATACATGGCATTGTTTGAGGTAGGAACAATGGAATTGGGAAAAGGGCGTGAGCTAACTAGTGAGCAGCAAGTACTCTGGATGCATGCTCAAGATATTGCAGCCACTTTTCCTTCAAGCCAACGTACCGAGTACCAGAATGCAGCTCTTAGCCTGCGTGTGCCGTATTGGGATTGGGCGATTAACCCAGCCTTGCCTGACGTGGTCACACAGCCACAGATATCTATCAATACACCCAGCGGTCGCAAGACAGTCAAAAACCCGCTCTACAGCTATGTGTTTCAGTCAGATGCTGCTGGAAATGGGTTCCCCTCTTCGGATCCTGTAAGATAATGACAATCACTCGTGAGCCTGGAAGCAGAACTAACTAGACCTTACAGATGGCCAACTTTGGGGAGACCGTCCGCTGGTGGAATACAGCCACACAATCGAGCAACCAGAGTGCGGCGAATGCTGCCTTGATGGCCAATGCCCCGACGTTCGTATATTCCATCTGAGGCTTGAGATGACCCTAACGTGACGAACGATAGGATTTTGTCACTGACGTACCAGCTGTTCACGGCCGTGACGAACTACACGTATTTCTCGTGTACATGGCCTGGCGGTCAAGGGGGTGTTGCCAACAACATCGAGGCAATCCATAATAGCATTCACAATAGTGTTGGAGGCTATGGCCACATGCAATTCCCAGAAGTAGCAGGCTTTGATCCTGTTTTCTGGTTGCATCACGCTAATGTGGATCGCCTTTTTGCCATGTGGCAGGCATTATACCCTGACAGCTTCCTTGTCCCGACCGTGAACGCGTACGGGTCGTACTACGAAGGCGTTGGATTCGTTGACTCGGGAACAAGCGGTAAGTGTTGCACAGACACGCGAAGCCTCGGCGACTGACATGAAGCAGCATTGGCCCCGTTCCACTCTGATGATGGCAGCACCATGTTCACCTCAGATGCAGTGCGATCTATCAAGACGTTCGGTTATAGCTATCCTGAGCTGCCCGACTGGGAGATGAGTGCTTCACAACTTGCGGCCAATGTTCGAACTTCGGTCAACATTCTCTACAACCCAATATCGAACTCGACAACAGCTCGCAAGAAGCGCAGTCAGCAACCCAGGTCAGCAAACCTTGCAGATTCGTTCGGAAGCGTAACTCTCGATCTGGCCCGACGCATGAATGTCAACAACCTAGGCCGACAATGGTCAATTGCAGTGCTAGTCGACCGCTTTGCGTTTGAAACGAGCTTCTTGATCGACTTTTTCATGGGTGAAGCCCCAGCTGACGTGCCAGCTCGGGTGACGGCCAAAAACCTCATCGGGACATACGCTCAATTTGGTCCTGCGAATGCAACCCTCATTCATCCAGACGGCTACCCTGGGGGCCAGGTGCAGGGTGAGATCTCCATGACTCATACTCTCGCGGCGGGCGTTCTCCGAGGTGTTCTTCAGGACCTCTCACCACGATCGGTCGTTCCTTTGTTACGCATGGGACTGAACTGGAAAGCGCGCACTGCTGCTGGTCAAGACGTACCCCTGAGTGATCTTTCTGGTCTCGCCATCTCTGTTTTCAGCAGGTCCCTTGTGCCTACCACTTCGAGAGATCGATTCCCCGTGTACGGAGCCGTTCAATGGCAGGACTCGGTCACCGAGGGCAAACCCCAAGGTGCAGGGCGGACTTCTGCGTATGCATGACCAACCCGGAGGGGACAGGTCGTTGTGTGTCTGGAGCCAACTGCTTGAGGAGCAGTTGTAGTTAATGAAACATGGAGAAATGGTTGAATTTCGTGCTTGGGCGGAAACCTTGAACAAAGAGCTGATTTGCGTGGACAGAAGACAAAAGATCTGAAGCAGCATCAGCGGATAGAGTCAGGCCTTGTGCATTGCATTCTGGGAGGACATGACTGAGCTTGGTTAATCTGAGGCGCTGCTGGCCTTGCTGGCCAGTTGCTAGGTGACGTGCTTCAGCTTTATCGCAGTCATAACGATTTGACTGTCTTTTTGTTTTCCTCCCTGCTTACATCTGCCCACCCAGGCGGGTGGTTGGGTGGCTCTCCTCGCAGTAAATGTACTCTCGTGCCCGCCCTTCACAACGTGCGGGATCACGCTCTTGTCAACAGAGTCACTGCTCGATAGACAGGTCGCCGACCCATAAGTATAGTCTAGGAAATCTCACTTCTGGCGAGGCTCGGTCCGTATAGTGTGAATGATGCCTTAGTCAGCCCTGGACATAGGCACTAGACCCAACGCAGGAGTTGTGCACTGAACGAATAGCGATTACGAGACTTTTCTAAATCCTGAGGTGGACGGTACCCGTAGAATAACCTGGGAATCATCAAGATCTCAATGTCGAGAATGCAGTGGCTGACTCTGGTGGTCAAGGAAGCACACCTCCAGCCGCTGTGGTTGTTCAGAATCTCTGCCAGTGTACAAAGTGGTATGGCGTGCCAACAATAGGCGGTGGCCCGCTGGGTTTATTATTGAGTGCCCACAGGCTGGCATTTATAACGCCATTAGGTTCGCTCCAGGCTACAGCCGGTGCCTGGCGGATTTGGTGGGCAAACTAGAGGGTGATTCGAGCATTCCATGGCTTTTGATTGACAGCTCCATTCAGGCTTGACACGTCGTCCACTCGGGGGCAGGCTTGTCCCCTGTTTGTGCCTGGCTTGGTCCCCGGTCGCTGCTGACCCTGAACTCCTTCCGCCGTCTCCACAGGCTGATCTTAAACAAATAATGCCATCACTTCAGCCCGTGAAAGGAGACTTGCAGCCGGTTGCATGCGCGTTTGTTGTTGTGACCTTGAATCATCAAAGAAAGGCTTCTGTATTGTTTCAGAGTCACCAGAACAGTGTTCACTGCTATCGTCACTTCCAGCACTGTGGAAAGGATTCATGCGAGGTCTCATCCTCGCGCTGCGGCCGTCAACATCACCCGCGCCGCCGTTACGGCCAGAGTCTGAACTCTCTCTCACCAGCGGCTCAGACGTGTCATGAGGAAGAGATCTCATCTCTCCAGGGCTTCTCCGGTTCCTCTAATCTCAACGACACCAGAAAAGCTACACCACCAGATTGGTACGCAATTCCCCTAGGCCTCGAGAACCTCGCTGCGTGCTTTTGCTTCAGCTGCGCTTTCCTAAAGACTACAACTCGAACCACGCTGACTCTCTCACTCGGCTAGGAGCAACCTCACCTCATCTTGATGCGACCTCGAATCACAACATGCCTGAAGTCCTTGGAGCGCTGAAGGAGCAGAACCATCAAGATGGCATGCGACACACTTCCGGAAGGGTGGCCAGCGCCTCGCGGATGCGTTCAGGTATAAATTGTGATCACTGCTTCGTTGCGACGCTCGCCAGCTAACGCACTGATTTAGTCATGTCGTCTTCCGAGGCCTCTCCTTCCCCTGAACCGGCCCCGTGGTCTTCGGCGATCGGGCATGCCGGAACTGGCAAATCAGGCCGCGTGATTGAGAGATTACAGGGGGACATAGATCGACAACGCCGGGAGAAACAGTTGCTCCAGACACGCTACGAGGAAGTCCAGAAGGCGAATGAATTACTCGTCTCACGAAATCAGTCTCTCCAGGATCGCAATAGCAACTATGAGCAGTCCCACGAAGCCAATCTCCGACAGCTTGCAAGAAAGGAACGGCAGGTTGAGGAGCTCCGTGAAGAACTCAGAAAGGAGAAACTCAAGTCAGCAAGGGCAGAGGAACAGGCTGAGGCCGCAGCTTCAAGCGAAGAACATTGGCGTAAGGAAGCAAGCCAGGCAAAAGCATACGCTGCACAGAAAGAAACCGAGTACGAAACGATTGTCGCATGTCGGAAGATGGACCACGATCGCCATCAAAGCGGCCTGGACAAAATCAGATGCGGCTTTGATAGCCTTCTTCGCCGGCAAGAGGACGACTTGGAGAAGCAGAGGAAGCTGGAAATCATTGCCGAGCAGCAACGCCAAACAATTGCCCAGCTCGAAGAACTTACCAAGAAGTTAACCACAAATTTCCGGGCCTACAAACACGAGATCGACACCTGCCTTTCCCAACTGCGAGACACAGCGCGCAACAACGACCAAGCTATCGATCAGAAACTGGACGAGTTGACCGAAGTGACGGGAAGAATGCGGTGGGTTATGAACCTGGACAGTATGGTCAACTATTCTGGGAACGTGGGTCTGCCTGTAGCTGACAGTCAGCGTATGCTTGCCAACCCTGCTTCGGGCACAAATGGATGGCACACGGGCCCAAGAGAGCGGAGTCTGAGTCCATCCAAGGGGAATCGTCTTACGAAACACAGGCGCAAGGATTCGGTAAAGGTGCCGAAATGATCTGGACATTGATGAGTACACGAAGTGATGACATAAACTGCATGATCAGGCCAGGTCCTGTCACCTAGACAGACATATTCTAATATATATTGTAAGCGAAATAACGTGGTGTCACTTTGAGGGCCATCTTCCAGTGAACGCGAGATGGCCTAATGTGAATTTACATTTTGGCTGTTATCGCGAGACGTTAAACCTATAAGTGCTTCCCACCCATCCCTAGGACATTTACGAATACATTGACCGCGCTGGCGCCAACCCGAGTGTCGGCCACCAGCGAGAGCCGGCCGCAAGTGACCAGGCTGGAGCTCAACAGGAATTGCCAGACAATGAGGCGGAGGAAGAAAGCGACGCCGCTAACAGTCCTTCTTTGCACATAGAGGCCTCAGTATAATTACAGGAGTAGTAGGAATTGTTCTTTGTGTACATAGAGGCCGCCATATGGATACCGTAGGCTTTATTCCATTACAAAGATCGCCGCCCTAGGTTCTTCGACAGTATAGGGGCTGCAGATGCGGTGTACATTGTACATAATAGTCAATCACTCCATTGTACGCTTGTGGATGATGCAACGCTCTGTCAGAACCCGCTTCACACCTTTTGTGCGTTGCCGTCCACCCGTATTACTGTCTCTACAACGCACTATTCATAGCGGGCGTCAACAAGTGAATGAGGTGAAAATTCCGCCAGCAGTGAATGCCACGGGCGGCCGCAGGCAATTCACTAGCAGCGTTGTAAAGTAGCACAGTGGTAGCAGTCAGCCGCACGAGGCTGAAGTGCCCCCCTCGGACTTTCGGTGAAATATTAATCCGACCTCAGCCTTCCCTCTTCTTCCTCCTCTCGCCTCAAACCCACCAGACCACATCCATTGTGACGAGTTTGCCTCTTCATCTCTGATCATTGCTTTTCTGCTACTTGTATCTTGTTGATCTTTCTCCTTCCTCCTCGGCCGTCGAGCCGCAGGCGCTCGTACAGCGCTGCGCAGGCCAAAATGGCGACCAAGAAGAAGGTTTTCGTGGGCTCGGTGTATGAGTTCAACCAACTCGGAGTAAGTCCCCCACATCTATAACCGTGGCTACCCTGCTGACTATATCTCTAGGCCGACGAACTTGTGGAAAGATTTAAGTGCGTCTCGTACCACATTAGATCCACGAATTGCAATCTAGACCAGAAAACTAACCTTGCTTGCCCAGAGATGCCCATGATGACCCTGATGACGCGCCATTCGTCACATACGATGCAGCGAATAAGGTATGCAATGCAATGCACTCCAAGTTCCTGGAAGAAATACCCCTTGCTTTTTTCTCACTGTCAGAGCTCTCTAACTGGGTGTGCCAGATCTTTACCTCCGAAACCGAAGATAGAGACGCTCTGCCCAACCTGCTCACCACTGTTTCCGGTTACATTGAGAACCAGGAAAATACTCAGCTTGGCATCGACGATGAACCTCGCCTCCGACCCATGCCAGGCTGTGTCCTCAGTGATCCTATGGCTGACAACTCGTCTGATGACAACGAGCTGCTGGACTACCACTCGGACGAGGAATCTGACGACAATGAAGACCCTCTCCAGAGCCTTCAACATCTCACCGCCTACTGGAAACCACGTAGTGGCGACCTGGGCATTCTTCTCCCTGCATATGCGCAAGAAATCCGTCGGTTGACAGGCACAGAGATCTTTGTCGAGGTGGCGGAGAAGAGATATCGTTTGTTCCAGGGCAATTTCAAGCTCGCTCGCGAGAAGCTCCTACGATTGGAGCCATTGTTGGTACGTTTAATGAATAGACTTGATGCTCAGCTCACAACTAATGTTTGTCTGTGTTTACAGGAATCCTTTCAATTGCAACGCACCGGCCTGGCGCCCGTGTCTGCTGGAAATGTCCTTGTCTGGCCAACCCAGTACAAGGATGCGAGATTGCAGTTTGTCAAAATCACCGGTTCCCATCCTGCATACGCTCGTGTCATCGTCAACAAGTCGGAAACCACTCTCTTTAGGAACGTGATTGGCGAAATCCGTCTGATCAACTCTGCGTTTGAGTATGAAGCTCCGGGCCACCTCTATCGCAAAGGTGTTTCGCCTACCAGCCAAATCCAAGCTTCTAGCATCTGGGAGGGATATGTCTTCAAGAGCTTCGGCGACCCAAGTGTCATGAACCCCGTCATCTCGTCGAACCCTTCGTCTGAAAACAGCAACAGCGACAAAGGCACAGTCAAGGATCCGAATGAAGGGCGCATTGCTGAGTGGTCCACTGAGGTCGTTCCTGGTGCAGATCCAGATATCGCTCCTGAGGTCCCGGCAATCGAACCTGCATGGCATGGTCGTCGACGTATCATCTATGATACTGATACCGATAGCGATGAGGGTGGACGGTCGCCTGCATTGGCGAATGCACAGCTGGACGGACAACAGGACGATATTCCAGTTCCTGGCATGCCGCCACGCGCTACAACACCGAAGCCAACCTCGGATTTGTTGTCTCTTGTTTCATCTCCACCACGAGGAACGTCAACAAATGACCTCGAGAGTATGATTCGCAACGAACCAGCACAAGCACATGGGCTACTTACCAGCCTCATGGCAGGAGATGAGGATTTCTTGACTGGCGACGCTCCACCCTGGGCTGAAGCTATGGCTAGGGTAAAGGCTCAGCATGCCCAGGCCATCAGGGCAGCCTCCACTAAGTCTGCCGAGCCAGTTTTGCAAGAGAAGCTCGTGGATTTCTCTTCGCCAAAGAAGGTGTCTGAGCTGGTCTCATGCACTGAAGCTTTGGCTAAAGCAGAACCTCAGCATATCGAGGTCACCAAGGCACACTCCATTAAGGCCGCGACACCGATTCCGCAAGAAAAGCTGGTCGATATCTCCTCGCCATTGAAGGTTTCTGAGCCGGTCTCAAGCACCAAAGCTTTGGCTAATCCAGAGGCTGATGGCTCCAAGGTCATCAAGGCAGCCTCCACTAGGCCCGAGACACCGAAACCCCGAGAAAAGCTTGTCGATATCTCGACCCCAGTAAAGGTTTCTGAGCCGGCATCAAGCGCTAAAGACATCCGAGCGACCGGTTCTCTTGCAGCAGCCATGGCAGATCTCCACTTAGACGAACCCTCAAAGCCTGCTGCACCCAAATCTACCCTGTCAAATCCAACTTCTGTGAAGTCGGCATCAAGCGCTGAAGACATCCAAGCGACCGGTCT